TATTACAAATAACGCGAAAAACCACACATAATAGTACAATTGGTTAGAGGGCTGTAAAACGGCAGCCATCTTCTTCTTGGCATTGCGCATGGTGATCTTAGGCTTGTGTGCGGCTGCTCGGCCATGGAAACCCATTTCATGAAGCTCCAGACAAACAGTTCTTGTGCTGACGTTGTTTCCAGAGGCAGTTTGGAACTCGGTAGTGAGAGTTGCAACCGAGGACAGACGATTTTTACACGCTACGTGCTTCAGCACTCAGTGGTCCCTGTGTGGCCTACCACTTCGCGGTTGAGACGTTGTTGCGCCTAGATGTTTCCACTTCACAATAACAGCACTTGCAGTTGATTGGGGCAGCTCCAGCAGGGCAGAAATTTGACGAACTGACTTGTTGGAAAGGTGGCATCCTATGACGGTGCCACATTGTGTGTGTGTGTGTGTGTGTGTATATATATATATATATATATATATATATATATAAATATATATAAAGTATGTGGACACCCCTTCAAATTAGTGGATTTGGCTATTTCAGCCACACCCATTGCTGACAGGTGTATAAAATCGAAAACACAGCCATGCAATCTCCATAGACAAACATTGGCAGTAGAATGGCCCGTAACTGTAATGTATATGGGAATATATATATGTGTGTGTGTGTGTGTGTGTGTAAGTATTCCCCTGCACATTAGCAGCAATGGCAGTCAAAGGGGAGCATTACAATTATTCTTGATGACATTTGCTTCATCAGCATTAAGGACGTTTGCTTACACTATGAACAGTTTTGATGGAGGAAGCTACTATGCATGTTTTTGGTCCGAGAAGCCTTTCTTCACTGTTTGCTTGTGTTCATCCGCTGACAATCCTGTTCAAATTAGCAGTCACTTTGGGTATTTCACAAGATGCCATTAAAGTCTTGATAAGACAGTGCTATAATAAATAAACGAGTACATTAGTATTTACCAGTAGTTGAACATTCCTGTTTCCCACTGCTGTGCCTAAGTCAAGCTTTCAGCTTGGTCGTGTCATATAATAGATTACATAATAATCTTGAGAATGATTTATGTCTTGCTTTTCAATCACAATGACTAGTAAGAAGAGGAGTGATCATTCGTCATTGATCAGACACCATAGCTAGTGGGCGTTCCGGGATTTGAAAGAGTAAGACGTGACTCTAATTTTACCCCTTTTTCCCGGTGACGTCATGATACTGGCCCGCATTAGTGAAACCATCGGAATGCGACAATTTATCCTAGAGGTTTACAGTTCTGTTTAGGAAAAAGTTATTCATAAATCGTTCTGTCATAAACGTACCGTTTTTGGATAAATTACGGCATGTGCACTAACAGCAGCTCTTTATCGATTTGTAACGCTGCGGAAATAACTTACTGATCTCACTTTGGGGAGTCTTTTCTCATAGAGCGAGGCTGCATGGATGCTTTTTTTCCAGGTTTGTTCTCATGCGTGATCGTGAAATGATATCAGGTGGATTGTATCGCGTTGGGTAGACCTTCTGGTGAGTAAATCGAAGGCAAAGTTGTTGTTTTACTGTCGCTATTCATTGTTTTCATAGTTATTCTTACTTCAAAATAGCGAATAGAAGCTAACCTAATGCTTCTCGACCGTGAGAAATTTAATCTCCGCTGCAAAATTAATCTTTATACTTCTGAGGTCTAAACTCACTCATACGGTTAGCCGCCAAACTACTTCAAACACGTTATTATAGCGGTCAAATCCAACAAATGCATTAATAATAAACACAGTGATTTCTCACTACACATTTCGCTACACATAATCTGTACCAGCAGCGTGTGGTATTCCAGACATCTGGTATCTATTTACTCCTCCCATCTGACATTTGGTTCATAAACCTGCTCATATCTGTTATTTTTAAAGAAATGTAGATTTATGTTGCTATACAATCATGAAACACTACTTCCCTAGTGTTTATTGACATGTAAACAACTGTCAGTGAAATTGAGAGAGGTAGGCTACACCCTGAAGTAAATATATTTTTCAGACAGTAGCTTTCATCTCTTTGGTAGTGTGTTTGCAAGCTATAGCCTAACGCACATGTTTGTTATGCTTTCTTTTGTTTCAAAGTAATGAAAACAATGGTGTAGTTATTTAGTTGGATCTGACACTGTCAGTATAGTCACTGCGTGTAGGCCAAGTGCTAGTGTATTGGAAGCTGGGACTCTTATCTTAATTCCTACATTTACTGTAATTGCTCACAGACCTACTCCTCGTTTGTTTTGCTGCAAATTGCACCCCAACACCAGGCTTGGTAAACAACAACAGATAGGCAAGACTGATGAGAAGCGCTCTGGCTGGAATCGGGGGTCGGCTCCAAGGTCGCACTGTGTTTGCACTGCACTTCGTAAATCTAGGAATCTCAGTCAGAGGGAGAATTCTGTTAGTTAGCACTTCTGACTCATCACTGGGCAGTAAGCTAAACCTCAAATGAAAGGGTGGAGCACGTCCACAAACATCTAGACTAGGCTACATCATGATAAGTTGACAGAATTATTGATGCTACAGGCAGAGTGATGCGGGACAAAGTGAGACAAATCCCTGAAGATGTTACCTCATTTTGTGTGACCTCATCACCTCTGAACCCAGGTGCAACTCATCTGCATAGTGTCCGCGTTGACATAACCTACTGCGTTTGCATTCAGGAGGGAGTGCAACACACTGAACATTGCAGATAGAATAGAATATAGTTGGCATGACATGATTCATTATCATGTCAAAGGCATGTGTGTGTTGTACTATACAATATAGGTGTATTTCTGTATGAACACAAGGTTTTGCAACGTTGAACAATGGTGAGACAATTTAAGCCAGGTGCGTACTCTTATTATATTATCTGACATAAACGTGCATTTGGAATAGTGATTAGCTATGACTTTCTCATACAGTTTATCTCTTAAGAAGCCTTCCTGGAAATAAGTCATCACTTAAATCTATCTTTGGGTTTGAAATGTGTTTACATGTCCTTTAACCCCCAAGTGTAGTCCTTCTAAAATGGTATGTGAGATATGCCTAAATGGGACAGAGGAAAACCAGTTGAGTTAGCAGAATAAGGCAGTTGACAACTAGAAGTGCCGTTGTCCCGGTCTGTGTGTTGACAGTGCAGTCTGAATGATGAGGCGCTTTCCTGTTAATGGCCGCTGCGTCAGTCATGCCTTACTGTTTATCCTCCTCCAAAGTGGGCATGCCCTGAGCACAATTGTTTTAATGTTAACTACTTTGACCGAGAGCCCCGCATTAGCCCATCACATAGTTAAAATGAGGTGTTTTGTGTTGCTACAGTACAGAGTTGACACACATGGCTGTGCCTGGAGTCAAGTGGACCACCCCTTGTGCTTGGACAGACAGTAGCTCTCTGGCCATGACCCATCTGGGTCTACGCTGCCACAGAGGTGCCTTTCTTGCTGCTCACTGGTGCATAATAGTATGCTAATGTAATGTGAGAGACTCCAAAACCGGGATGGCGGGTCATGAACTTCAGTTTTTTGTTCACTGTGGGTGGTTGCAGCTCTACTCTCTTCATACACAGAGGGAAATAATCAATGAATGGTAGTGATATAAGCTAGGCTTTATGACCGCTTTACTGACAGACAGGAAGAAGAAAATTGAGTGCATGGACACCTGTCTCTCTCTTCCCCAGCTACCTGCTCTGTAGGGGGAAGTGTAGAACACGGAAGAGAGAGGTCTGTGTCCTGGGGCCTTCTGGGGGAGGGGCTACTACAGCTGCTGCTGCAGTCACTCTCAGCTGGGCCTCATCTGTTCAAACCTGTCTCACCGGTGCACTGCCCACAGACTATTGTCTGAGCTCCACCATGTGGTTTGTGGTGCTTTCCACTTTCATGCAGTCACTTATCCTAGGCATATGCCATATTATTGCTGTTTTCATGACAAACCCAAGTTCTCAAGCAGATCATAATGCAACTCAACTCTGTCAGTCTCTCTGACTCAAGAGTTATTGAATATCAGTTTGGACATGTTTTCGTCATCTCAGTAGATTCTGATGGTATTTGGCCTTCTGACATTGAATAGTCCTTTTTCCTTGGCTGCACTAAAAATATTTTCCCCCATCATTGCTTGGCTCCACTAAGGCAGGGTTCCAGAGGAGCAACCGAATACTTCAGCAAACCACTTTACAAGCCTGTCAGCAAGATTAATTTATGTGGGGCTCTGTGGTTGCTGCTCAGTATGTTTCCCATTCAATCAGTTTTTGTAAACCGATAACTCATCTAGCAGTTTTTCTAAACAAATAAATAATCTAGCAGTGCTGTCAGTAGCCGCCGCCTTATTTGATATAGTCATCATGCTGACTTGTGCGTTCAACTGACCAGCAGTAGTGGCTTTTAAATAGTTAATGGAAAGCCCATGTTGACCTCTCATCTCTGGCCCTTTGTACAGCTTAGTGCAGATGGGTGGATGATTCCATTACACTTCAAACACTCACTGAGTCAGTTCTGCTTTATGGGCCAGTCAGGTGGTATCCCTCAGCCCCTCGCCAAGCACCCCTTCCCTGCAGCTTGGGTGGGTCTAGGACCGTGGTCAGGAACGGGCAGCATATTGCAGGCTGGCAGCCCAGTGTTTGAATTCAGGGAGCGCCTCCTCTCTGATATCTAAAGCGAGAGAAGGAATCCAGAATTTCAAAAGTGTGTTTGAGTGTAGAGAAAATAATTGTGGGAAAATGTGCTAGTGAAGGAAAAGGGAAGTCATTTTTCTCTGCAGCTGGGGGCCTCAGAATAATACTTACCTGACTAATACATGTTTTGGCTCTGAAACAGTTGCTGCTACTTGTATAAGCTATTTGTCTTTATGGGAGGTGTCCCTACAAATTATACTGTCATATTCTGTCAACTTTACATACACGGTTGTGTACTCTATGTCTCTGTGCATTTGCCAAAGGACATTCACTCAGTGTGATTTTGTGTTAGTCTAAATGAAAAGGTTTTCAGAGACGCTCAATAGTCTGAAGTTTGTCAATGGCTGCATGGCAGATCAAGTTTTCATATGTTAGCCTCTCAGCGCTGTTGAAAAGAAACAGGACATCCTTGATATTATCACTTATTATCACCATGAACTGCTGATGTGTTTATCACTGTTCCAAAGTCATTCTTGGGTGTATTCACTAGGAAACAAACAGAAGCAAACAGACCGAAACGGGGAGGGAGCAACCTGAAATTGTCAAATAAGAAACTCGTTTTTTGTTGCAAACCGTTTATCCTTGCAAAATGTTTATCCTCTCTGTGTTCCAGGTCTGATGCCCGGCTGCCGCCATGTTCACTAAGAAGAAGAAGTCCCGTGTCCAGATCTCGGCGCCCTCCAACTTCGAGCACCGCGTGCACACAGACTTTGACGAGCAGGAACAGAAGTTTGTGGGGTTGCCGCGGCAATGGCAGTCTCTGATCGAGGACACGGCCAAGAGGCCCAAGCCCTTCATCGACGTTACCATCATCACCACGGTGGAGCCCCGCAAGGTCAGGGGTCATGAAAATGGGACGTGGGAGGAAAGGGGCGTGTCACAAACAGGAAATTATGTTTTCACTGTAGGGTCATTCTCTGTTGACAAATATTGAGAAGTTGTAATTTGAGAGAATGCCATGGCAAAAGGTATGATGGTCATGCACTCAAAAAGATGTCGCATGAAGCTTACTTATTTTTGTTTTTAAAAATTATCTGCATCAGGGAAAGCGTACACAGAAGTTCCGGCTTTGCGGCCTTCTTCAGTGTGTAGGCCATAGGAAAGGGCACTAAACTATAACTGTCTCAGATTACTGTACGTCAGATTTGGATCACAGTCTGAATGCACAGAACCTAAACAGTAAACATGATTGTCTTCTTTCCTAAACAATAAACACAGCGAATGCAAAAGACATCACTGAAAATAGAATCTGCCGGTCATCATATCTCTTTTTAGAATGAAGCCGTGACAGTCCAGGAAGTCTCTCTTGTCCTCACTCATCTGATCTCCACCCCTCCTTACTTGGTGTCTCTGTCTCTCCCTCCTGTAGACCATAGTGCGGGGTAGTAAGATCGCTGTGGATGGCTCACTGACATGGCTGCTGGATGAGTTTGACACCATGTCGGTGACCCGCTCCAACTCCCTGAGGCGAGGCAGCTCCCCCATCCAGCCGCGCAGAGATTCAGGATCCTCGGGGGGAGGAGGCCATGAGAACGGGGACCTGGCCCACCGGCCACACCACCACCCAGATCACTATGGAGACATCAGAGACAGGTACAGTGTCGGCAGAAGGGGGCCAGGGGGTATTCAGATCTCACCTGTAAAATGACTCTGAGGAAACGTTTCCACCACTCCAGAGAGATGTAACCTGTTTACCGTGTCTCTGTTGCACTAGGGAGTGGCCCAGGCCGGACCAGTTTGCTGGTGGAGACCCCCGGCTGCCCCAGCGGGTACCACGCTCTCAGAGAGAGGACGGCCGGCCACAGCAGCATCCCCGGGGTCAGGAGCCAGGCAGCAGGCACCGAGAGAGGGAGCGCCCTGGCCCACCCCCTCCCCCGCCAAAGCCCAGAAACATGGACCCACAGGATCACCACGACCAGGTAGTCCGCAGGGAAGGGCCCAGCGACAAGAGGCCCAAGTCCAGCTACACGGGCAGGGACGGCAGCCCCCAGTCGCCCCGGGATAAGAGACCTCTCTCGGGGCCCAACATCCGTATGCCTAACCTGCCTGTCACAGAGGAGGTGATCAAGACGGCACAGCAGAGCAGCAGGCCGTTCAACACCTACCCTCGCGCTGACAGTGAAGGAGGAAGGAGCCCCCCCAGCCAGGTACTGACTGGCTGCTAGGTGAACGCCAGGACATTGGGAGATATGAAGAGAATGGAAACCAGTGTAGCTAATGTTCTATTGTCTGTCTCTGACAGACGTCTCCGACATAAAATTGTTGTTCATACAGTGTCATCATTTTCTCTCCCTTCTAGGAGCTGAAGCCAGCCCGACCACACGAAGCTCCGCCACACAACGGTCCCTCTAGTGCCCCCAGCCGAGGCGAGGGCAAAGCTCCACAGAAGGGCCAGCTACGAGGGGACCCCCACCACACCTCCCACCCTGTCCTGGGCCCTGAGCCCCCCCATGGCCACCAGCAGCAGAAGGCTCCTGTTCCCCGCCCCCCGGCCCCTGCCCTACCACCACAGCAGGCCCTCTCGCACCAGAGGGAGCCCCAGCGGGTGTCCCATGAGCAGTTCCGCGCCGCGCTGCAGATGGTGGTGGACCCAGGAGACCCACGCACTTACCTGGACCACTACATCAAGATCGGAGAGGGCTCCACCGGCATTGTATGCATTGCCACCATCAAGAGCACCGGCAAACTGGTGGCCGTCAAGAAGATGGACCTGCGCAAGCAGCAGCGCCGGGAGCTGCTATTCAATGAGGTGGGGACGATGGTCACTGTAATGGACTTGGATGGGAGTCTTGTTTTAGTACCTGTATTGACTTGAACAGAATGCAATTGAGATGATGGAGGTCTTAAGATTGTGGATATTCAGGGAATACAGGCCATGAATTTATAAGCTATTAGTTGTGTGATTCATAACCTTTTATAGTGGCATTGGCTATTACAGAGCTGATTTGCTAACGTTTGAAAGATTTGTCCTGCGTGGAGGGAGCGGTTCATGCATATCTTTGCAGGGGTGTAATGAGTGATGTCATATGCCGCGTAATCTCCCACGGTGTCCTTAGTGACGCTGGTTCCTGTGCTCTCCAGGTGGTGATCATGCGGGACTATCACCATGACAACGTGGTGGAGATGTACAACAGCTACCTGGTGGGAGATGAACTCTGGGTCGTCATGGAGTTCCTGGAGGGAGGGGCTCTAACTGACATCGTCACACACACCAGGTGGGTATCTGTTGATCTGTCTGTTGATCTGCGGTTAGTGCTACCCTAAACCCTAACCATTTAAAATTTCAACTTCAATGGGGTGATGTCAGAGTTGGACATACCAAGGATCCCGGATAGCAATGACCGTTGATCTGCTGCTTTGACCAGCAGGACTATAGACTATGGTAGGGCTGCCCAACCCTCTTCCTGTAGCTATACCGTCCTGTAGGTTTTCAGTCCCACCCTAACCTAACATACCTGATTCAGCTAGTTAAGGTTTTGGTGAGCAGCTAATAAGGAGAATAAGGTGGTTAAATAGATTTGAACTGAACCTACAGGATGGTAGATCTCCAGGAAGAGGCATGGGCAGCCCTGGGCTATGGTGATTAGATTTAAGATTGTCTGTATTTCATACCAGTCATATAGCATTCAATTGCCTATATCTTAGCTGTTTTTACAATACAAGCAATGGTAACCACTCAAAATGTTTTTTGTTGAGTTATTTGTTTCACCACTAGGTGGTAGTGTCGCATAGCTACACCCTCATGTCAATGCATTGCAATCTGTTATTTCTCTGTCAACTCTGAGTGCTAATGACCTGTGTGTGTGTGTCCAGGATGAACGAGGAGCAGATAGCCACAGTGTGTCTGTCTGTGCTGAAGGCTCTGTCAGTGCTGCACACCCAGGGTGTCATCCACAGGGACATCAAGAGTGACTCTATCCTGCTCACCCACGACGGCAGAGTACGTACACTTAACTCCAGAGGTTAAAGTTCTCTGTGACTGTGATGGATTTCCGTCATATTGGGGGGGGTGGCTGGGGCTGGTTTGGAGATGACATAGCCTAATACAGACAGAAGCATGTCTGTTCTATTAAATATATTCCCAAATAAATCTATTCTCAAATATTTTATTTTCTCTGTTACGCTGTGTGCACTGAACTGACATGCAGGATTGTTGATGACACTGATGTTCAGATGAAGGGAATTAAATAGTCTATATAATGTGCACCACAGCAGTGCTCAACTCAGACAGCTGTGTGTAGCCTACTGTAGCTTCTGGCAAAGTCATGCAAAGCCTATTCTTTATCACTCAGGATGGAACTTTTCAGTGCTACTATTTTTGCCATTTAATGTTGTTATTAAAACACAATCAAACACCCCATAGTAGAATAGTTTACCTAGTTACCTAGTCGGCTTGTTGTTGCGTGTTCTATGTGAGATAAATATTCCTGTCGAGGCACATTGAAGTTGCGAGAGCCATAGGAGGGAAACGTGTATTCTGACAAGCAGTCAATGCACAACAATTCTTAATGCAATTGCGGAAAGCACGTTTGAAAGCAGTTTTGGGAAATGTATTTTGAAAAACGTTTTATTTCTCTACTCCTTTAATTGCGTGTGGCATAGTTTTACAAATGCAGTTTTACAATTGGAGTTTCAAGCGTGGTTTAGGGGCAGCTGCACAACAGAGCACTTAAAGGGGCATTGTCGTCTTAAAAGGGCAATGACACTTTGTAATAGAAACCAAATTTTTTTTCGGTTTGAATAATTGATATATTCATATTTATAATAAAATAATAACAACAATCAGGATGTTGTGTCCAATGGGGTAAATGCAGATGGACAAACCCCATGCTTTAGCCTATGTAAATGTTATAGCCATGCTTCATCAGTTGGGCTACAGGTGATAATGCTTATTGCTAATAGCCCATCTGATAATATAGACTATGCATAGGTTATATGCACATGGTCCAATATGTTAAAATAACTAACATTTGTACCAATACGTTATTGGGCCCATTTCTGGAGGTAGAAATTATATTTTAGATGGTGTCGGCATCATGTTATTTTCAATAATTTTGGAGTAGAATGTCCTTTCAAAAAGTCACCAGAACTGAGCTCAACCCTTCTACATAAAAATGATCCTGGGTAGGACCTAAGCAAGTGGACGGGAATTGGTCCAACATGATGGTCATGTCTTTCTTACATGAAAGGGAGGTTCACTTGGCCCCAGACAATTGATCTGAGATCGATCTAAGTTTCAGTCATGGGATTTTTTGTTGCTTTAACCCCTGCCTAACTCTCACCCCAACTCTACATCACTACCTCCCTCATAGACAATTACAGTGGGGGAAAAAAAGTATTTAGTCAGCCACCAATTGGGCAAGTTCTCCCACTTAAAAAGATGAGAGAGGCCTGTAATTTTCATCATAGGTACATGTCAACTATGGCAGACAAAATGAGGAGAAAAAAATTCAGAAAATCACATTGTAGGATTTTTAATGAATTTATTTGCAAATTATGGTGGAAAATAAGTATTTGGTCAATAACAAAAGTTTCTCAATACTTTGTTATATACCCTTTGTTGGCAATGACACAGGTCAAACGTTTTCTGTAAGTCTTCACAAGGTTTTCACACACTGTTGATGGTATTTTGGCCCATTCCTCCATGCAGATCTCCTCTAGAGCAGTGATGTTTTGGGGCTGTCGCTGGGCAACACGGACATTCAACTCCCTCCAAAGATTTTCTATGGGGTTGAGATCTGGAGACTGGCTAGGCTGATGGAAGGAGGTTTTCACTCAAAATCTCACGATACATGGCCCCATTCATTCTTTCCTTTACGCGGATCAGTCGTCCTGGTCCCTTTGCAGAAAAACAGCCCCAAAGCATGATGTTTCCACCCCCATGCTTCACAGTAGGTATGGTGTTCTTTGGATGCAACTCAGCATTCTTTGTCCTCCAAACATGACTAGTTGAGTTTTTACCAAAAAGTTATATTTTGGTTTCATCTGACCATATGACATTCTCCCAATCCTCTTCTGGATCATCCAAATGCACTCTAGCAAACTGCAGACGGGCCTGGACATGTACTGGCTTAAGCAGGGGGACACGTCTGGCACTGCAGGATTTGAGTCCCTGGCGGCATAGTGTGTTACTGATGGTAGGCTTTGTTACTTTGGTTCCAGCTCTCTGCAGGTCATTCACTAGGTCCCCCCGTGTGGTTCTGGGATTTTTGCTCACCGTTCTTGTGATCATTTTGACCCCACGGGGTGAGATCTTGCGTGGAGCCCCAGATCGAGGGAGATTATCAGTGGTCTTGTATGTCTTCCATTTCCTAATAATTGCTCCCACAGTTGATTTCTTCAAACCAAGCTGCTTACCTATTGCAGATTCAGTCTTCCCAGCCTGGTGCAGGTCTACAATTTTGTTTCTGGTGTCCTTTGACAGCTCTTTGGTCTTGGCTATAGTGGAGTTTGGAGTGTGACTGTTTGAGGTTGTGGACAGGTGTCTTTTATACTGATAAGTTCAAACAGGTGCCATTAATACAGGTAACGAGTGGAGGACAGAGGAGCCTCTTAAAGAAGAAGTTACAGGTCTGTGAGAGCCAGAAATCTTGCTTGTTTGTAGGTGACCAAATACTTATTTTCCACCATAATTTGCAAATAAATTCATAAAAAATCCTACAATGTGATTTTCTGGATTTTCTTTTCTCAATTTGTCTGTCATAGTTGACGTGTACCTATGATGAAAATTACAGGCCTCTCTCATCTTTTTAAGTGGGAGAACTTGCACAATTGGTGGCTGACTAAATACTTTTTCCCCCCACTGTATAAGACTAGAGTATGTACACCTAACTCCCTCACCACAACCCAACCATGCTTCATACACAATGATATTATAATTTTCCATGGCAAAAACACGAAATAGACTAAAACTTGCTGTATGATATAAGATATTGTGTGATATAAGCCTAGCTTTGGAAAATAAATAATGTGACTGAGTGACAAAAGAAGGCTCTGTGTATCCAACAGTAGAATGTCTGATTCATGTTTTGTTTCTTTGCCATGATATACCTCAGAGTATTGGGATACTGGTATCGTGACAACCCTTTCCATACCACCCAGTCATAACAGGCGAAACGATATGAAACCATCTGTCAAAATGAAGATATGGGAAAAGAGGAACTTGTTGCAGTCATGTTTGTTCCCAAAGTATTGTAATATATGAGAGGTAATGGAGGGCTTGAAGCTCACACTGTTAATTTAGTTCTTACTTTACCCGACAACAGTTTGTACATGATGCAACAGTTTGATCTTTCATTGAGCCCAACTGTCAACCTCAAGCCCCCTGAAGTCACTTGTAGCTGTCATGGTTAGCATGCTAAGGGCTCCACTTAGCTCTTATTGTGGTTGAACCAAGGGGAAGTGAAGTCAGTCACCCTCAGCTGTTTCTCGGCAGAAGAGGGTGGAGCCCTTAGCACCAGTGCATTTGCGTGTGTCTGTATTCACTGCATGTTTAATTTCCCCTTACCAATTCAAAGCATGCTTTAGTCAGTGAGCACAGTTCTTCAGAAGTCACCATTGGCAGACAGGATATTTATCCACCCAGGCATTGCAAAGGTTTTCTCAGAAAACTGTGGGAGGTGTTCCGCTTTGATTTGTAGTACTATAAAGCAGGACATTGCTAGATAGAGGATTGTTCTTTGTACACAAAGGGTTGAGCCTGTCAATCTACAGTGAAGGAAAAAAGTATTTGATCCCCTGCTGATTTTGTACATTTGCCCACTGACAAAGACATGATCAGTCTATAATTTTAATGGTAGGTTTATTTGAACAGTGAGAGACAGAATAACAACAAAAAAATCCAGAAAAACGCATGTCAAAAATGTTATAAATTGATTTGCATTTTAATGAAGGGAAATAAGTATTTGACCCCTCTGCAAAACATGACTTAGTACTTGGTGGCAAAACCCTTGTTGGCAATCACAGAGGTCAGATGTTTCTTGCAGTTGGCCACCAGGTTTGCACACATCTCAGGAGGGATTTTGTCCCACTCTTTGCAGATCTTCTCCAAGTCATTAATGTTTCGAGGCTGACGTTTGGCAACTTGAACTTTCAGCTCCCTCCACAGATTTTCTATGGGATTAAGGTCTGGAGACTGGCTAGGCCACACCAGGACCTTAATGTGCTTCTTCTTGAGCCACTCCTTTGTTGCCTTGGCCGTGTGTTTTGGGTCATTGTCATGCTGGAATACCCATCCACGACCCATTTTCAATGCCCTGGCTGAGGGAAGGAGGTTCTCACCCAAGATTTGATGGTACATGGCCCCGTCCATCGTCCCTTTGATGCGGTGAAGTTGTCCTGTCCCCTTAGCAGAAAAACACCCCCAAAGCATAATGTTTCCACCTCCATGTTTGACGGTGGGGATGGTGTTCTTGGGGTCATAGGCAGAATTCCTCCTCCTCCAAACACGGCGAGTTGAATTGATGCCAAAGAGCTCGATTTTGGTCTCATCTGACCACAACACTTTCACCCAGTTCTCCTCTGAATCATTCAGATGTTCATTGGCAAACTTCAGACGGGCCTGTATATGTGCTTTCTTGAGCAGGGGGACCTTGCGGGCACTGGTAACACACTACGGCGTAGTGTGTTACCAATTGTTTTCTTGGTGACTATGGTCCCAGCTGCCTTGAGATCATTGACAAGATCTTCCTGTGTAGTTCTGGGCTGATTCCTCACTGTTCTCATGATCATTGCAACTCCACGAGGTGAGATCTTGCATGCAGCCCCAGGCCAAGGGAGATTGACAGTTATTTTGTGTTTCTTCCATTTGCGAATAATCGCACCAAATGTTGTCACCTTCTCACCAAGCTGCTTGGCAATGGTCTTGTAGCCCATTCCAGCCTTGTGTAGGTCTACATTCTTGTCCCTGACATCCTTGGAGAGCTCTTTGGTCTTGGCCATGGTGGAGAGTTTGGAATCTGATTGATTGATTGCTTCTGTGGACAGGTGTCTTTTATACAGGTAACAAACTGAGATTAGGAGCACTCCCTTTTAAGAGTGTGCTCCTAATCTCAGCTCATTACCTGTATAAAAGACACCTGGGAGCCAGAAATCTTTCTGATTGAGAGGGGGTCAAATACTTATTTCCCTCATTAAAATGCAAATCAATTTAAAACATTTTTGACATGCGTTTTTCTGGATTTTGTTGTTGTTATTCTGTCTCTCACTGTTCAAATAAACCTACCATTAAAATTATAGACTGATCATTTTTTGTCAGTGGGCAAACGTACAAAATCAGCAGGTGATCAAATACTTTTTTCCCTCACTGTATAACACACAACGTCCATGTCAGCTGAAAAGTCTGAAATGTAGTCATTTGCAAAGATAGCAGTATTTTTTTTTTTGAATGTAAGTTTTTCCCCTACAAATAATTTAAGTAAATTTTCAAAGCTTTTGATCAACAGTTACTCAGGTGTCCTAATCTCAGCGGTGACATTATTTAGAAAATACCCTGTATGTGTGAATAGTAGTGTAGCTCTGACCCTCTCCTCTTCGTCGTCGTCCGTCCCCCGTCCCCCGTCCCCCGTCCCCCCTCCCCTCCAGGTGAAGCTTTCAGACTTTGGCTTCTGCGCCCAGGTGTCTAAAGAGGTCCAGCGGCGCAAGTCCCTGGTGGGCACACCTTACTGGATGGCCCCGGAGCTCATCTCACGACTGCCCTATGGGCCTGAGGTAAGGTCCAGTTAGTTGTGTCTGTGTGCGTGCATTATAATTCTCAACTATCGCTGATCGCTGTGTGTATACAATATTCTACCCTGTAGGTGGACATCTGGTCCTTGGGGGTGATGGTGATCGAGATGGTGGACGGAGAGCCCCCCTATTTCAATGAGCCCCCCCTCAAAGCTATGAAGATGATCCGTGACAACCTACCACCCAAACTCAAGAACTTACACAAGGTACTTGGCACACTAGAAAGAGCCCATCTCTCACGCAAGGCCCCAACATGGTTAACTATGTCCCTGTTATTCAACGTTTTGAAGTTGATACTCATCCTTTGACGTTATTGTTCCTTCTCTCCGTTCCCAGGTTTCTCCTCTCCTCAAGGGCTTCCTGGACAAATTGCTGGTGCGAGACCCCACCCAGAGGGCCACAGCCAACGAGCTGCTCAAGCACCCCTTCCTGAGCAAGGCTGGCCCGCCCTCCTGCATCGTGCCTCTCATGAGGCAGAACCGCATGAGATGAGAGCAGGCGGAGGCCTCTCCCCCACTAAGTGGTAGTGTCACATGGACCCTCAACCCCCCCCAAGCTCACACCTCGGACTCACACTTATCTAGAGCGAGGGGGGGAGGCCAGCGGAGAAACACTGCTCAGCTCATATTAGCATTTTTACTGGTCAAGCATTTTTTAAAGAACCTTTTGAAATGAAAAGGAACTCTGTCTGTCCCTTTTCCTGTGGGAGAAAACAGTTTGACACTAGAAGGATTTATAGCTTGAGCGGTTTGGTGCAGAATGAGGCTTGGAAAGTGCTGTGGGATCATTAGACCATAAGCTGCCTGCTGGGGAGACTCACAAAAAGCACTGTTAGCATCCTAGCTGAATGGTCTGAACCATGCTTCCTCACTACAGGACTTCCTCACTACATGGCCCACACTCAACTCTATTCCAATAGACAGGACATCATAAACTACTACTGAAAGAGGACCATGCTTTTCTCTTACCACATGATGCATACAATTATTTTTTTAATGACAATAAACACTTGGTTCCTGTTACAAACACTAAGCAAAGGTAAACACTGGAGTTGTGTTTTTCAGATGATTTTCTTTTCTTTATTTTTCTTGTGTAAGTATAATGAATATAGATATCCTCTTTGTTTTCTCTGTTGTGATTTTTTTTGGTTACAATGAGATGATTTGAAGCACTGTTCTGAGATAGAAGCTGCACTCCTGGTTGATTCCAATATATCGTATAGTTTTTGTAATAATTTTTTATTACAAGATTAATATTTTTGTTTCTTTTAATTGACCTGTGTTTAATAGGACATCATGATAAAGTGAACATCAAGGCAGAGTTTTAGCTGGTTTTTGTTCTAAAGGCTTATTTTTACTTTAGGAATTTAGCTATATAGATTGTGCTCCCTGTAACCCCTCGATCCGCTGCTGTATACCTCAACTGTTAGTCTATAGTAGTAACCACTAGGTCAATGTAAGGACAAGCCTTATGAAAGCACCACCCCTCCCGCCCGCACACCTGTATATACAGGAATCCTCCAGATTGCCTAAATAAGTAGCTTTCTCCTTAAGTTTTATTTTCTTCATTTTTCCTAATGATGCATTTCTTTAACACCTGACCTGGCCGGTCTGGACTATGTGAATGTAGTACTGAGCCACAAACAGGCTCTGTGTTTAAAGATAGAATCTGCAGTAGGGGGAAACGGCGTCACTGGTCACCCCCTCCACCATTGTTATTTTTTATTTTTCTGAGCTGAGGAGCATGGTAAAAAAAAAAGTACATAGTGTGCTCTTCTATCGTGCGTGCAAAGGTGTCCGGGGTGTGGGGTTGGGGGGGGGGGGGGGACAGTGTTCGTTGTTTGCAGTTACTGCTTTGTTGTTGTAATATCGCAAATGGACGTGGCTGTTTCGCTATTAAGGATTCCAGCTTTAAGGGCTTATTAGAACAGGAAACGGACACACAAGGTAAAAATCTGCACTTAGCTGAATGAAGTGTGCAACAGCTGCTAGAACTGAACTCTTGTGTCCACAATGTAGCAATGACAGGAACTGTATGGCAGAAAACACAGACACACAGATGCCAACTCAAGTAGTAAACACTCAACGCAATCACCCACACACACTTCATGCAGGGCCCTACAAAAGGCTGCGATGCGGGTGGAATCGCGAATCCAGACATTAAAACAGAATTCAACAATATTCAAAAATGTATTGAACTTTGGTAGGAAATCAACTAAATGTATTAGAAAATGTATTATTTTGCCAAGACTATCATAAGACATAAACAAATTGCATCAGTAGAGAGCATCCAAAGAACACGAGGCCTTAGTGCACAGAAAAGAGTAGCCATTTTCAGTTGGGAAATCAGAACAGATTCCATAAGTAGACACTAACACTACATTGTGAAGTATTGTAGTGTCAAAGGTTAGTGTACTGTTAACATTCTGTCTCATGTACTTGCTTGGAGTAAATTTGAGTATTTAATATAGATTTAACTAATTGTTTTAAAATATGATTGTATTTATCACTCACTTAAACCATTTCAGTACTTTTTACTGATGCTCAAAAGGTAGTCTGATTTGAATTTAAATGTGTGACAATATTCCATATTTCCAAAAGACAAGTGGAAGTCTGTTAAAAGTGACATGATTGGCAAGCCTGAATAATATGTGATCTGTCTGTGTTCCCTGTGTAAAAAAATAATGTTCTTCCAGTTTAGTTTTGCAAAAATGAGTGAAAAGATGGGCTGAAAGAATGACAATCAAAGTTAGTAAGAGTAATTCACTGTCTGCTTTTTCAACAATATTCTAAACTGATCACTTTTCAACACAAACTAATTTTCTAAACAAATCCTATTTTGATACTCATTAAAGCCATCTTTGCATACTGTATATTTCTAAATTAATAATTACCATGAAGTGATGGTACACACACTTGGTATTTCGTTTTTTATCAAATACTGTATAACGATGAATGCAAAAACAAAAAAGACTTATCATTCCTCAAACTACAGAGTTGAAGCATCTCATTAACCCCCACATGTCAGATAAGATTTCAATTGCCATTGGTTTCACTCATGTCAACTACAGTTTGCAGTGGTTGGTATGAAACCAATCACATACATTTCTCAGTTGGTATTTGACATTCATGTAGCTTCTACTTAAATGAATGGCTGTCAAGGTTAGAACGGCTTAACATAGTTTTATCGGTTTTTGTGTGTGTTAATGCCTTAACGTTCAGAAAAGTAACATGATCAATATTATTCCCTTTCTTTGCAATTACTGTTAATTGCAAATGTACATGATTTTACTCATCTCCAGGAGTCTCTAGTACCTCAGAGTAAACTCATCATTGTTATCGTTGGTTTGTGTTTGTTGAGATGATGCTCAAATTCCAATTAGGAGCTGTGACTCCTACTGACTGGCCTACTTGGAAATATATTTATGTGTACATTTCTCCAACTTGCCTGTATGATATTTTTAACACTTTCTTGTACGCTAAATCATTTATGCACCAGTATTGTCAAGTTTGTGATGGTTGACAGTTTTTCTGAAGAGTCCCAACCCCCCCCTGGATTTTTGCATTTCCACTGGTTATATATATAAAAAATAAAACAAACTGTATTTTTGCAAATACAGTTTTTCTAAAATGTAAGTTTTGTCATGCCCTTTTCATTGTGTATTGTGTGACCATTGAGGATGTCAACCATTTCAAAAGTTGTGTTCTAGCAATAGTCTTTCTCCTCAGATGGTACTCATTTGCTCATTGCAAAAAAAACATCTAAAGAGCCCGTGTATAGCCAGAGTCTGCTATTTACAAAAACATCCTGCAATACTGTAATAGTAAATCGAGGCTTTATCAGTGACTGCAAAAAGGGAAAAAACAAAGGGAAAGGAGATACCTAGTCAGTTGCACAACTGAATGCATCCAACTGAAATGGGTCTTCCGCATTTAACCACAGTGGGAAAAGGAGAACATATTCTATCTTTAATGAGGAACGTTTTGCCCGACCACAAGGAATACATCCTATAGATAGGGCTATGCCTGTATTATGTTGTAACCCTAACAGGTGGTGAGAAAGGATATGAGGGATATATCAGTGACTATGATCACATACTGTGTAGAGTTTGGACTATGGCTTGTATATGCCACTCCCAGAGAGGTACCAGGGATTAATTTATTTTTAAATTGTGCTGCCTTATAAGAAATGAAAGACAGGGTAACTTGATGACATTACAGTTGGTTATTAATGGTCTTAGTGACACATTAATAGTTTCATCCCAGTAATTTTCAGTATAACACATAATATCATGATGAATGATGTTAGACTTGGCCTTTGGCTATATGAGGATGATAATGGTTATGATGGTGTTGATGATCGATAACATTTGGCTATGATATATGGTTTTAAATCGTCATCTATTTTAAGCCCATGTCCTATAGGTGGTTGACTGCTAATAAGTCCTTTAGTTATATTGTGTTTTAGGTACAACCAGCGTTTGTAGTTTGTCTATTTTCATATTTATTAACCTGATACATTGGTGGAGAAATATAAGGTAAAATATTACATAATACAATGTTAATGTATCTCTGGAAGGAACTAAAATATGTTGCGTTGGCGTACAAGGCACTTTTCACAGTTCTGCGAAATGTAGCTCGAATTTCCTGAATATAGCAAGGTCCAGCAGACGCGTGCTCAGGGCGGGGTTTGTGTGAAGACTCATTTTATACAGTGTTCGTATTGCATGGCCGGGTGCCCTGGGTGTCGAGGGATTTCGCTTAAGGACCAATGGAATGGTCTAAAATGAGACAACTCCGCCCACCCGGGGTACCAGGCCATGCAAAAGTGACTAGCCCAATGTCACCAGCGTGGGTAGTCTCTCTGTTCCTGTCAAGAACACAGCTGAGCGATGATTCAATTGTCAGCGGCTGTGAAATAGATCCAGTTGTTGCTGTATGCCCCATTCATCTGGAGGAGATTTGTCGAATAAAAAAAACGAGATATTAATCTCGAGCGGATCGTATATCAAACATACGGGGAAGTATTGCTTTATTCCATCTTGGACTAATCCTTGGACGGAATATTCATATATCTAGATTGTACAGGTGAGTAGCCTTATTGGTGAGATGTTATCTTTGGCCAGTAATTTTTTTCCAAAATGATTTAAACAGTTTAACCCCAATAATAGAACGTGTGAGATGTAGGATATGGCTAGCCTGTAGGACAGAGTGTTGATGTAGGCTGTAGGAATATTTTTTGAATTATTGGGAGTTGAGTTTAGTCGCCTAGGGAAAATTGTGATTGTGAGTTTGATATAATAGCATTCTGGATATGGTATAAATGCGTCAGCTTTGGCATTTGTATTTATTTGGGGATATCTGGTGATTTCTGGGTATGCACATGTGCATTCAGCTCCGTTGCGCATTTATGTTCAGCAAGCGCTGGTAGGCTATTTAGTCGGTTTGTCATGAACGTTCCACAAACACTAGCCTTATTTATTTGAGCCTACCTGGTTTTAATTAACATAATAGCCTTTGCTTACCATATTCTGCCGTAGGCTACAAGGTCCTTCCTTATAATTTGTGCCTGGATGTGTTTTGATAGGACGCATAAAATCCATTGATTACATTTCCTCACTTCCATGACAACACAAAGACATAGGTAGTGTGTCATATTATAATTGTTCACTTGCCTATTCCTCTTGGATCAGTGGGATGGCATGAAAAGTGTACTGTGTGTCACTGTCATCCATGTATGGCACTTACAGTAACATCTCACAGGGATGCAGCTGAGTAGTTTGACAATCGGAGCAGAAAGTGCAAAGTACCACATAGCAGAAGTAATTCAACCCATGGGTTATTACTGTTAACTAACCAATCAAACATGGCAATCATTACAGGCACACAGAAGACAAACAGTTACCAAATCCATATGGAGGAGAAATTATGTTTTTTACTAGATTTGTTGATGACAACTTATTGTGTCCACATTAGTACATTTATTCATACATACTAATTACATTTTATTTTATAGTGTTGTGTTTTAAAGTAATGCTTTATAATGGAGCTGGAGAAATTTATAATGGCATACTTCACAGCTTGTGCAGAACAGAAGTAATCTTTTAATAAGATAGTGAGTAAGATGCCACCCACCTACATTGTGGTCACAGCTCACTGCCTGATTGATACAGATGTATGATCTTAATTTGATCACTCTGTTGCAGGAGAACTTTTCAGCAATGCAGGAATGTAACATTTGTAGTGTATTTGAGGTTTAAAAAGGCTTCGGAAATTTGTAATTTCCGTTTAGAAATTTCAGACTTGATTTTCCCTTATGAAAATTGTATCGACCCCTACAAAAATGTCAATTAATTATAATCCACTTAATAATTCACATTTCCTGTTGCTGCAGGATTATTTTCTTGCTGTAGCAAACATGCTCAATTTAATATCCTACATCTGTAGGCTATGTGAGTTGGCAGGGACCTCCCCTGCTGCTCCAGAGATGACTGGCACCCCCAATATGAAAGCACTCCGAAACCCAGCACACCATGGGATTTGTGTTCGTGCCATACGTGTGTGCCAAGTCCAGTGCTAATACAGGAAATATGGGCCCAGTGAAACTACCAGTTTCACACTACCAGTCATATAAGTAATGTTGGTAAATGTCAGGTGTTAAACAATAACCCAAGTTTAGTTTCAGTTTTGGGAAATGAAAGGGTACAGTGTTAGGCATTGATTCACTCATTCAGGGTCAGGCTGTGGGTGTTTATGGTAGCTGCAGCTGTGAACTGCTGTCCCCTGCCTTTGTTAGGGCAAAAGGGGATGCTTTCCATGTGCATGAATAGATATTTGTTGGTATTTTGCAACTGTGTGTGTGCACATGTGTGCATATGTGTGTGCGTGACTATCTGCAGGGCACTGAGTCCTCTGTTTATTGCACCTGTAGGAAGACTGTTTTGATGTCTGTGCGGCGGGTGTCTCCATGGCTGTGTGGACACGTCACTCTGGGCTACGGCCTCTTTCTCCTGGTCGCCCTTCCAGACCTCACCACAGGTACCCATCTCCCTCCCCAACCACCCACCCTAACCACCCACAATTGCCCACCCCGGTCATCACCTCTGCTAGGCATCCAAGTTGCACCACCATGCACTTGTTGAAACAGTCACCACTGCACCCGAAAGCTGTAATCCATTGACACTCAGCCCTCTCCCCAGACCTGCAAGACTCCTCCTCCCAGACTCCACCTGTCTTACTCCATCCATACTACTGTATCTATTAATAAACTCTCTACCAAAAGCTTTTTCCCTCTTCAACCTGAATCACAGAGCTTTGAGATACAATAACTGCAGGTTAGATTCAACAATAAGGTCTAACAACTGAACTGTATGCCTCATCCGCAGGCAGGCAAAGGAATTGCAGCCACCCTCTGGTGCCAGAACACGGGGGCTTCCGCTGCGAGCCCTCCCCCTGCCGAGGCTTCCTCCAGAAGAGCTTGATCTACTACTTCTGTGAGCCCGGCTACACCCTCCCAGAAGAGGTGAACAGCTCGCGCTGCCTCCACGGCAAATGGATCCCCAGCGTGCCCACCTGTCTGTTCACACAAGGTGAGTGTAGTGGACTGAATCACCACAGCCGAGGGGGAGGAGGGGTAAACCTTTGCACCTAGTGTAATGGACTAGAGCAGGGATGGGCAACTTTGATGGGGGTGGGGACCACAAAAATCTGAACTCATCATGACCCACATCCATACCCACACATGCAGTCAGAGCCCCACCTTGACAGCAAAACATTTTAGTGGCCCCCTCTTGACAGCAGAGAGAAAACATGGATGTTTTAGAGTTAATTTCTTGCAATTCTACACATTTTGCCATGGGGCGGAGATAGAATGTTGCAGTTTTAAAGCAAGTTTGCTGCAATTCTACATGTTTTGCCATGGGGCGGAGAAAAGATTTTGCAATTTTAGAAAAGAAATTACACTCGTTCATTTCCTGCAATTCTACTCATTTTGCCATGGGGTGGAGAAAAAAATTAGCCGTTTTTAATATGATATCTGAGTGAGAGTGACAGTGTGTGTGGAGTATGTCCATGAGTGACTGATATGAGATAAGTGTTAGGTCAACTGCAGTCAGGTCAAAGGTTGCAGTGTGATTTAAGGTAGGTCCTGTACTCAATGACTCACCGACTTTGTAAATGCATTAACTCAAACACCTAACAATTACTTTGCCTGGGCTGTATGAATGCATAGAGGTTGTGGGTTGATGATTTAAATGCTACATGGCTTTCTTCCACATAGTCATCTCATAAGCTGATTAATAGCAATGCTATGACCACCCTCCTTCATTCGTCCTCTTATTGGATGTGGAAGAGGCAAGTGGAAGCATGCACTCTATCCACTCTATACCAGTAGATTTAAAAGCTATAACCCTTATGTACGCATGACCGTTGTGCTATAGTTTCAATGGCCTTGAGTATAGCCTTCATAGGCTTTGAGTGGCGCTAGAGAGGAGCTGAGCAGTGTGTTAGGATGGTGTGTGGCCTGCTAAGTGCTAACATTCGATTGTTGTCACTTTCTGGTACCAACCCCTTAGTTCCATACGAGGTCAATGACCTACTTGGTGAGATGCAAAAGCCGACAGAGCAGATTCTTAACATGCTACATTAGAGTCATAGAGCCAGTCTTGCTTCCTCTTTCGGCCTGTGCTGCATCGAGGCAGGAAACCAGCATCAAGAAACGGAAAGTGAGCAAAGTCACCAAACTAACCAGTCTCTTTCCTCTGCCATATTAAACCTCACGGAAATGTACTGCGTCATGGGTATAGGAAACCACACCGCCAGATGCATGACTCCCTTTGAGAGACCATGTATTATACTGTCGATATGTGTGTCAGTAGTGTGTTTCCCCAAAATTATGTGTGTACTTACTGAATGTATTTGTTGAGTGTGTTGTAGCTCTGGTCCAGGGTGTTAATGTGCGTTCAGGGGTATTAGTGAGTGCACACACTAACGCACTGGACCAGAGCTAAGTGTGTTGTAGGTAGTTGATGGGTGTGTGTGTTGATTGTTTGTGTTGTGTTTTCTCTCAGACAACTATGAGGACCAGGTGGCCCACTCACTCCCCAGCGTTGCCACGACGGCGGTGGGCGTGTCCATATTCCTCCTCACCACCACGGCCTGCTTGGTGATCAAGTCCCGCCTTTTCCCCTGTCACTCACACAGGTAAGCGCATATGACTGGCTCTTATCCCTGTCACTCACACAGCTATATTCATACGACTGGATCCTCTAAAGCAGTGTGGTCACTACTAACCCTGGTCCTGGAGCATTAGTGAATGTAGGTTTTGTTCCAGCCCAGGACTAACACACCTGATTCAGCTAACCAAGGTCTTGATGATTGTAAATTGGTAATGTATTCAGAAATACACTATACTACTACTATCTGTCAGGGAATAGAGGAGGGTTTTGGAGAGAGCAGGGTGAGAGAAACAGGGAATTACAGATGGACGGATATGTAAAATAGAAGAGGTTGAATGAAGGAAAAACTGACAGATGGAGAGAGAGAGAAAGGAAAAAGAGGTACGGAGCATTTAAGTGGCCACGAGAGGGAGGAGAGATGAAAGAGTGAGAAAGAGAGGGATGAACTGGAGAGATAGAGAGATGGGGCGGCAGGTAGCTTAGTGGGTAAGAGCATTGTGCCAGTAACCGAAAGGTCGCTGGTTCTAATCCCCGAGCCGACTAGGTGAAAAATCTGTCGATGTGCCCTTAAGCAAGGCACTTAACCCTAATTGCTCATGTAAGTCGCTCTGGATAAGAGCGTCTGCTAAATGACTAAAATGTAAATGTAATGATTGGTTGAATCAGGTGTGTTGCTCTGTAGGGATGGTTACAGCGCTGTAGTGGCATTGTAGAGTAGAGGCTTGGAAATGCATCACATTCTGTAATGAAAGCATCTTTATAATAACCTCCCGAGTGGCGCAGTGGTCTAAGCTGTGCCACTAGAGATCCTGGTTCGAATCCAGGCTCTGTCGTAGCCGGCCGCGACCGGGAGACCCAGGGTAGGGGAGGGAATGGCCGGCAGGGATGTGTGTGTGTGTGTGTGTGGTAGAGTATGGCGTTTGCAACGCCAGGGTTGTGGGTTCGATTCCCACAGGGGGCCAGTATGAAAAATAAAAAATAATGTATGCACTCACTAACTGTAAGTCGCTCTGGATAAGAGCGTCTGCTAAATGACTAAAATGTAAATGTTATAATCTGATGAGTGAAAGAGGAAGAAGAGAATTCAGTGGTTTGATAGGCATCTTGTTATCATCAGTGGTGGGTGTTTCATAGCTGTAGTATCTGTTAGATTGTAGATAACTCCACCCACTGTGTGAGTGCTGTGTCTTTGAAGTGATCTGATCATCTCTCTACTGTTGTTCAGCAGGCGCTCCTCTGACCAGATGGATCTGATGGTGGATGGCCTGCCTGTGTCTCTGCCCACCTATGAGGAGGCTGTCTACGGGAGCTGGGGGCAACACCTGCCCCCCTGCAGAGGGCCCACCCAGCTCCTATTGGCCCAGGAGTCTCTAGGTCCATCATTAGCTCACAACCAATCAGATTACAGTCACTGTATCCATCCATCCAATCAACGCCCCGAGATCCTTCCTCCCGCTTACGAGGAGATCCAATCCCGTCAGAGTGAGGTGGACGTGCAGGCCTTACAAGTTGCACTTTCCGATGATAAGGACATTTGAGTGACTGGCGTATTTGTGTTACCCACCAATGAAATGTAAAATCATGTGCTCAGGCACTTATATGGATTCAAGCCTACCAGCATGGATCCACTTTCTTATCAGGTTTCAACCTTATACATAGCACACCAGTTCTGATTGGCTGTTTGTAATGTTATGAGAAGTATCCTGCCATGGAGACATGGTTTATATCCCATCAGTGATGGGACCAGAGCCTCGTTTGTTGAGGTGACTTTGGTAATGCCATTACTGTTACATCATAGGGACCTGCACATCTCTATTGTGACTGATTGATTGTGCACTATGGGTAAACCCAGCTGGTGAGAGTGGAAATGGAAGTTACTCTCCCTCCTTTCATTTTTGTTGGTTTATGATTTGAGATAATGGCAGAATTGTAGCGTTGATATGGAAACCAGCAGGCGACTGGACAGTGGACACAGAGATCACGTGCTGGTCAGTTTAGGAGTTAAATCTGTGTTCGCTCTCCCCTGAAACATATTTTGAGTTCTAGCTACAACCCAGTCCAATTTTGACTGGCATTTTTGGGAATGGTGACAGACTGACCACATGGAAGCGTTTCACTTCCTACACCCACCAGGCACGCACTTGACACCCTCCACCATGCCAAGCATACCCCACACCAAGTTTCCACCAACCCCTCTCTCCTCCACCGCCCTGTTCCCACCTTTCACCTCTCCTCTATCTGCTTTGGGGAGGGTGGGGGGGGGCAGAACCCCCCGGGATGTACTTATTTGTTATAGACATTGAATGTAGTTGTTTCTCTTTTTCTTTTCAATAGAACAAAATGTAATGGATGTATGTAATGTAACATTTACATAATATTGCAATTATTGTATTGCACAGAAGATTAAAAGTCAACATTGTTAAACCTTTTGGCCTTACTCGGTTATGGTGCTCTCTGGGACGAATTAGTCAAAGGAAAGTAGATCACATGGTTGATCTGAGACACAGTTTGCACCCCAATGCCACTCTATTACCTATAAAATGCATTACTTTTGACCAGAGCTCTATAGGCAATGGGGCGCCATTTGGGACACAGCACAGACAGAGCTAGTCTAATAACCAGCTCTTGTTGTGCCATGTTGAATAATTAAGTTAAAGTTCTATGTGGGAATTTCAGCTTAAAGCGGCAATCAACAGTTGAAACAATAACAAAGTCCACCCCCGTTTCGGTAAAAAGCTGAGGGATGGGGCTGGAGAAATGTAACCACTCTCAAATTCATAGACAGAGCTATGGATGTGTTTTAGCGATGTTTTGAGGCTATATAATGTTGTTTACATTTTCTTTGTTTTAAACATTGGCGTAAAACAAGCTTGGGGCTCTATTCAATCTGTAAAGCTGAAGCATTACATATTCCGCGATAGAAGAGACTGCATTCACGGTAAATGCTGCATATGTCTGCTCAATCGTAAATTACCTTTACATTTCTATGCTGGAATCTGATGGGGTATGACAGTTGAACTAAGCTCATGAGGCATTTATAAGTTATATTCTTCAAGAATCAACAGGTACATATGAGTCCAACAATGGATGCAGCAACTGCTGATTGCCCCTTTAACCTGCCTGAGCTAAAGTTCTAACATGGGATTTGACATGCTGACCAACAAATTATTTTATGTTACACACAACTTTGTACAAGCAGGATGGCCAGGGCAAGGCACTGTTAGGGAAGTTGAGTAGACTCACTTTAACTTCTCAAGCCTGCTTACTGTGTCCAAATGGAGAAGTAAAACATCCGCTTATGAGGAATGCAGAACTACTATACTGACCTATTTACTGGAATCAGTTGAGTAATGACTCTGTGTGTTTAGCCCTGATTGAGGTTTTAATTATAGTGAATGGAAAGACCCATTGACAAAACAGAGTTGGTACATTATGGTTGTTTCCCCATCAAACAGTTTCAAGTAGGAAGTGATACGCAATAGAACATACACTACCGGTCAAACGTTTTAGAACACCTACTCATTTAAGGGTTTGTCTTTATTTTTTACTATTTTCTATTATTCTATCTATTTTCTATTATATAACAATAGTGAAGACATCAAAACTATGAAATAACACATATGGAATCATGTAGTAACCAAAAAAGTACATTTTAATGTCTTTAAAATACATTTTATATTTGAGATTCTTCAAATAGCCACCCTTTGCCTTCATGACAGCTTTGCACATTCTCTCAACCAGCTTCATGAGGTAGTCACCTGGAATGCATTTCAATTAACAGGTGTGCCTTCTTAAAAGTTAATTTGTGGAATTTCTTTCCTTCTTAATGCGTTTGAGCCAATCAGTTGTGTTGTGACAAGGTGGGTGGGTGGGGGGGGGGGGGGGGGGGGGGGGGGTATACAGAAGATAGTCCTATTTGGTAAAAGACCAAGTCCATATTATGGCAAGAACAGCTCAAATAAGCAAAGAGAAATTACAGTCCATCATTACTTTAAGACATGAAGGTCAGTCAATACGGAACATTTCAAGAACTTTGAAAGTTTCTTCAAGTGCAGTCACAAAAACCATCAAGCGGTATGATGAAACTGGCTCTTATGAGGACCGCCACAGGAATGGAAGACCCAGAGTTACCTCTGCTGCAGAGGATAAGTTCATTATAGTTACCAGCCTCAGAAATTGCAGCCCAAATAAATGCTTCACGGAGTTCAAGTAACAGACACATCTCAACATCAACTGTTCAGAGGAGACTGTGTGAATCAGGCCGTAATGGTCGAATTGCTGCAAAGAAACCACTACTAAAGGACACCAATAAGAAGAAGAGACTTGCTTGGGCCAAGAAACACAAGCAATGGACATTAGACTGGTGGAAATGTATCCTTTGGTCTGGAGTCCAAATTTGATATTTTTGGTTCCAACCGCCGTGTCTTTGTGAGACGCGGTGTGGGTGAACGGATGATCTCTGCATGTATATTTCCCACCATAAAGCATGGAGAAGGAGGTGTTCAAGACTGTTGGAAAAGCATTCCAGGTGAAGCTGGTTAAGAGAATGCCAAGAGTGTGCAAAGCTGTCATCATGGCAAAGGGTGGCTATTTGAATAATCTCAAATATAAAATATACACTGCTCAAAAAAATAAAGGGAACACTTAAACAACACAATGTAACTCCAAGTCAATCACACTTCTGTGAAATCAAACTGTCCACTTAGGAAGCAACACTGATTGACAATAAATTTCACATGCTGTTGTGCAAATGGAATAGACAACAGGTGGAAATTATAGGCAATTAGCAAGACACCCCCAATAAAGGACTGGTTTTGCAGGTGGTGACCACAGACCACGTCTCAGTTCCTATGCTTCCTGGCTGATGTTTTGGTCACTTTTGAATGCTGGCGGTGCTTTCACTCTAGTGGTAGCATGAGACGGAGTCTACAACCCACACAAGTGGCTCAGGTAGTGCAGCTCATCCAGGATGGCACATCAATGCGAGCTGTGGCAAGAAGGTTTGCTGTGTCTGTCAGTGTAGTGTCCAGAGCATGGAGGCGCTATCAGGAGACAGGCCAGTACATCAGGAGACGTGGAGGAGGCCGTAGGAGGGCAACAACCCAGCAGCAGGACTGCTACCTCCGCCTTTGTGCAAGGAGAAGCAGGAGGAGCACTGCCAGAGCCCTGCAAAATGACCTCCAACAGGCCACAAATGTGCATGTGTCTTTATTTTTTATTTTTTTTAACCAGGTAAGCCAGTTGAGAACAAGTTCTCATTTACAACTGCTCAAACGGTCAGAAACAGACTCCATGAGGGTGGTATGAGGGCCCGACGTCCACAGGTGGGGGTTGTGCTTACAGCCCAACACCGTGCAGGACGTTTGGCATTTGCCAGAGAACACCAAGATTGGCAAATTCGCCACTGGCGCCCTGTGCTCTTCACAGATGAAAGCAGGTTTACACTGAGCACATGTGACAGACGTGACAGAGTCTGGAGACGCCGTGGAGAATGTTCTGCTGCCTGCAACATCCTCCAGCATGACCGGTTTGGCGGTGGGTCAGTCATGGTGTGGGGTGGCATTTCTTTGGGGGGCCGCACAGCCCTCCATGTGCTCGCCAGAGGTAGACTGACTGCCATTAGGTACCGAGATGAGATCCTCAGACCCCTTGTGAGACCATATGCTGGTGCGGTTGGCCCTGGGTTCCTCCTAATGCTAGACCTCATGTGGCTGGAGTGTGTCAGCAGTTCCTGCAAGAGGAAGGCATTGATGCTATGGACCGCCCGTTCCCCAGACCTGAATCCAATTGAGCACATCTGGGACATCATGTCTCGCTCCATCCACCAACGCCACGTTGCACCACAGACTGTCCAGGATGCTTTAGTCCAGGTCTGGGAGGAGATCCCTCAGGAGACCATCCGCCACCTCATCAGGAGCATGCCCAGGCATTGTAAGGAGGTCATACAGGCACGTGGAGGCCACACACACTACTGAGCCTCATTTTGACTTGTTTTAAGGACATTACATCAAAGTTGGATCAGCCTGTAGTGTGGTTTTCCACTTTAATTTTGAGGGTGACTCCAAATCCAGACCTCCATGGGTTGATAAATTTGATTTCCATTGATAATTTTTGTGTGATTTTGTTGTCAGCACATTCAACTACGTCAAGAAAAAAGTATTTAATAAGATTATTTCATTCATTCAGATCTAGGATGTGTTATTTCAGTGTTCCCTTAATTTTTTTGAGCAGTGTATTTTGATTTAACACTTTTTGGGTTACTACATGATTCCATATGTGTTATTTCATAGTGTTGATGTCTTCACTATTATTCTACAATGTAGAAAATAGTAAAAATAAAGAAAAACCCTTGAATGAGTAGGTGTTCTAAAACTTTTGACCGGTAGTGTAGTTCAACATGTTTTAGTCAGCGTCAGTGTGGGTCTCCACAAATGGATCATGCTTCACAGCATTCTTTACCTTCCCTCTAAAGCAGGGGTGTCAAAACTCATTTTGCGCCGTGGGGCCGCATTCAGTCTTCAACGCTGTCCGGAAGGTCGCACTGAACATTTTTTTAAAAATATTTCCTTGCCGTCAAAATTTGCAAAAAATTGTCAATCCATCGTTTTTGTAATTTTCGATGCTCCCTGACTGTCTAGCTTTAATTTCTGTGATTATTAGGGAGCTGAACACAGTCAATAAACTGTATGAATGTAGGTCCATTATCATTTCTACACAGTTTCGATTTTCTAGTCATTTTAAAGTATATTGATTTTGTTTCCCTAATCTCTCGTGGACAGATGCATGTAACATAACTGAAATTTTAGTTCTGGGTTTCCGAGATTAGCTTTACCTTTAGAGAGAGAAGGGGGGCTTTTTGGGAATCAAAGGAGCATTATTAAATATCAAGTAAAGCAACAAGCTGCAATCCGAAGTCAGGCAGCAACCTGACTACGAAAATATGAATCTACCATAAACACCACAAGATGGCAGTATTTCTTTACAGTAGATCCTCTTCAATAAAAAGTGCATTTATATCTAGATCAGTTTATTCAGTCAATTATACATACAATGCAAAACATTACAAACACTAGTCTTTGAAAATGAAAGTTATATGATAAAACGGAAGTAACATGTTATGTAAATTGCATAGCTACAAAAGGTGGTTGGACTACATCATAATAGGGTAGGTTCGGGAATAGGGGGACATTATTACGTTTTTCGCCAAACATACTCCCTTTATATTGTACTACTTTATTAAAAACAGATCATTTCCCTCTAATCAAGTGGATTATTGATCTTTCGGCTCCCCTACTTGAATATATATACATAAAAACGTTTATTGATCTAACTTCATTAGATTATATCACTGTTTCAAAATGGCAAAATATTAGATCAATGTACCTCAAAATAATTTTGTTGGAGTGACAAAGTTTTTTTGTTTTTCTTGTAAGAAGTAGTGGCAGCCAGGGAAATTGTTGTTACAGGTGGGCGGGGGGCGTTTAACCCAGGGAGGATTTAACCCAGGGAGGATTTAACCCAGGGAGGATTTAACCCAGGGAGGATTTAACCCAAGGAGGTGTTTAACCACAAGCCACCCTGCTATTGAAGATTATTATTTTGTAATGAATAGGAAAGTACATTCTTAAAAAACCAAGGCTCAAATGACACCCCAAAAAGCATAATACTCTCAGAAATATATGGAGGGCAAGGGGTACACTACAGAGTGTACAGGTGAGAAGGCTATGTTGCTTATTTCATCATACAGAGCTGACAAACAATAGATTCTGATGACTCTATGGAGATTAATCTAATGCCACAAAAGCCACCATAGAATCATTTAATGATTTGCAAATGCAATAATCTTATAATCATGCAACTAAAATAAATCCTATGTATGCTTCAAACCAAGTATCTTTCAATCTCTTTCCTATTCAACGGGGGAGTAATTGATAAGATGTTAAGTAATATTTCTATAGTGTGTGAAATGAATGCTCAAAAGGCGTATATCAGATATTTATCCACTGAATTTGCAAAATAGCAAGCATATTCCGAAAAATAATAATTACTGCTTTAATATGACAAGATGATCATCTTGCACCACCTAGAAATACATGATAAAAGCAACGAAAACATTGCAGCTTATACAATAGTAGTCCATAAGCGAGCATACAAAGCATTCATTTAATACCACATTTTTCTAAGTCTAGCATGTACAGTATATAAAAAGACTAGGTAAAAAGATGCCACTGAAATAATTTGTCAGTTTGGTTGGAAAGAGATTGCAGTCAAAGAGCCCTTGTATGACAGTCGAGTATGTGACATACAGATTATCTGTTGAGGTAACGCAACTGCCTGAGTACTGCATCCAACTGCTCAATAGCAATGGCTTGGGTTGTTAGTCATTAATTTGATCCTTTCTTATAAAGATGACCCATATATGCCACTGACGATCGTTCGCAGGTAATATTGGAATATCTTATAACCGTTGTGCGTTTGTTAGAATAATTGTTTTTTTAAATAATCAACCTAAATGTCCTGTACCGACTGTCAGGTCCACATACTGTACTAACAGTAGACCAACTGAAGGAACATCACTGTGTCCTAAAACACCACTTACTGGACGTATTTGTCTTAGGCTTGATTTGTCTGTGTGTTTTTTTAGTCTGTTCTGACCTCGGAAGCACCATTGGGTCAAGTGTAGTGTTTAGACTAAAGTCTACAAGTGTTCACAAGAACTGAGGAGAACACTTTTATCAACCCTAAATGAGAAGGGAGGGGCTGAACATAGTACTGCCACCTACTCCTAGAACATGAGACATGCAAGGGTGGTTCAGAGAGAAAAGGAGGAAGAACGTTTTTTAAGCTACAGGCATCCTCACAGAAAACCATAGCAGGCTGTTGTTGTTGTGGACATAGCTGGCAAGCGTGAGGAAATCTCGGAGTTGGAGGTGTTGGCAGAGAGAATGACGCGTCTGGTTGGGGAGTGTGTGAATCCTGTTGTGGCTCCGTTATCTCAGCACGCCCCAGCTGGCAGGGGAAGATTGGCAGCTGCTTCCTCAAGTCAGAGAGGTCAGGGGGTCAGGTGGGCGGGACAAGAAGAGGTCCCTCATCAAGGCTGGGGGAATGAGAGAGAAGGGGAAGAGGAGGAGAGGTCATCATCACCTATTTCGGTAGGTATTAGCAAGAGTGAATTTGGTAGGTACAGTATGACGTAGTATGCAAATGCCAGACATGAAGCCTAAATATTTGCCCAAGATACAGTAGTACCATGACGTGCATTTGTGTGTGTTTGTACCTGCGGTGTCACATAGTCCCTGGGCTTCACCCAGGATGGGGTCCCTGTCCGTCAGCAGTTGGCTCCGCCTGCAGGGGTGTGGCCCCAGCTCCAACTCTGGGCTGTCTGCATCCTCAGGGCAGTCCTGAAACACACCATTTCAACCTTAATAACACACCATTGTGCATTAAGTAATTTTAATGATGCCTTGAACAAATGTAATACACTGTCCCCAACCCCCACCCTAAACCCCCTCCTCTCCCAACCTTAAACCCCCTCCTCACCAGCAGGGTGTAGTTGAGAAGCAGTTCCTGCTCGATGGGGGACACCGAGTGTCTCGGTCTCTTGTCCTGACTCATCAGCTGGGAGGGCATGTCTTCATCCAGCTCATGACTCCTGTGGAAATTACAGTGAGGAATGTTAACATTCAGCAACACTGTCACTCCAAAACATCCAACACCACTGTCACTCATTCCAACCGGTCGTCTCTCATTGGTGTGACCCAGACAGCAGTGGGTCAGTAGAGTAGATCTTTACCGTTTCCTGGTAGCAGTGGGGGGCTCTGGGTAGAGGCTGTCAGGGGTCTCAGGGAGCTGGACGCTAAGCTGGAAATCATCATCCATGGAGATATATGGCGCCAGCATGTCCAGATCAATCACTTCCACGTCCTACCAGCACAGGAGACAGAATGCTCATACACAGGTATGGCCTCCCTCTTACTAATTTGCCTCTCTCAAAATAGTTTGGAGGTATTGAAGAAATAGGAAAGTATTAGAAATCCAGCACTGTTGTGTGTGGTCTAGCTAGGCAATTGTGTTCTGACTATACACATCAGCTGTATACTGCATGTACCTCAGGCTGGTCTTCCTTCTGCACGCTCTCATCTGGACAGACGGCAAAGAACTTCTCCACCTCATCCTCTATTGGTAGCTCCTCAATGGGGATCTGACGAGGACAGATATATACTGAACACATTGGGTCCATATGTTATAGACTCTAGGAAGATACTGTATCCTTACTGACATTTAAGAATCAACCAAAGTTCTTACCAGTGCTGGTGCTGGTGATGATGAGGTGAGCTTGCTGAATATGGGTGAAAGGAGCGTCCACAGCTCAGGGGTGCACAGGTCCTGTGGGAAATCTGGGACGGAGTCAGAGCTTGATGGAAGGCTGAACGACAGCTCCGCAAAGTCTGCAGAAACAAAGACACACAAGTCAAGACACAAACATACAGTGAGGGAAAAATGTATTTGATCCCCTGCTGATTTTGTATGTTTGCCCACTGACAAAGACATGATCAGTCTATAATTTTAATGGTAGGTTTATTTGAACAGTGAGAGACAGAATAACAACAAAAAAATCCAGAAAAACGCATGTCAAAAATGTTAGAAATTGATTTGCATTTTAATGAGGGAAATAAGTATTTGACCCCTCTGCTAAACATGACTCAGTACTTGGTGGCAAAACCCTTGTTGGCAATCACAGAGGTCAGATGTTTCTTGTAGTTGGCCACCAGGTTTGCACACATCTCAGGAGGGATTTTGTCCCACTCCTCTTTGCAGATCTTCTCCAAGTCATTAAGGTTGAGGCTGACGTTTGGCAACTCGAACCTTCAGCTCCCTCTGCAGATTTTCTATGGGATTAAGGTCTGGCGACTGAGATGATGAGATTAGGAGCACTCCCTTTAAGTGTGTGCTCCTAATCTCAGCTCGTTACCTGTATAAAAGACACCTGGGAGCCAGAAATCTTTCTGATTGAGAGGGGGTCAAATACTTATTTCCCTCATTAAAATGCAAATCAATTTATAACATTTTTGACATGCGTTTTTTCTGGATTTTTTTGTTGCTATTCTGTCTCTCACTGTTCAAATAAACCTACCATTAAAATTATACACTGATCATTTCTTTGTCAGTGGGCAAACGTACAAAATCAGCAGGGGATCAAATACTTTTTTCCCTCACTGTAAACAGCCTTTTGAGCACTTGACAGTGAATGTGTAGTAAGTAAGCCTTGTCTGAGCCAGAATGGCCCATAGGGCAGGAGGCTGCTTCTGTAGCATGAGGCAGCTTGATCTACTAGTACAGTGGCTTGCGAAAGTATTCACCCCCCTTGGCATTTTTCCTATTCTGTTGCCTTACAACCTGGAATTAAAATGGATTTTTGGGGGGTTTGTATCATTTGATTTACACAACATGCCTACCACTTTGAAGATGAAACAAACAAGAAATAAGAAAAAAAAACTGAAAACTTGAGCGTGCATAACTATTCACCCCCCCCCAAAGTCAATACTTTGTAGAGCCCCCTTTTGCAGCAATTACAGCTGCAAGTCTCTTGGGGTATGTCTCTATAAGCTTGGCACATCTAGCCACTGGGATTTTTGCCCATTCTTCAAGGCAAAACTGCTCCAGCTCCTTCAAGTTGGATGGGTTCCGCTGGTGTACAGCAATCTTTAAGTCATACCACAGATTCTCAATTGGATTGAGGGTTGTTGTGGTGCCATATTCTTTAAATTTTTTAATAATGGATTTAATGGTGCTCCGTGGGATGTTCAAAGTTATGGATATTTTTTTTATAACCCAACCTGATCTGTACTTCTCCACAACTTAGTCCCTGACCTGTTTGGAGAGCTCCTTGGTCTTCATGGTGCCGCTTGCTTGGTGGTGCCCCTTGCTTAGTGGTGTTGCAGACTCTGGGGCCTTTCAGAACAGGTGTATATATACTGAGATCATGTGACAGATCATGGGACACTTAGATTGCACACAGGTGGACTTTATTTAACTAATTATGTGACTTCTGAAGGTAATTGGTAGCACCAGATATTATTTAGGGGCTTCATAGCAAAGGGGGTGAATACATATGCACGCACCACTTTTCCGTTCTTTATATTTTAGCATTTTTTGAAACAAGGTATTTTTTTCATTCCACTTCACCAATTTGGACTATTTTGTGTATGTCCATTACATGAAATCCAAATTAAAATCCATTTAAATTACAGGTTGTAATGCAACAAAATAGGAAAAACGCCAAGGGGGATGAATACTTTTGCAAGGCACTGTACATTAGTCTGTCGCAGGGCCTCAGGCCCCAGAATCATTTGGTACTCGACCGTGGATCAAACTCCTAACCTTCCAATCTCAGGGGAGACACTAACCACAAGATGGTACAGTACTAAAGGTGTGAATTAAAGTGTGAGGGTGACCTGTGAGGGGTACGGTGGGGTCTCCTGAGACAGGGGCCAGTTGGAGGAGGTCCTCTGGGTTCTCCTTCAGCTGGAGGAAGAGCTCTGCACTGCTGCTGTTGTCACTGTTATTCCTGTTGTCACTATCACACAAGGTCTCCTCTGAGGCCTCAGAGACAGGATCACTCTTCAGCCCACAGCCAGTCTGCTCTACTGAGAACACCACATCTGCCTGCTCCACCACACTGAGAGATAGAGGGAGAGAGAGAGAGACAGAAAGACAGACAGATAGTGACAGATGATAAATAAGTATGGAGAAGATGTAGAGTAGGGAGAATGGAAAGGGGTGAACGTATGTGCCATGAAAAAGGAGATGAGAGTAGAGAGGAGGTGGGGCATTACCTGAGGATAAAGTTAAGACAGACCACAGCCTCTGGTTGGGAGGTCTTGTTGCTGTATATTACTGTAGCCTGGGTCTCTGCCCACACGAAGCCCCCACTCTTAGCCAGGAAACGGTATTGACTGGTGCACACCTGGCCTTTGGAAAGAACTGGGATGGGGACAGTGGGGAGGACAGGTCAGTGGACGACAATTAAAATGTACACATATCAATGTACACAGACAAACATGTGCACACACCCACAGGCACACTTCAAGTTGACCACTTCACTATAGCACTCTTAAAAAGGTTGAGCAGGGCTCAAAGTAGCAAAGCGCATGCCCCGCCCACCTCATTCCTCTCTTTCCAGCCATTACTTCCCAGTTTTTTGTGGGGTGTAAATTCACTTGTTACATAATTGTTGCTGGGTTGATTTATTTAAAAAGAAAACCAATGCCCATTCCTTGCTTGTACAAAGCACACTTTCCCATAGATTTTACGTTCGCGCTAACGTCTGTTATGACCGCTCAAACACATGCCGGTCCCCTTCAAAATGTAAACAATGGCACAAGTGGATTTTGATCTGCATCTTTTACAACGCCGACGCTTGGACGGGGATTAAACTTAAAGAAAATATTTATACCACAAGACAGAGGAGAAAGCGATCTTTGCACAGATGAGTGTTACTTTTTTTTAACTGGACAAAAAAGGAACTCACCTGCAATGGAAGCCGTTTCCGAAAAGGAACAGCCAAATCTCATAAATAAGGGTTTTGATCTTCCACACAATGTCAACTATTTGTGCGTTGGTAAATTCTAGAGCAGCGCATTTAGATTATAAAACAGGGGGTTATCATTTTCTTAAACATAGTCTCCACCTAATGTTGAATATGCAAGAGGATTTGACAAAAACAACCATGAATATGAGTGGAATCCATGGTGAAAGCTATGGGAGATTAGGGGATTGTGAGGGGGCGGTACCTTAGAAAGATGCTGGTTGGATAGAGCGTAATTTTGTGCAAATGTATAAAATTATGATCAAGCGTATTATGCAAATGCATTGTCATTTTCATACATTTTACTTCAAACATGAATTATTCTATTAATATAATAACAAAACACATAAATAGGTTATATATACAGTACCAGTCAAAAGTTTGGACACCTACACTTTTCTTTATTTTTCCTATTTTCTACATTGTAGAATAATAGTGAAGACATCAAAACTATGAAATAAGACATATGGAATCATGTAGTAACCAAAAAAGTGTTAAATCAAAATATATTTTATATTTGAGATTCTTCAAATAGCCACCCTTTGCACATTCTTGGCATTCTCTCAACCAGCTTCACCTGGAATGCTTTTTCCAAGTTTGAAGGAGTTCCCACATATGCTGAGCACTTGTTGGCTGCTTTTCGTTCACTCTGCCGTCCCGACTCATCCCAAACCATCTCAATTGGGTTGAGGTCGGAGGATTGTGGAGGCCAGGTCATCTGATGCAGCACTCCATCACTCTCCTTCTTGGTAAAATAGCCCTTACACAGCCTGGAGGTGTGTTGGGTCATTGTCCTGTTGAAAAAAAAAATGATAGTCCCACTAAGCCCGGATGGCGTATCGCTGCAGAATGCTGTGGTAGCCATGCTGGTTAAGTGTGCCTTGAATTCTAAATAAATCACAGGCAGTGTCACCAGCAAAGCACACCATAACACCTCCTCCTCCATGCTTTACGGTGGGAAATACACATGCGGAGATCTTTTCACCCACACCGCGTCTCACAAAGCCACGGCGGTTGGAAACAAAAATCTCAAATTTGGACTTCAGACCAAAGGACAAATTTCCACCAGTCTAATGTCCATTGCTCGTGTTTCTTGGCCCAAGCAGGTCTCTTCTTCTTATTGGTGTCCTTTAGTAGTGGTTTCTTTGCAGCAATTCGACCATGAGAAGCCTGATTCACACAGTCCCCTCTGAACAGTTGATGTTGAGATGTGTCTGTGACTTGAACTCAGCAAAGCATTTATTTGGGCTGCAATTTCTGAGGCTGGTAACTCTATTGAACTTATCCTCTGCAGCAGAGGTAACGCTGGGTCTTCCATTCCTGTGGCAGTCCTCATGAGAGCCAGTTTCATCATACCGCTTGATGGTTTTTGCAAATGCACTTGAAGAAACGTTCAAAGTTCTTGAAATGTTCCGTATTGACTGACCTTCATGTCTTAAAGTAATGATGGACTGTCGTTTCTCTTTGCTTATTTGAGCTGTTCTTGCCATAATATGGACTTTTTTTTAAAGCGTTGAGTATCTTGCTCCATTATGCAGCTGTTAAATTTAGCAGAACTGTATTTTTGACCTTTTATACATTTTGATGATTGTTGCTACTCAAAACCTCAGTGGTCTGATGATAGACAATGGGTGTTTCTCAAAATGGATCCTACCGTGTTCAGAGCACACAAATTGGGGCACTGGAGAGTCGGAGTATGAGTCCAAATCAAAGTATGCGCAATGGAGCACGGAGGGCACTTCTCGAATGCGTACTCCGTTTGTACATATTTTGAAGCATGCATCGATGCAAGCTTCAACGGAAAGTATGCAGAGAAATATAACGCAACCACGTAAAAAAATTACGCACATTTCTTGAAATCAATGGCAACCATTATTTGAGCTGAAATGAGAGAAAATAAACTGTTGCCCATTCACATCTCATATGTTGCCAGAATACAATATTTTATCTTGTTAAGTTAATAAATACATGCTGTGTTAATTTGCTGTGCCTACAATACCCACTGTAGTGTGCGTAGATTGCAAGCCCAGAGTAAGTCAACAGGGCTAACTGGCTAGCTACTACTGTTAGCTAGCCAGATAGTCACAAATAATTGTTAGCTAGCTAGCTAGCTACCCACGAAGAATTGACATCTACCTTGCATAACATTAGTTTTGGGTCATTTATGCCTGTTTAACTAGCTGGCTAGCTAAATTATTACGATTCACATATAACTAGCTGATAATTATGAAGTAAAACGTTTGCCATTGTCCTAGCTGGAGGAAGGTTCAGTGAATGGGAGGTGCAGTGTGAGGCAATACAGTAGGGGGAGTGCGAGTGCTTCTCAAATGTAATGTTTTATGCGTTCTCTACACTCTCGTCCTCACAAGAACGTACTGAAGAGAACGCCCTCGGAGAATGCACTCAGAGCATATTGAGAAACACCCTACGTATTCGAGCAGAGCAGTAGTTGTATTTGTCCATGGCTCTGTCCTCACTGATCAGTCTGCTTCCCACAGACACCCAGGAGGAAAGGCTGAGCAGTAGCATACCAAGTCCGCCTGACAACAGCTGTCACAACAACACGTCGTCCCCAGTACTCACACAGTGTCCTTTTACTTATGTGTCACTCACCGGCATAACACGTTACAGTGTTACACTGACTCTCACGGTACTGTTATATGTCACATGATAATGTTACAATGGAGACTAGTTCAGTGAAACCAATGTTTTTGCATGGGCCCTTCCACCTACAATCCACACACACCCTGCTCTCAGACACTCACGGATGTGCAGGCTCTTGGTCACATGATCCGAGTCCAGGGCATGATGGAATTCATAGGCAGATTTGCCAATCAGATATTCTGGCTCGTATCCCACTAGCTCTGCCACCCTGGCAACACAGTGGAGACAGAAGGAGGGGTCAGTGGTGAGAAATCAGCTTGGAGTCAACAACCAGAGATGATGCAGTAAGGTAGTTTTGTAAGAGAGAATGGTATAACTTGGTATCTTAATCTGCTGGGGTAAATTAGTTATGAGTTATTGTAATTCTATGAGCCCCGCTGAGAATGGGCAACAAACAATGGTTATAAACTTTCCCACGGTATGGGGATGGCCATCTCCAGCTGTCTGTCTGTTTGTGTGTAGTGGGAAATTATTTCATTAACGATTTTCTGTATTTGATTTGTTAATGATATGTTATAAATATAATTAAGGTGAGAAACGTGGACTGAGGCATTCCCATGGGAGGTGAAACCAGAATTAGCCATGTACCCCCATGTTAACATCATGATCTACCCCCATGTTAACATCATGATCTACCCCCATGTTAACATCATGATCTACCCCCATGTTAACATCATGATCACCCCCATGTTAACATCATGATCTACCCCCATGTTAACATCATGATCTACCCCCATGTTAACATCATGATCTACCCCCATGTTAACATCATGATCACCCCCATGTTAACATCATGATCTACCCCCATGTTAACATCATGATCTACCCCCATGTTAACATCATGATCTACCCCCATTAAAAAAAAAAAAAACTTTTTTTTTTTTAACATCATGTTCTTCTGTTAGTCTATAATTATGTTGTAACTGACTACTGATATCCTTTCACTTCTTAAAACAGACCTTTGACCTGTTTAAGTGCTGATGGTATACTTTCTTGTAATGTGTGTCGACAGTGGCTAAGGCCAATGTCTTAGTTGGAGTCAGAAGATTTAGTGACCTTGTTGACAGAACAGTTGTCTGCTGATAGTGGATATAAGGGCCTTCTCCGAGGAGGCCAGGCAGACTTTTTCTATGCTGGAGGTTATCTCCCTGTTGCAACTTGTATGAAACCAAATTGATTTATGATTGACTATATCCGTGACTGCTCTTCTCTTTTATTCAGGGGTTGGAGTAAAAATTATTCCGTTGCAAAACGTTTTGCAACAGAATCTGCTAAATGAATTCACCCTGTGTGTGTGTGTGTGTGTGTGTTTGCTCAGCCTCACCTGCCCTCGCAGTGTGTGAAGCACAGGTCCATGCTGTGTCGAGTGAGGAAGGTACTGCGGTCCAGAGGGAACTCCACACTGGACGGGTGGGGGATGGGCTCACACAGCACCGTCATGAAGCGGCCTGCAGGGGGTGACGAATCCTCGTCACTGCAGCACACACGCATGTGGCCTGTACAGTGCAGCACCTGGGGGCCACATAGTGTGGTAAGGTTAGTTCGATAACCATGACTATCCATATATACATAACAGGACACATGCATGAGCAACAGGACCCATAAGTCCCAATGTGAATGTTGCAAATTTGATGGGGATGGGGGCCACACAAAAACAGAACTCATCACGAGGGGCCGCAGTGGCTCGCTTTTTTTTGGTGTGGAAATTGATACGACGGCCTTTAAAAAAGGGGGGGCCGCGGGCTACCTGCCAGTTGCCCATTCATGTTGTAGAGACAATTCATGGCAGACTGACTATGTTAAGCAACATTCACAGTGGGACTTGAAGCTAGACATGGTGCGTTAGAAGAAAGTGAAAGAATGTAAGGATTATTCTATATAAGAGTAAGGATCCATCCCAAATGGCACCCTATTCCCTATATAGTGCACTACTTCAGACCAGAGCTCTGGCGTAGACCAAATAACCGTAGAGATGGAGAGGTACTGGAATGGCAGTATAATAATGGTATGTGACGCCCTTGTAACATGGCCAAGAGTGAGAACACAGACTCACCCCAATGACACAAATGCTGAGTCAACACTGTTTTACACACACCTCTACTGGAGTCCAGAGCTGGGCCAAGGCTTTCTGACAGTCATGGTCACTGATGGACCCCCGCCCTGTGTGTGTGCGTATACTTGTTTTCCTACCTTATCAGGACCCCAATGTCCTAACAATTCACCCAAATGTCCTGACAAGGTAGGAAAACAAGAACTTTTTTTTATTTTTAAGTCAGGACTTTTTTCAGGTCCTGAATTTGTTCAAATGCTATTTTAAGCTTAAGTGTTAGGTTTAGAGTTTTAAGTTAAGGTTAGGTTTAGGGGTTAAGGTTAGGGTTAAGGAACATTGGATTTTTAAAGGTCAAACATTTTGACTCCCCATAAAGTCAAGAAATTTCACAAAAATAAAGCTCTGTGTGTGTCATCCCCTGAATCAACTTCTCGATGCTGGAAACTGAGCCAAGCAGAAATGAGCCAAGTGAAAGGAAGGTGACGGGGACACCATCTATGCTACCAATGATGTAGGCAAGCCATAGTCGCACCAATAGGAAATAAAGTCAGGCAGGGTGGCAGGCTGGATTAAGTTGGTAGAGAACCAGACTCATAAACCAGAGAGATATGGTTACTCCCCCACGTCTCATCATTAGAATGGGGATTGGAGAGGGTACAGACAACCCCCTGATATCGAGGCCAGCCAGCCTGTCCTACCAGTGATACCTTTCAGCTGGATTAAGTGTCCTGGCCTTCTGAATCAAAACACATCTCATGTTTATAGCTCTGGTGTGGGTCTAATGTCCTAGCAACGTCACTGGTAACAGCAACATATGAATCTCACTGAATGGTGAAAGACGACCCTAATAGGGTTGGGCGGTATCCAGATTTTCATACGAATTTTACCATACCGGGGTATACGGTATTACTGTTAGTGCACACAAGGGGGCGCTATTTCTCTCCATAGCGGACACTAGCTAAATGCTAACAAGCGCAATCGGACAAACTAATCGCAAGAACAGACAGCCCAGCTCATAAAGTTATACTCAATAGGCTACTCACAGTTTTCTGCATGCACAAAACAAATATTAGACAGCAGGGATCTTGATCAAGGAGGGTATTGATTGTCTCTGCTGTAAATCTTGCAAGCTAGCAACTTAGCTAGTGAGCAAGTTAAGAAACCAAATGCATAGCTGGAGCCATGAGCTGGAGAGAATTCATCTGGCACATGTTAGATAGTCAAATGTATAGTTATAAGATATTTAGCTAGCAAACATAAGTTGTGAATTTAAAGTGTAACTTGATCACCTCTCTGTGGATCGATCGTCACGTCACGAAGCTTCCATTTGCTCCGTGTGCTCTTTGTAAACCAACATACCATGTGACTGGCTCAATCAGCTGATTTGGGGAACGACTTCTTAATGAAAAAATAATGGAACAGGCGAAATGAAGGACGCGATCTGCTTTATCTATTAACCAAGTGTACAAGTTGACTGCAGGTATTTATTTAAAAAGGACAAATATTCACATTTATGAAAAAACAAGCTACAAATAGTTTCAACGTTATTGACGGTATTGAATATTTCAAAATACTCCGTTATACATTATGAACGGTATACAGCCCAAACCTAACGCCCTATGCAGGTGCGGCATAGACAGGTGTACGGGGGCTTGGGGTGTTGCTAGCTCATTAGGGCTCAGCTGTGTGGGGGGCAAAAGTACCTTCCAGGTGGCAGACTTTATGTTGACAGTGCGCCCTCTTTCAGTCAGAGTGCTCTTCATCCTAAGGAAGAAGGCCATCTCCGTGTGTTGCTGCACTGGTTTCTTCTTGGACACACCTGGGGTGGAGAGAAGATAGGTTGCAGGCTTACAGCTCTGTGTGAGCATGCATGATGAACACACACATATGCATGCACGCAGTCGCTCACACACACGTACGCATGCACACACAAAGGGTGGTTTGTCTCACCTGGCCTAGGCGTCAGGAGATCCCGTAGCTCCTCTTGGTCACATGGGTGGACAAAGTCATACACACTCTGGCCCAGCAACTCCAGCTGGACAACTCAACAATAATGCAACCATTTCAATACAACGTCACACAGGCCCCTTTTCCATGAATAGCAGATTAAGAAAAGCTGCACTGCAGGTTCTCTCAAAATACTAAGTCCGAGAATATCACACCAGGTGCTTTGTAGCTTGTATTTGCTAACTTCTACAAACATGATGTCTGCATTTTCTTGGTAATCCAACCAACCAGACTCTTAAATTTGTTCTGCAGGGTAATCTAGGGGACCATGAACATTTAGCTCCCACTTCACTATTGTGGGATGATTATTTGTAACGGCTGTCGATTGTATTACACGCCTACAAGTCATACTATGATTTTTTTTAAAGATGATAAGTTAAGGCGAAAGAAAAAGACAACTTCTCGTAAAAAAAAGTTTTTTTTCTGTAGAACTTGAGGGCTCTCAGAGACCACATCCTATTTTGAAGGAAGAAAAGGAAGCTCGTATCAGGAACACACATCATGTGTAGTTTAACTCACATCAGACACTGAAATATCAAAAAAGCCTCATGATTTCAACCCATTAAATCAATAATGCAACATAGAACTAACCAATTGGACAACCAAACTGTTCATCAATGGCCATAAATAAAACCGTTGTAAAACATGCAGTAATAACGGAATATTTTTAACATTACTCTTTGCCATTCATTATGTGGGAGTATCCACTTTTTGTATTGAGTCTGCAGTTGACATTCTAGTAAGCCTATAACTGATTCATTCTACCGGACTATACGCAATAGAGCTTTGTGGATACAGACTGATTGTAAACAAATGGGAACATCACACAACAGCAGTGGAACTGTATACTAGTATAGTACTACTATATACCATTAAGCAGATGGTTTTTATCCAAAGAGACTGACAACAGTGAGTGCATACATTTTCATATGGATAGCCCCAGTGGGAATCGAACCCATGACCCTGATATTGCCAGAACCATGTGTGGCTGTATGTACCTGTGGGATGCCCAGGTGTTTGTTGACGCTGTCACCCAGGTAGATCATATCCCCCTCCTCTGTCATCACCATGATGAAGCCTGCCAACGCTCGGGGGTAGAACCCATCCATCATGTCCTCGTCCCCATCTGTGACGCGCTCCTCACTCGTATCCCCTGCTATGACATAAAACACACATTATAAAATACACACGTCCAATGTCATGTCATATCACCACCTTTTCGACTCAAGGGTCTAGACTTCCACCATCTTGGGAGTTGGTTACTACTTGGAAAGTAATAAAGAAAGTATGCCTGGCTCTCTCAACCATTCACAGTACAGGACATGGACACGACTGGCCAATTGGGAGCCCACCTGAGCGGAGGTAGTGCATGCGAAGGAAGCTGAGCGTCACCCGGATGATGGCGGCCTTGTCCAGGTCGGCGGAGACTCTGCGGGGGAGGGGCAGGGTGTGGGCCAGTTCGTAGAACAGCTCCGTCTCCTGACTCCGCCTGCAGCGCGCCGCATCCCGGGAACGCACCTTCCGCTGATCCGTACTCGACCTGGACAGAGGGAAGAGGGAGAGAAAAGAAAAGAGGAAGTGAAAAGGTAGGAAGAGAAGTAGAAGAACAGACCAAGGCAGTGGAGGAGAATGGTATACTGAGGAGGTGTTCATTCATGAAGATAAATCCTTTGTGATTTCTTGACATCCCTGCGTTCACAAATGTAATCCAATTTTCCGATGTGTGAAATTCTAACAAATCACAAACACCTAAAACCCTTTCAACACACATTTCAATATATTTTTTTCTGTGAAGTCAGTCACTGGGTACACAAAGTCAAACCAGATATTTAACATCCACTTACCATCTACAGTGTAATATTCACTTCCTTCTCAGACAAACAAACTTCAAACATTGTTTATTACTCCTCTTTATCAAACTTCTCTGACCCTCTTTTTACTCTATCACACCTCCATAACCGAACAAGCAAATATCTAAATATTCAAACTCACACATACAAACAGACGGAACAAAATGTATTTCCTAAATTGTTTTCTCTTTGATTCAGCATGTAGGATCCGCATTGTGTAGTTTAAGCGTTCACTGAGTCACACACTGTGTCTGGGAGGGAACAGGGAAACATTCCTCCCTGAACCACAGCCCTCAATCTCCTCTTATCTTCACCCCAAGGGGACACAGGCAGGCTCTGTTAACCTGTTTATGGCATCTGACCCCAATCAACAGTCGGACCCCCACTTCCGCTTCGCCCTCATGTCCTCCATTGTCCCCCTGTCCTCTACAGTCTCAGAGAGCTGAGATTGTGCCCCCTTCTTTCCCCCAGGCTTTTCACAGGAAGTTTAAACAGATGCGATGTGTATCTCCATGTATGAATGCAGGCTGGGTGAAATGGTTCAGGAGTTCTCCCCGTCCCTTACCATCTCACAAGCTGTGTTCATCAAAATAAAATGTCATTGATTATATAATAACCGTAACTGATCCTTACCAGCTGAGGTAATATGAAGTGAAGAGTAATGAGTTTTGTCATTGACCAGGGTGTGACAGAATGTGCTCGGTTTGATTTGAATATGGTCAGATAGGATCATTATTTGAGAACACTTATATAAGTAACAGGCAACATAAGGCCACTTCCATGGTAACGGAATTGCACTGAGATTCAGATTTTTCACTTAAAATGTATGCCAAAAAAAATGTCATTTCAAAGTTTAACAAACCATACAACTCTATGCACAAGGACTACTTTGAACAATTTACACTGAACATGTTACAAAAAAAAACATTACTGGAAGAACTGTGCAGATACAAAGTTTGGTGACAGAATTTTGATAAAATCTCCTTCAGTTTTTTATTATGTGACCACGTTTTTCAAAAATCTGCTCCGAATTAAGATTCAAAGGTGTGTGCAGAACTACAGTAAGTAAAGTGAATTTACACCTGGTAACAGAAATGTGGTAATGGAATTTCAACATGGGTCCCTGATCTATACCACACAGAAATGCATAATTATGGATATGAATGTCATCCTCTTCATGGAGATGTATCCTAAATAGGTACACAAAGGTAGAAATATGCAATATCCTCCTTTGCATATTTGGGTATTATTCTAAACACTGGCTATTATCTTAATGAGCTCCGCTACCAAACAAGACCAAATTTGGTTGGTCCAGACCAGACAAAATCTGAACCAATCCTAGAAGTCTATGTTTCACAAGTTTGGACATCAAAGTACACCACAGTAGAGCTCAATAGAATACAGTACAGTGTGGGACTGATTTCTTCATCCTGCTCTGGATGCTTTTCATACCTCACCCACCCACTCCCGCTGACTTCTTGTCCGACTCCCACCTGCTCCCGCAAGAACTGGTCCTGAACCCGACCACAGTCCCGCAAAGTTATTTTAGGTGTGTGTGAAGCAGCCTGATTTGCAGCCCCGGTCTTTAGTTTTGAACGGTTTGGGCTACAGATGAGCGGTTTTCTGCATTGTTAATAGTGAGTGCCCAACACTGGCCGCGCATTCTGCATGATTGATTTTTATTAAATTATTCAAACAATTTAAAAGTAAATGCTACAGCCCACACTATGCAAAAAATTTTTTTTGTTTGTCAATAGATGATTGTGTTTCTATCTCCTGTCTTGGTATAGGCTCTGAGATTAAATAGGCTATGATGTCACACTCCTATCACAGCAGTACTGCAGCCTACCCATACTGTCCCATAATGCACTTGTTGCTGTTGAAGTAACAGTTGTTGTGTTAAAGGGATCATAGAGTGCACTGCCTGCCAGGCCTCCTGACTGCTGATTGGTCAGTTCATTGGAGCCAGCTCCTTTTCTGCTCCTGGGATCTTTATAGCTCAGTGGCTGGTATGCTAGAGTGGGGGAGGGGTATTTTAGTGAGCTGGAGCCTCTCAGCCAGCCTGTTTGTCAGCTTTTTAAATGATAAAAGAGAGTGCAAGATATTTTGTGAATAGGTCTAAAAACGTAGTTGTATTTGGAGAGGTTTTTGGCCATATATTGACCTAAACTCAAACACTCAAGAAAAAATTATTGTCTATATCAGGGAATGCCATTTTGGCCATAAATATACTGCCATAAATTACAGGAATAGATGGAAAGATTTTACACAATTTGACATTTGAGAGATTTGACACCTGGGCCTTGTTATGGATAAACATTTATACAGACAGATTGGTATAATATATCTGCTCCATTTTCTTGTGCACATGTTGACAAGATGTTGGGGTATCACTGAAGTGGAATACTGACCCACTGAGCTTGCCTGACGACTCAAACACTGTGTGAATAAAACACTCTGTGTGACTCTGTTTTAGCTCTCCGCAGGAACAGGATAGAGCCCTATAAAAGGTGTGTCATTCAGGGATAGTTCAGTCAAAACCTATATTTGGGTCTAAATACCCTTACCTTGAGTTGTGTCTCAAGGTCCATGGTGACAGAATCCACAATAATCTATTTATTACTTCTGCCACAGCCAGCATCGTCAAATGTAATGAATGTAAACAGCCAAACTGATGTTAGCAATGCTGCACTGCAAGCTGAAATTTCCTTAAAAGGGCCTCTTTTTTTAACCTTTTGAAAATCATTTATTGCCGATATAAAAGTTAGGTTCCAAAGGGTTCCAAAACTGTAGATCGAAAGCGAGGCGCATCAACATTTAGATAGAGCATTTGGGCAGCGTCAGAGCATTTCCCCAGCCCGGCATATCAGTAGCCTACGTGAAATGACCCAATGCAATGCAATTGGAATCATGATAAGGGCAAGACTGACTGTAGGCAGTGTCAATTTGACCTGGGAAACATGAATGAATTCCAATGGAACATGTCCTCTCTACCACCCTGGAATAAGGTCAATGATGCCATCAACTCTGTTACAGGTTTATTAGGCTCTTCATTTAATCATGCCTCACAATTATTTGATGATATTGAGATGTGTGGATTGGGTAGGCTCAATCCTATCCTGAACTATAATGAATCTCTCAACCAAAACTATGTAGCAAAATGTATACTTAAATATGCTCAATATGTTCTATAAACAGATAAAATAATATTGTCTAACAGTTGTTGGACAATTTCCAAAGCCAAGATCGAAATGCTGAAACAAAGGCGTCATGCCTATATGGGGCACAGGGGTACGTGCCCCCTCAGATTTGTCCTGTAAAAAATGTTTTATAATAATATTTCTCTCTGTAATACTACTAGACACAATTTTATCAATTTGGGTTAAGCTAGCCCAGATAGGTTCCCAATATCATTAGTTCCCAATATCCCAACCTCATTACTAGCTACCAAGAAGCCATTTCAGGCTCTCAATCAAGTTAGAGTAGCTAGCTTGTCCAACTATCTTAGCTGGCATGTGTAAAGGATGTCACACTGCTTGATTTGTCAGTACCACTTCCTCCCAATTTGGACCATACCTGGCGCGAACTGTGGACCTCTGCCTTGCTAGCACACATGACTGCCATCCTGAAACATCTTACCAGTCAGCGCCACATGAAAAACTAGCTGAAGCCTGAAGTGGCTGAGCAGTACGTTTCACACATCCCCATGTGCTACGCATGCCTGCTGGCAAGGTTGGTAGACTTCAGAAAGGCAAGCAATAACTAAATGTACTGAATATGACTTACATTCCTTTACCCAGATTTTTGGCCCTAGATTGCAGGAAAAAGCAGTTTGAAAAATGCACATACTTTGTGCCCCCTCAGATTTTTGGGGTGCATGACGCCCCTGGGAAAACACTTAAAAAATTGAAAAAGTGGATTTTACATTTTTACTTTGACATAAATTGATATCGTATCTATACATTCGTGCGCATGTCCAAGTTATTTTGTAGCCGCCAGACAATAGGCTACGAGAACACTTGGAATATGTCGACGATGTCTAATTGAAAACTCATTTATAAATGTCTTACCGTTGTCCAACAGGCTCTTCCTTCTTATCCATATTAAACTCGTAAACTTAAAGTCTCAGACTTCGGATTTGTTTTATGAATGTTTTATTCTATGCTGAGATCGATCGACTCGAGAAAGCTCTAACAACAACGTCTCATCCCGCCTGTCTTCCGCCTTTGCAGACATTCTAGCCAATGAGAGGGCAGATTCGCACGAACAACAGGGCTGCGTTCAGTACGAAAACACGTACTGCAACGTTCAATTAAAGGGACACGGTGCAGTTCTGAACGACCAGTTCAGAAACGGAGAGGTTGTGTGTTGGGGAACGCTCCGCGGCCCTTTAAATACGTCACTCATTGCTTTAAGCCATACCCACCAAACGGAGCAAACGTACCTCAAAGTCTGTTCAACAACATTGAAGAACGTTTTGAGGAAACGTGCCGTTCAGTACAAACCGTCACGTAACGTAGCAAACATTAAATCGAACTGAATGAACCCCAGGCACAACTCGTTTAAGTGGTAAGGCTAAAGCAACCGACTGTAGAAGAAATTCGAGGAGTTGCAGTTGCGACAGCTGAAAGTCGGACACTAATGTGGTTTTCCAACAGCAAGGCTCAGATCAGCATGGCGGGGTCATTGTTTATCAAAGTTTTTCTTTATAATGTCGAAATAAACATGCCTTCAACCCCCATATCACACACTCACATCAAATGTGTGTACATTGTACAATGAATTAGTGACAGTCCCAAATATCACATGAATTTCTATATATCCACTGTTTACATGAATGGCAGCAAAGTTGGTTCCTGTTTCAGTGATGTCTTTGGTCACGTTTATGTAGGTCAAATAAAAACACCCTAATGATAGATTGACAATTAGAGCCTCCCACAATGCAGCCGATGGCTGCAGGATGAAGTTTGTGAAGAGCAACTGCAGAAACTAACAGTCAAAACGTCATGACCTTTGAGCACATGATTTATGTAAAGTTCACATGTAGGTGCAAGCAGCTCGAACGTGCCCATTATCCTTCCTATGGACGATTTCGAGCGGATCAAGTCAGTGGTCACGCCTTTCAAAGTGTGTTGCGTTATAGGAAGTTATTTAGCAGACGCTCTTATCCAGAGCGACTTACAGTTAGTGATTGCATACATTTTCATACTGGCCCCCCGTGGGAAACGAACCCACAACCCTAGCGTTGCAAGCGCCATGCTCTACCAACTGAGCTACAGGGGACTACATGTCGACTGCGTGAACTTTGCAAAAAAACGTGTAATCAAAGGTCTTGCAGTTTTTTATGCAAGCGCCTTCAAGTCACTACAGTTGCTTATTTCATGTTTTTTTGTTTTATTACAAACAATGAAACACTTTTATAAACAATGGCAACACTGCCATGTTGCTAGGAGCCTTGCTGTAGGGAAAAGGCTATATGGACACTCCTGACCTGCAAACCTAAATTTAATTTCAGAATTGGTAAAAATTAGGTTAGGGTTAGGATCTGTGTCCCAACCTGGCCCTAATTTTAAAGCTTTTGGAAGCGCGATCAAAGTGGGAAGATAAACACACTAGTACATCACAGAGGACATAATAATAATAATAATAATAATAATAATAATAATAATAATAATATGCAATTTAGCAGACGCTTTTATCCAAAGCGACTTACACATGTAATATCTGCATAAATACAATGTAATTACTAGGTGTTACACAGGATTTAGCTAGTTAAAATGAAGTGTATCTTGAGGGGTATTTACTTGTAATTCAATACTTCTGAAAATATGAAAGCAGTGCAAGCAAATGAATGAAAGTAGTTAATTTCAGCTTTTCACTGTGAGAATCTCTGGGACCAAAGTAGTTAAGGATTTAGTTAAGGTTAGAGTTAAGGGTCAGTTTTAGATTTTGGTTAGTCGTTTTGCAGGTCAGCAGTGTCCTTATAGTCTCTTGCTGTAGGTAAACCATGCCCCTCCCCCGACTTCCCTCGTTGACTTTCGTCTACAGTTGGCTGCGTTAAAGCCTTACTGCTCGAAATGGGTTTATTGATCCCCTCGCCACTCTCTGGAAGTCACCCTCAGAGTTTCGTCAGCAACACGTGACGACGTAGGGCCCTCCGAGTTGGCAGGGGTGAGGGCCTGGTTTGGGATTTACCATACAAAAACACCCTAATGATTGGTTGACAAATAGTGCCTCCCACTTGCCAGGCTCATGGCTGCATGGTGCAGCCAGTGAGAAGCAACTTGAAGGCGACTTCATAAAAAGCTGCAGGACCTTTGATGACATGTTTTTTTGTAAAGTTCATGCAGTCGACGTGTAGCCATGCAATCGACATATAGTTTACGTTTATTCCCCCATAATGCATGCAACATACTGAAAGGCAGTGACCAACAATGATCCACTCGAACGCGTCCAATTTCTTCTTCTACTTCTATGGATGGATCAGTGGTATTCAGCTGTCATTGTCTAACTACCACCACCTATTGGCTTGGAGCTTGGAGAGTTGGGTGGAGAAAGCAGAATGCGTTGGTGAACGTTGATGACAGTGTAATATAGGCCACAGCTACATTTCCCAAATAGTTAATTCACCCTTTTGAAAATGTATCTATGAGGAATGAATGTGGTGTTTTATTGTTTTGACTCCTTTAAAATAAGGCAAAGTACTTTGAGGTTGTGTGAAACTCACCTTGCCCAGAGGAAGGTTAGTAGAGTGCCCCCTGTAGGGCTGTGAATAACATGACTGTCCTCAGTCTCCCAATCCCAAAACAATGGCCCCTCTTTCCCATTGGTGTTGATTTTATCAGACACACCCCACTGATGTCAACAACTACAGACCAGTATCCCTTCTTTCTTTTCTTTCCAAAACTATTGAGCGTGCCGTCTTTAGCCAACTCTCTTGCTATCTCTCTCAGAATGACCTTCTTGATCCAAACCAATCAGGTTTCAGGACTGGTCATTCAACTGAGACTGCTCTACTCTGTGTCACTGAGACTCTCCGCACTGCTAAAGCTAACTCTCTCTCCTCTGCTCTTGTCCTTCTAGACCTGTCTGCTGCCTTTGATACTGTGAACCATCAGATCCTCCTCTCCACCCTCTCCGAGCTGGGCATCTCCGGCGCGGCTCACTCCTGGATTGCGTCCTACCTGACCGGTCGCTCCTACCAAGTGGCGTGGCGAGAAGCTGTCTCCGCACCACGTGCTCTCACCACTGGTGTCCCCCAGGGCTCAGTTCTAGGCCCTCTCCTTTTCTCCCTATACACCAAGTCACTTGGCTCTGTCATATCCTCACATGGCCTTTCCTATCATTGTTACGCTGACGATACACAACTAATCTTCTCCTTTCCCCCTTCTGATAACCAGGTGGCGAATCGCATCTCTGCATGTCTGGCAGACATATCAGTATGGATGACGGATCACCACCTCAAGCTGAACCCTGGCAAGACGGAGCTGCTCTTCCTCCCGGGGAAGGACTGCCCGTTCCATGATCTCGCCATCACGGTTGACAACTCCGCTGTGTCCTCCTCCCAGAGTGCGAAGAGCCTAGGCGTGACCCTGGACAACACCCTGTCGTTCTCCGCCAACATCAAGGCGGTGACCCGCTCCTGCAGGTTCATGCTCTACAACATTCGGAGAGTACGACCCTGCCTTACACAGGAAGCGGCACAGGTCCTAATCCAGGCGCTTGTCATCTCCCGTCTGGACTACTGCAACTCGCTGTTGGCTGGCCTCCCTGCCTGTGCCATTAAACCCCTACAACTCATCCAGAATGCCGCAGCCCGTCTGGTGTTCAACCTTCCCAAGTTCTCTCACGTCACCCCCCTCCTCCGCACACTCCACTGGCTTCCAGTTGAAGCTCGCATCCGCTACAAGACCATGGTGCTTGCCTATGGAGCAGTGAGGGGAACGGCACCTCTGTACCTTCAGGCTCTGATCAGTCCCTACACCCAAACGAGGGCATTGCGTTCATCCACCTCTGGCCTGCTGGCTCCCCTTCCTCTGCGGAAGCATAGCTCCCGCTCAGCCCAGTCAAAACTGTTCGCTGCTCTGGCACCCCAATGGTGGAACAAGCTCCCTCACGACGCCAGGACAGCGGAGTCACTCACCACCTTCCGGAGACATTTGAAACCCCACCTCTTTAAGGAATACCTGGGATAGGATAAAGTGTTCCTTCTAACCCCCCCCCCAAATTGTAAAGTGGTTATCCCACTGGCTATAGGGTGAACGCACCAATTTGCGAGTCGCTCTGGCTAAGAGCGTCTGCTAAATGACGTTAATGTGCCCTTGAGCAAGGCACTTAACCCTAATTGCTCCTGTAAGTCGCTCTGGATAAGAGCGTCTGCTAAATGACTAAAATGTAAATGTAAATGCCACAGGGTGGTGCACACAAACAGCAAATATAACAGACAGATTGACACACCAAATGTGATATTAAATGGACATGTGTCCATGGTGTAGTGGAGAATGGGGTAAGTTGGGCTAAAGGGGTAAGTTGAGACACCCTTGTTTCTAGGAAACCATACACAAAATTAATCATTTGACAAAATATTTAGGAAGAGTCTGAGAAGGAAGAAACCACATGGAAAAAGTGGTAAGCAAGTTAGGTCCAAGAAAACTCATCAGCATAGCAGGTATTTACACTTAGTGTACAAAACCTGAGAAACACCTGCTCTTTCCATGACAGACTGACCAGGTGAATCCAGGTGAAAGCTATGATCCCTTATTGATGTCACTTAAATCCACTTAAATCAGTGTAGATGAAGGGGAGGAGACAGGTTAAATAATGATTTTTTAGCCTTGAGACAATTGAGACATGGATTGTGTATGTGTGCCATTCAGAGGGTGAATGGGCAAGACAAAATATTTAAGTGCCTTTGAATGGAGTATGGTAGCAGGTGCCAGGCACACCGGTTTGAGTGTGTCAAGAACTGCAACGCTGCTGGGTTTTTCACACTCAACAGTTTCCCGTGTGTATCAAGAATGGTCCACCACCCAAAGGACATCCAGCCAACTTGACATAACTGTGGTAAGCATTGGAGTCAAACTGTTTCCACGTAACTTGTCAATGTATTGTGACGTGGAATCTACAGGATTATGTCATCATGGTATCCAATTTTCAACATAGACAAACCTTGTATAAAATGTGTTGGATTCACATCTCAACCAAAAATAAAAGTTAAAGAAAATGATTAAATCAGATCAAACTGTATTTAAAGTGCATTTAAAGTTTGATTTGATTTAGTCCTATTCCTCAACTTAGATTTTTGGTTGAAATGGAGACGTGAATCCAACATATCAATTATTAATTTGTAGACAAACTGGAATTAAAGCCAGGCTCAGTGGCACAGATGGAGCTATCCAAGCTGAAGATATATCTCCTTTAAATGTTTAGATTTGGTTGCGTTGACAACCAAACACGATTCACTTTTGCAACACGGTAAATAGCCTATTAACTTGTCGACAAGTAAAAAAATGATACACTACATGGCCAAAAGTATGTGGAAACCCCTTCAAATGAGTGGATTCGGCTATTTCAGCCACACCCGTTGCTGACAGGTGTATAAAATCAAGCACACAGCCATGCAATCGCAGTCGAAGAGCTCAGTGACTTTCAACATGGCACCATCATAGGGTTCCACCTTTCCAACAAGTCAGTTCGTCAAATTTCTGCCCTGCTAGAGCTGCACTGTAAGTGCTGTTGCTGTGAAGTGGATACGTCTAGGAGTAACAACGGCTCAGCCGAAAAGCTCACAGAATGGGACCGCCGAGTGCTGAAGCGCATAGTGTGTAAAAACTGTCTGTCCTCGGTTGCAACACTCACTACCGAGTTTCAAACTGCCTCTGGAAGCAACATCAGCACAATAACTGTTCGTCGGGAGCTTCATGAAATGGGTTTCCATGGCCGAGCAGCCGCACACAAGACTAAGATCACCATGCGCAATGCCAAGGGTCGGCTGGAGTGGTGTAAAGCTCGCCGCCATTAGACTCTGGAGCAGTGGAAACGCGTTCTCTGGAGTGATGAATTACGCTTCACCATCTGGCAGTCCGACGGACGAATCTGGGTTTGGCGGATGCCAGGAGAACGCTACCTGCCCAAATACATAGTGTCAACTGTAAAGTCTGGTGGAGGAGGAATAATGGTCTGGGGCAGTTTTTCATGGTTCGGGTTAGGCCCCTTAGTTCCAGTGAAGGGAAGTCTTAACGCTACAGCATACAATGACATTCTAGATGGTGTCCACATACTTTTGGCCATATAGTGTATGTTTGATTCACGTCTCCATCTCAACCAAAAATAAAAGTTAAAGAATAGGATTAAGCCAGTGGCCCAGATGGAGCTATCTCAATTAAATGTTGATATTTTGTTGCGTTGTCAACCAAACACAATTCAATTTGACTTTTGTAAGACAGTAAATAGCCTAACGTTAATGCTATCTTACAAACTAATATAACAGTATTTATTCAACCTTAAAATGAGGAACACATCCATAGCCACATTTTGAGGTTACTGTAACAGTAAATGTCTTATGTAATCACAGAAAGCGTTAAGGGTCGCAGGTCTGTAGAAATATTCACAATTGCTATAATAATCTGCACAAAATCTCAAATGACATTGATCATGCACCATGTACTTTAATGTTATCTCAACTAACTGCAATCCAGGTCATTTGGTTGTGCTATTTGATCAAGAACAGTGATAACACATTCAGTTGTATTTAAATACACAACATTTTAGACATTGATTTTCCATTGGAATTTGGTTGTGCTTTTAGATGGTTGAAAGCATAGTGATAACACATTGGGAATTCAACAAACTTTTGGCTGTCTTTTTGAGAGGGTGAAAATAGGTTGGAATCTCATTAATCAACGTATCTACCTAATATTACCAAATTCTCCACGTTGAAATGATGTGGTGTTCCCAGTGCGAATGTTTTAATCTGATTAGGCTACTTCAGAAGTCTCCTGTAGGCTACCTGGGCACGTTCGTCCACTCCACTCTAATATAATACCAGCATTCAGACTGATGAATGGAAAGAGATATCTGCTACAAAACACCATAACGTTTAATAACATTCGGAGATTGTCAAGCCAAGCCTTCGATACTGGGTACATGGTAGGGAGGGATATATTCTATTTTTGCAGAGATTGACATAGTCTATTTGATTGTGCTGTTGTAAACGCAAACCATGATTTTGAAGCGCCCGAAGTCGGTAATCGGTATGCAGGACTATGCTTTGCTTATAGGTTGTTTGGTGCATTGGCACAGAAACCTGTTGGTAGAAAATTAATTGCATATATTTTATATAATTATATAGCATCAACATTTTGAAAATCTGATTTCCCCCTAGCTGATCATTGTCTGCAGCTGGCTCTGATCATAGTGTAATGAAACAGGCAGAGAGAGTGAGCTCGTCCGTGGTGGTCGGCGAACCCTCAACCTTAGCCATGCATGGCATCAAGTGCGCCACAAAAGCATGCTGGTAGTGGCAAAGTTGATGTTTATAAACACAGGGTCGCTAGAGTTGTTGTTATTTGTGGTCGTAAACATTATTTTTGAGTTAATTAAATGAAGGGGGATAGTGTGCAATTTTTTTGACAGTACAAGGGGAGGCACCTGGAGTTGGACCCACGCCAGTAATTTTCTAACTGTCCCTTAATGACATGCTAAAGTGATCAACTTTCACACATTTCATGATGGTCTTCATACAAAATTATTACTTAACATTACTATGTGACTGTATTTTCTTATTACATGGTTACTCCATAGGTTATTCATTTAAAGTTATGCACAGGTGATGTAATGTGAAGTGTTTTCCAAACAACAATGACAAAGTCAGAGGTATTGACAGATCTATGTCATTTATGTGCTCCATGTCATTTGTACTGAGAGTCAGGGTGCATACGGTGGTGTTAGTTTCTCTGCTTACCTTGTCTGAGCAAGAGACGGTTTTCATCCTATTCAATGTAATTTCTCTGGACTCAATCGTTACAGCCAAGTGAAATAAAAACTCTCAGTGCAGTCTACACTTACAAGCAAACGTGTCTGTCTCTGTTCAAGGCAAGCATATCTGTCTACATATTGCTCTTTCTTTAAATTACCATTCTCTGGCATGTTTTTTTGTATTTTACCCCCTTTTTCGATCGTCTCATCGCTGCAACTCCCCAATGGGCTCGGGAGGCGAATGTCGAGTCATGAGTCCTCTGAAACATGACCCGCCAAACCACGCTTCTTAACATCTGCCCGTTTAACCCGGAAGCCAGCCGCACCAATGTTTCGGAGGAAACACTGTTTACCTGACAACCGAGGTCAGCCTGCAGGTGCCCAGCCCGCCACAAGGAGTCGCTAGAGCGCGATGAGCTAAGTAAAGCCCCCCCCACTTTAAACTTTGATAACAAGATAATAGATCTTGGATGACAAGATAAACCTATATTTGTGATTATTAAAGTGCAAGAGCCTGGAGAGTTTATAACTACAAAAAACAAAACAGAACTAGATTCAGATATTCCTATTGCAAATCAATGAGATGGATGTAGGCTGTGAATAACAGGTAGCATTTGGGTTTAGACTTTTAATAACAGATCTCCATATACAAACTTGATACTGTGATATCATTTGCCACTAACTTCACCACCTCAGGCATAAGTGTAATAATGCACATTGAACAAAAAACAATACATGCTATGGTTTGCTGTAAATGGTCAAAAAGAAAAACAATAAATGCAATGGATTTTCTTCCCTTGGCATAAAATGGTTAGTTCCATTCTCTTGCATTCGATCAGAGGGTAGTCTTCAGTGTACATTAAATTATTTTAGTGTTGATGGTTCTAGTGTCACCTTTTTCTATTTCACATAACTGTTATTAGGACATATAAATACTAATAAAATGGTAGCCCCTTGAACTTGCCAGAGTAAACGGTTCCATTATCAACAGTGTTCTTATCTTAACTGGCCAGATCCTAAACACACAACAAAGTCACATCTTCCCTACAAATTATTTTAGTTGGTCCACCACCATTTCTAGTCTGGTGTTATTACACCGGTAGCTTTGACTCATTTGTCAGTTGCATGCCTTTCAGCATACCGAACCTCAAACCCCACACATAAAATAATTTCTAGGTAAAACAATGGTTTGATGCAAGACCCACTGATCATTGTCATTTAACCAGGTTGGTAGAATATCATGGATATCACGTACACAGAATAATCCACAAATAATACAGCCGAGTTAGAATCAGTAGCTTGACATGACTTGAAATAAAAGCCATGTAAATTAACAAAACACAAAAGAAAATCACAACAAGACAAATTGCCTCTTTCCTTCTGTGGGCTAAAATGACGACTGTCGAACGTGCAAAATCTTGCAAGAGGCATTGCAGGTGTACGTGGAATGGAGCCTAGTGGATGCTACACTGCTTGGATGCGTACTTGGGTACAGTGTGTCACTCTGTGCAGTAATGTTAGGAACAAGTGTAATTGGGAGCGGACAGTCTCAGCTGAAGAGTACAGTAGCAGCCATAGGAAGACTGCGCTCCGTACTACACAAGGGTCAAGTCTGATGCCAGAGACCCTAAATGCGTCCGTCTTCATCGACAAACCAAACCAGTTTGCGTCAAGGGACATAACAAATCAAGGAACTCTATCACACAAAAACACTATCTTCAGGTCCCTAACTGCAGACATTCAATGTTAACTGTGTCGCTATGTACAATATAGGATCTTCATATAGTAATATTGTATTTTTTTCACTCGCTTGAGTCATTATTTCAATGCTCTTTGTCCTCTGTCTTTATAGAGTATTCGTATTATTTACAATATAAATTACTTCAGTCTTGTGCTAAGGTAAATAAATAAAATACAATGACCGTGGCTTTCGTAGTGTTTGCAGGTTGGAGAGGAGTCTGCCTTCTCTATGCTTCTGGGAAAAGACGGTCCCCGTTTTGTTTTGTAGTCTTTCTAAAGAGAAGCGGTGAGAGGCTGAGGAGAGGCAAGGGGATACATCAGGGGTGCAATACCGTGATGACAGGATGCAAATGCTGGCCCCTCTTCAGCCATGATGGGGGTTTGGTGGGGGGAGGAGGGGAGGGGCGAGTGCAAAGTTCCACTTCCAGCTATACCACCGTGCCACTGGGAGAGTTCCCGTTCTGTGCTGTCAAGTTCTGGAGGAGGGGGCAGGGGGCAGGCAGCATCAGGGAGGGGAAAGAGGGGGAGAGAAAGGAAGAAAGGTTAGAGTCATGGCAAGTAATCCAGAAATACTCTCAAGGGCAGAAGTCCTATAAAATAACTTGGGAGTATAAACTAGTAAACTAAAAAGCTGATAGGACAGCCTACAGAGCATTATTCATTGATAGATGTTTTGCTGCTGTAACGTTACGGACGCTGGGGGCAGGACTCACCGCTTTACCCGGCCGTGCCCAGGTGCAGATGAGGCCCTCCTGGCACGCGGTGATGATGCAGTCGTCCATGAACACCAGCACGGTCAGCCTCTCGTGGGCGATCTTCTTACACACCAGGGGCTCCAGCAGGGGCACCTCGTGCATCCGCGGGCACAGGGTGGTGCCCAGCACCTTGGCGGCGTCCAGGCGACTGCTGCGTGGCGCTACGTTGATCTTGTCGTTGCTCTTGCTGATGTTGCCCAGGCTATGGTAGCGCTTGTGCTCCTTCTCCCCGCCCACCCCGCTCCCCCCAGACTTGTCCGACTTACGCTCCTGCAGGGAGAGCGTGGCGAAGCGGCCGATACTGAAGGGGGTGGCGTTGCCCCCTCCGCTCCCTCCCCCGCTCTCCGTCGTGCTCTGGCCCTTAGAGACGTTGGCCACAGCGGGGTGGGGGAGGGAGTTGGAGCGCGAAAGGGAGCGGGGGAGAGGCAGGGGCATGGTGGGGGGCTGGTGGGGGTTAGTGGTGGGGTGCTGGTGGCCCTCTACCCCTCCACTCCCTCCACCTGTAGTGTTGTTGATGGTGCTGCTGACAGAGGGGGGGATGGTGGGGCCGAAGGTGTTGGTGAGGGCACGGGACAGGGGCAAACGCGGGTACAGCACGTCATCCGTCAGGTCCCACAGGCAGAACTGGGTATCCTGGCCCACCGAGCCGAAGCGGTAGGTGACGGAGGGCGAGCCGCCCTTGGAGCTGTGGCGGGAGAGGCGTGACAGCGTGCTGCTGGTGCGCACGCGGCCAAAGTGCAGCGGTCCCTGCTGTAGGTCCTCCTCGCTGCCGCTCAGCTCCATGGGCTCCTCGTCCTCCAGGCTGGTGGTGAAGGGGTCAAAGGCCACCACGTTCACCCATGACTTGTGACCGTGTCCCCGGGCCACCACGCGGCTCTCCGCGAACGACCACACCGTCACCAGGTCGTCCTCGCCGCCCGTGGCCAGGTATTTGCCGTCGGGGCTCCAGGAGACGCACAGCAGGCCGCCGAAGTAACTCTTCATTACGCCCTGCAGCTCCATGGAGTCAAAGTGGAAAACGCGCAGGCAGCCGTCCTGGCCCACGCACGCCACATGCACGCCGTCCGGCGAGAAGGCAAACTCGTTGAGGCCTCCGTCGCCCACGGCCCAGCGCAGCAGCGGGTTTCGGGGCGTCTTCGTCTTGCAGGCGTAGACTGCAAAGCCCTCGCCCTGGCGGAGCAGGGAGTACTGCGGGGCGGCGGTGCCACACGGGTGCTCCACGTTGTAGAGGTAGAGGTGGCCACTGGCGTAGGAGGCCAGGAACAGGTTTTCTGACTTGGGCAGCCATTTCAGACAGGTCACCTTGGACTTGTCTATCATCCTCTGAAAGGCAACATGGGGGTGTGATGAGAATAAGAATTTGATATTAGCAACACTGGTACATTTGAAATGCTTATATGCAATGTTCAGTGACAATTGTAAGAGATTTATCTGAAAGAGGACGCCAGGTGTCACAACAGCTGTAACTAATATCTGAACGGTTAGAGGTTCTATGTCCTCCTAAACTACAGTGTTACAAAACGACAGCCTACATGAAATGACATCTGGAGTGAAAGACTATGGGTCGGCTTCCTAGTTCTGGACAAAGAAGCATGTTCAATAGAGATTCTCCATTCAAAGTGCTTTTAGTCCAGGACTAGGCTTTGTCCGGAAAATCAGACCTACAGTGCCCTCCGTAAGTATTGCGACAGTGAAGCATTTTTCTTATTTTAGCTCTATACTCCAAAAGTTTGAATTTGAAATAAAAATAATCTGAAACACAACCAAAACAAACAGCAAATGCATCCCAAAAATGTGTATAGTCACAAACTTGATGTAGTCATTGCGTGCTATGAATATGGGACAAAATACTTAACTTTGTACTACTTTAATACACATAAGTGAATTTGTCCCAATACTTTTGCTCACCTATAATGGAGGGACTATGTACAAAAAGTGCTGTAATTTCTAAACGGTTCACCCGATATGGATGAAAATACCCTCAAATTAAAGCTGAAAGTCTGCATTTTAACATCATAGTCAGTCATGGTTTCCAAACTAAGTACAGAGCCAAAATAAGAAATAATGCTTCACTGTCCCAATAATTACAGAGGGCAGTGAATATCATCAACTTGTTTCTATGTTATGCTATGATAAAAGTGAGGCATGTTGGTATAAAGCTGAGCTATGTGACAGAGATAGAACAGCAGTGAGAGTGGATTTAGATCTACTGTGCCGGAGGAGGTTAATTGACAGAGGAGAAACCAAGCAAAGGCAAAGAGAGGTACTCTTCATCGTCACACTCAGTCTTCTGAATTTAATTAAAGGCCCAGTGCAGTCAAAATTCTGTTTTTAATATCATATTGTACAACAGCTGATGAAAAATGTTATCAGTGTTAAATCCTAATAGTTGCTGGTTGAAAATACTATCTACACAGGACCTTCTAATCAGCAGGTTTGCATGTGCAGTAGTTTCGGCTTTCCATGGTGACATCAGCATTCTGTAAATTGGTTAATAGACCAATAGAGTTCCAAACCTCTCTGTCAATAACAGCTAGTTTTCAGTTTTCCTAGCAACATTCTTGCTTGGGAAAAAATAGCTTTTTTGCAGAAAACGATTTTTTCCCATTTTAATGGAAATCTATTATAGTAAGGTACTTAATTGTTACCCAGAAATTATTTGACATTTATATAGAAAAACAGCTACATTGGGCCTTTAAGAACGTCATTCTCCAAGAAGGCAGGCAGTACTTCAAAAGAAGAGCTCTTAAAAAAGTATTTGCAGTGTTCCAAATATTCCTATGAAATAAAGCAAATGGCAACAAAGACATAGGCTATAGCTCAACCCCCCTCCAAACACAGACAAGAAAACAGAGACAGACAAACACACACTTCCTCATTGAAGAGCTTGCTTGTCTCCTTCTTAATGGGGTCCAGGTATTGAACCTGGCCTGCTGAGAAGCCCACAATGAGGGCCACACTGTCTGCTCTGGCAGAGTACTGGTTGAAGTCATGGCAGGTGGGCTGGGTGCCCTTGTAGATACGCTTGTCTATGGGTTTACTGAGGTCCACAGCCTACACAGAGGGGAAGAGAGTTAGGAGCAAGCAGCTTTTAAAAAGAACAAGAGACAGAACCTTTTCAAAAATGTTTCCCTGTTTCTGTGTTCTACTTCAGTGTTTGTCCCCTTTGTGGAAGTTCAATTTGGTACATGTTTAAAATACATTTTATGAGTATAGGAGATTAGTTGAACTAAGCGTTTTATAATGAGATTCCCCCTCATTAAGGCATTTTTTGCATTAAAAACTACACGATTAAGTGTTGTGTAAAACTGGATGCAAACATTTGCGGTCACAAAAATGACGCGCTACTTGTAACATCAATGCAGCTACATCCTTGCAACTGTATTTCTGAAATGTTGCAACATTGTTGCGTTCCAGCAACACCGTCTACACGCCTTTACGTGCATGCAACATTTTCTGTGGTCTATAGATGCTTAGCAAAACAATAATGAATGCACGACTTGATTGGCTCAAAAGAACGTGTTCACGATTTCTTTGGATATTAAATTTGGATTAACACCACTAGAGCAAACTAGTCTGGGACATAGCGACTACTGTCAACAGAGAAAATAGGTTTGCCTACAACAAACTAAAGCAAATTGGCTAACGTTAGTTTATAATAAATCTCAGTCGTCTATTCATTAATTGCATGCGCCGTCATTCAACTTACCTTCTTGATATTTGTGTAGGTGTAGAAATAAAGCTCTCTTCCGATGTTAAAACACACTCTCTCGGATTCTTCGCTCGGGTCCTCGGGCTGAAGCTTCACCATGGAGACCCTGACAGGAGGGAGGAAGCCCGCCGGAGAGGAGTTGGCTGCGGCATTGGAGGAGGAGGCAGCTCCGGGCCCCTGCACCAGACCTAAACCACCCCCGGGGCCCACCGTGGTACCTGCGGACAGACCCCGAGGTAGTCCGCCTCGTTGTTGTGAATCCGAGAGGGTCAGCAGTTTGTAAAAACCCTCTCTAGTCCTGAACTGGGATTTAATCTCATTGATATCCTTCAGAGCGCCTCCATCACCAGCCATTTTTAGTAGCCCACAATCAAGCTGCACAGGAAATTGAAATGTTGACCTGGAAATAATACTCGAAACTACAATGAAAATGGGAGAGACGGGCATAGTTAGTGAGCTTGTAGATCCAATAAATTAATGGGTCTTCAAGCGCATTTTTAAAAGACTGCTATTCAGTGAACAAGCTGAGATACCCTCTTCAAGCGTCATAAATCATTGGTCATGGTTGCCTAGTTATTACAGCCATCGGTAGCGCGCGCCCCCTAGAAGAGTGCGAGTGGTGCTGCAAATTCATGAGTATTGGCGAGCTGCGCTGCGCATTCGCTATACATCTGTAATGAGGCGCTACAACTAGGCTACTGATGTGTAGAATTAGGTGAATTAAAGTTTTGGTATTCATCCCTCTGGATGACCATCATGAACTAGTAAATCATATTCAACTTGTGTTAAAACTAAGTCAAAACCTCATCCGTTTGCAGCAACCTCCTGATATTATTATTATTATTATTATTATGATTGAAACAACCGCCCTTTCCTGTTATCAGGACAACTCACTAATTGAAGGAAGTCTTCAATGCAGTCTGCGCAGACCTCAGAGAGATGGAAGCTACAGTCAGAATAGTGCCTATGGGCAATTAAACTTGATGTCACTCCAAAAACACTTTCATGCACTGTGAACCCAGTTGGCCACTTGTTGACATTACAGTGTTATGAAAAAGAAGTCAGACTTGGTAGACCTTTATTGGGTAATGTTCCCCATTTATTTGAATAGATTGTGATGGGAAGTGTAGGCCCCTATGTGTCTGTGAGCCTGTAGATGAAAGAAAGACAGCTTGGTCTCATAGACTAGACATAACATATTAAACGTAATTCCGGGACACTCAAAATAGTATGATATGTTACATATTGTACGTTTTGCAGATTCGTAACATATTATACATTTCGCAAATTCATAACATATAAAATATGAACTGTAATTTGTAACATGTCATATGAAATGGATGATGGACATCCATCAATTAATACATACCATACGAAACGTAACATATCATACTTAATGGAGCGTTTCTGATTTGCATACAGAATAATACGAAATGCTCTGAGATCAGGTTGCAGCAGAGGGCAGGTACTGTAGGACTGTTACAGGAGAAATAGGTCTTTGTGGAGGAATGAATGCACATGTGTGTCTTGGCACACTCTGCCTGTGTGGGCTGGCAGTGGAAGCACTCCATCTGCTCCCAGATTGTGAGGGAGGAATTCAGCCTGTGCTCCTTTAAACCAGCAGCACAGCAGTATTGTTGGACATGAACACAGTGCCATGGCTGCTGCTTGATATTTTCGAGGTGGTGCTACTTTGAGCTTGGTCCCAAGTGCTAGAGTTCTCAAGGTACTGGGACATAGTTCTCCGCAATCTCCAGGATGTACAGGTTACAGAGCTCCGAATGGTCCTCACTCTGCCGTGTCTCCATGACAACTATCCTGCAGAGGGTTATTAATGGGTCAATCAAAACTATATTTACTTGATTGTGTGTGTGTCAGTGTGTATCCCATGAAAGTATACAGGCACACATACCGATCTGATCCCACTAGACGGAAGGTCTTCTTGGAGTCTGTGATCTCCTGCAGTACTTCTGTGCCCTCTCCTCTCCTCTGCCAGCCATGACGCCACACGGCCAGCAGACTGTTCTCAAAATACACTGAACCAGACAGACAGATAGACAGATAGACAGAGGGAGAGAATGTGCATTAGGCCACACCCCTCAAACCTCACAATGATTTTATTATGATGACCATGCTCCTCTACTCCTCCCCTTCTTACCTACAGCTTCCACATCAAAAGTGAAAGTAGTCTCAGCTTGAAGCATCCTGTGGCTCCTCTGCTCCCCCTCCAGGCCCACTATGTGTACTGAATCTATTCAGAGGGGAGAGAGGCACACACACACACACACATTAGGCCTTCCTACACATTTCATTTCCCTCTTATAGACTGATAAAGACACCGTCATTTAGGGGTTAAAACAGACTTGGTATGTAACCAGCCTACTCTTCCTGAGGATGGTGATGATAATAACATGACTTACTCTCAATGAGCACCAGCAGAGTGTTACAGTCCAGCTGGTTCACCTGCACTGTGTCAGGACACTTGCTCTCTGGAACACAAACACACAGTTACAACACAACTGTCAGATTGGTCCAAACTAAGAAGCTTACGTTGAATTCCATTGAATTGTATGTTCATAGAAATAAGCATGCTCTGTGATGTGTTCAGTTCATAGTACCTAAGCCAGTGTTGGTGAACCAAGAGGTGTTGGAGTTGAGGTTCATGTTGTCCAGTTTAATGGGCTGCTCAGGACTGGGACCCCTGTGTACCCCAATACACACTAGAGGGTACTCCTGCTGCGGTGCCACCACCATCTCAAACACACGCAGGGGACTGGGCAGGGGGAAGTCAAAGGACTGCAGGGGACAAATACACACAGTCAGGGAAATAGTCAGGGACTGTCAGCTGTGACTGTATACGTGACTACAGGGTTGTGTCTAGTATGGACAAAACTATTTGAAACGGCGTGAAACAAGGAAGAAATATATGAACTTATCCGATAAGATCTTTTGCAAACTGTTTTGCTATGATGTGCCCTACTGAATAGGACCCAGGAAGACAGTGGGCAGCAGGATGATGAGAAGGATTGTTGTGGGATCGTGTGTGTACTCACCTTGATGAGCATGAACTTATGCATGGGCTCGTACCACTGCAGGAGCACCACACTGGCCTCCAGGGCACAGCACAGGAACACACAGCCCTGCTGCACGTTACTGGCTGCAGGGAGCAAGGGGGGACAGGAGAGGACCTCAGCATTCTAGTATAACAGTCATTTAGCAGACACATTGATCTAACTCAACTTTGACTTCAAACCCACTCGTGTTACAAGCACAATACCACAACTGAAGTTCAGTGACTGAACTGCCTGAATAATTTTTTTATCAAGCTAAACAGGACTTCTCAACTTCTCTTTTCTCACCCACTGAGCAGGTCTTGCAGCCTTTGGTGTCTGGTATCTTACATGAGACCGCAAACTTCCTGGAAATAAGAAAGAAAATCTATGTTGATACGTCATAGTAACTACAGGGGGAGACAATGTTATCATCAACAACAAACACCAGGGTTGTATTCACTAGGAACGAAGCGGAAGGAAACAGGCCGAAACGGGGAGGGACTACTACTGAACTTAATAAGACATTTGTATTTAATTTGTATTTATTTCACCTTTATTTAACCAGGTAAGCCAGTTGAGAACAAGTTCTCATTTACAACTGCGACCTGGCCAAGATAAAGCAAAGCAGTGCGATAAAAACAACAACAACACAGAGTTACATATGGAATAAACAAAAACAAAACGTACAGTCAATAACACAATAGAAAATCTATATACAGTGTGTGCAAACATAGTAAGTTATGGAGGTAAGGCAATAAATAGGCCATAGTGCAAAATAATTACAATTTAGTATTAACACTGGAGTGATAGATGTGCAGAAGAATATGTACAAATAGAGATACTGGGGTGCAAATGAGCAAAATAAATAACAATGTAAATAACAATATGGGGATGAGGTAGTTGGGTGGGCTAATTACAGATGGGCTGTGTACAGGTGCAGTGATCGGTAAGCTGCTCTGACAAGTGATGCTTAAAGTTAGTGAGGGAGATAAGTGTCTCCAGCTTCAGAGATTTTTGTAGTTCGTTCCAGTCATTTGCAGCAGAGAACTGGAAGGAATGGCGGCCAAAGGAAGTGTTGACTTTGGGGATGACCAGTGAGATATACCTGCTGGAATGCATACTACGGGTGGGTGTTGCTATGGTGACCAATGATCTAAGATAAGGCGGGGATTTGCCTAGAAGTGATTTATAGATGACCTGGAGCCAGTGGGTTTGGCGACGAATATGTAGTGTGGGCCAGCCAACGAGAGCGTACAGGTCACAATGGTGGGTAGTATATGGGGCTTTGGTGACAAAACGGATAGCACTGTGATAGACTACATCCAATTTGCTGAGTAAAGTGTTGGAAGCTATTTTGTAAATGACATCGCCGAAGTCAAGGATCGGTAGGATAGTCAGTTTTACATGGAATAAATAAATAAGAATAAGAAATGCTTGTTTTGCTTTTCTGTTGGGAAATGCTTTGCTACGGTGTTCACTAATTAATAAGACCCAGCACTAGCCTATGGCAATGAATTGTAGGGTTACCTAGGCAATAGTCTGTGGGTTGGCAAGGCCACCATTCGCTGCTCCTTTCGGCCCTGCTCATACAACTCCTTCAGTAAGTGAGAATGGAGCTGGGACGATTTACCTGGGGAGGAAAACACACACAGGCACACGCACACACAGATGATTTCAGTCTATTTATTTGACAGATGTTAGTATTGTAGAATGTCTATGGCTTGCTGAATCTCACCTGATATTGACATGAGGACATTACTAATGGTGTAAACCCAGCTGCACTTTCCAGGATAGAGCTGCAGGAGAGATGCGGGCGAAGAGAACATTTCAAGGGTTTTAGAAGCGGATGAGTGAGGCACATGTAGAGTTAAGTAGAGATTACAAGCAATATGAAAGCAAAATGCAATACTGTAGCTATAACATCTATTTTACTGAATTGTACAGTCATACTGTAGCATGAGCTTAATCTCTAAGACCATACATTTAGCCTCACTGTAGCTCTGGTCCAGGGCGTTAGGACTTGTTCAACTCGTTATTGACATCACGCAATGGGACCAGACCTAGCCTCACTGCAGACATAGAAAGATATTAGAGCAGATTCTCACCAGCTCCATGGTGGCCTCTGAGCTGTTCAGGTTGAGGGTGTAGATCCCCTCGTCTGCTCCCAGGATCAGGTGGTGGTCTTTGGTTGTCGGATGGTCCCACATCGTTGAACAATTCACGCTCAACGGACAGCCATTGAATACTTTCTTAAAGTACACCTAGACACGAGATGGAGAACAGGACCCATATTCATAAACCGTCTCAGTGTAGGAGTGCTGATCTAGGATAATTTCTGACGTGTCTATATAATCTGATTCATTATGATCAAAAAAACTAAACTGATCCTAGATCAGCACTTCTACTCTGAGACGCTTTATGAATACGGGCCCAGGAGTCACTCTCATTGTTCATAGTGTGTGTATAGTGTTCCAGATAAAGGTGTGAGCAAGTCTCAGTGCATCGATACAGAGTTACAGTAACTGTCGTAAACTGTAGAGCGACATACTCATGAGATTGGTGGACAAACTTACTGGAGGTTTCTTCAGCACAGGGCTGGCACATTCAACTGGACCCTGAAATAGAAAACAGAGACATACTCTAAACATGCATATTGGAATCAGTTTATCCAAATTTCTGCGAGCCAACAAGTAATGCGTTTTGCTAGTCCTCCTCTCAGAAGGAAAAATGAAATGCTGTTTTAATTCTGGGTCCCATCCATACCTGGGGGGGCTGTCTCCTTCTCCTGTCTTTCTTGGGGGGCAGCTCAGGAGGTTGGAGGTCCGCTGGTCTGTCTGTTATGTGTAATGGGAAGGAAACAGGGTCTACAGGGGACACAATCATGTTGTTACTGTACATTAGAGAGCATGGAGATGTTCTTCAGGGTAAATGTCATAGGTCAAAGGTCCTTCACTGTACATGGTATGCAATTCAGAAGGGACAACAGGGTGATCAAATTAAGATCCTACATCGGTAACTGTAGGTAACAAGTAGGGATAAGAGTGGAGCTGACACTCACCGGAGTTGATGTTTCGCTGGGAGCGTGGACGGGGGACAGGGCGTGTGTGGGTACCACTAGAGGTCCGGCGGAGGGGCAAGGGGGCGTAGAGGGAGTGCAGTGTCCGGCCACGTTCGTCCTCTCCTGTCACAATCTCCTCTGAACTGGTACAAACTTTGGGCTGCGTGGGCATATATGAGGTCAGGCACTGGAAATTAGGCTATGTCAACACCATATTCATAGACACATGGGATATGTAGAGGTAACGAATTGCCATAGTTTAGAAAAATGTAATGTTTGTTTACCTTAGGAGGGAGTGGGGGTGGGATGTCATCTAGGGGGATTGTTTCGCTGTTCAGGGTAAAACAGAAATTGTTGTTTCAGATTGTTGTTTTCATCCAAATCTTTGGATCTCTTTTCCCATAAAGCTCTGTTATATAGACGGGTTGGCTGACAAAGTCACAAAAATGATGTGCGCATCGATGTGGCCAGAAGGTGGATGTTGTTATGATTCTGAACGGTCATATAGCTAGCAACAATGACAAGAAGCTGCCATGTGGGGAATCGTAGGTGGCTCGTTTCAGCTCAATGTATCTTGTTGTTGATACCTTGTCTTGTTTTGAGGTGTTTTGACTGATGACATGTCTATGCTAATATCCCTTACAAAAAAAGATTGCAGTTTTGAAACTGCAATAAAAGTGCAGTAACTGCAGTCCACTGTGGTATTTTGGAAACAGTAATTGCAGAATAACTGCTGTGTACTGCAGTTATTCTGCAGTTATACTGCACTGTAACTGCAGTTACACTGCAAAAGTACTGCAGTAAAAATAAAGTGTTATTTTGGTCACAGTATTTGTAGCGTACTGCAGTTGTACTGCAGTTATACTGCACTCTGACCGCAATCTTTTTTTGTAAGGGATGGCAAAAATTAGCTAGCTAGCTAACCAACAACTGTAACGATGTATTTAAGAGACATCAAGTGCTCATTTGGAGACTAAAATAGTTTACATGTTGTCAACAGTCTAAGCCAACCCCATCTGTTTTGTCCCATTTGTATTTGTATTTGTATTTATTAGCTGCTGCCAAGGAAGCAGCTACTTTTCCTGGGGTCCAGCAAGATTAAGGCAGTTACAGTGGGGAGAACAAGTATTTGATACACTGCCGATTTTGCAGGTTTTCCTACTTACAAAGCATGTAGAGGTCTGTAATTTTTATCATAGGTACACTTCAACTGTGAGAGACGGAATCTAAAACAAAAATCCAGAAAATCACATTGTATGATTTTTAAGTAATTAATTTGCATTTTATTGCATGACATAATTATTTGATACATCAGAAAAGCAGAACTTAATATTTGGTACAGAAACCTTTGTTTGCAATTTCAGAGATCATACGTTTCCTGTAGGTCTTGACCAGGTTTGCACATGTCGTATATGAAGATTATGACTATTCTAGAGGAACAAAGAGGGGATGTTTATCTTAGTTCAAAAGTAGCCATTTGTAGGGTGACGCCCCAGGGGAGACAGGTGATTGGACAGCAGAGGGAGCAACCCATATTTTTGCATTGTTTATAAGTATGGGCTAGACGAAGAAGAGGTTAGAGCGACCATTGCAATCGGGGACGTCGCTCTCCGGGTGTCATGACATCCGTCACTTATGCTGAAATCGTGTGATATGAATAAAACGTATGATCAAAGGTTCAGTATGAGCGGACTCCTTTGTTTGACAGCAATGAGCACCAGCAGCGACAAGATACACTACACACACACTGCAGCGGGGATTTTGGCCCACTCCTCCATACAGACCTTCTCCAGATCCTTCAGGTTTCGGGGCTGTCGCTGGGCAATACGGACTTTCAGCTCCCTCCAAAGATTTTCTATTGGGTTCAGGTCTGGAGACTGGCTAGGCCACTCCAGGACCTTGAGATGCTTCTTACGGAGCCACTCCTTAGTTGCCCTGGCTGTGTGTTTCGGGTCGTTGTCATGCTGGAAGACCCAGCCACGACCCATCTTTAATGCTCTTACTGAGGGAAGGAGGTTGTTGGCCAAGATCTCGCAATACATGGCCCCATCCATCCTCCCCTCAATACGGTGCAGTCGTCCTGTCCCCTTTGCAGAAAAGCATCCCCAAAGAATGATGTTCCCACCTCCATGCTTCACGGTTGGGATGGTGTTCTTGGGGTTGTACTCATCCTTCTTCTTCCTCCAAACACGGCGAGTGGAGTTTAGACCAAAAAGCTCTATTTTTGTCTCATCAGACCACATGACCTTCTCCCATTCCTCCTCTGGATCATCCAGATGGTCATTGGCAAACTTCAGACGGGCCTGGACATGCGCTGGCTTGAGCAAGGGGACCTTGTGTGCGCTGCAGGATTTTAATCCATGACAGCGTAGTGTGTTACTAATGGTTTTCTTTGAGACTGTGGTCCCATCTCTCTTCAGGTCATTGACCAGGTCCTCCCCTGTAGTTCTGGGCTGATCCCTCATCTTCCTCATGATCATTGATGCCCCACGAGGTGAGATCTTGCATGGAGCCCCAGACCGAGGGTGATTGACCGTCATCTTGAACTTCTTCAATATTCTAATAATTGCGCCAACAGTTGTTGCCTTCTCACCAAGCTGCTTGCCTATTGTCCTGTAGCCCATCCCAGCCTTGTGCAGGTCTACAATTTTACACAGCTCTCTGGTCTTGGCCATTGTGGAGAGGTTGGAGTCTGTTTGATTGAGTGTGTGGACAGGTGTCTTTTACACAGGTAATGAGTTCAAACAGGTGCAGTTAATACAGGTAAAGAGTGGAGAACAGGAGGGCTTCTTAAAGAAAAACTAACAGGTCTGTGAGAGCCGGAATTCTTACTGGTTGGTAGGTGATCAAATACTTATGTCATGCAATAAAATGCAAATTAATTACTTAAAAATCATACAATGTGATTTTCTGGATTTTTGTTTTAGATTCCGTCTCTCACAGTTGAAGTGTACCTATGATACACCTCTACATGCTTTGTAAGTAGGAAAACCTGCAAAATCGGCAGTGTATCAAATACTTGTTCTCCCCACTGTATGTGCTTGTGTAATCATGTCTTTGTCTTTGCAGCTGTTTGACCCAGTGGGTGAATAAACTTGGTTTGAGCTTTTTACTAGTTGTCCGGGAGTTTGTACTCCCTTTCTTCAGAACCTAACAGTTGGCGTTGTCGGCAGGATTCACCACGATTTACAGTCGAACTAGAGAGTCCGAATCAGAGAAACAGGAGCTGGCAGCAAACACAAGGTAGGCACAGTTCCTACACCTGTTACCACTCATTCTGACATCTTGGGGAGATGAGGATCGTAGGCTGAACAATTATAGGATACGGACCTAGAAAGCCTGAGTTTATTCAGTAGGCCCATTGTGTAACGACTGGTCGTAAATATTTGGTGTAGGGTAGGTTCCGTAAGGATAGGTCCTGAGTGGGAGTGTTCCTCTGCGAGATCCGTAAGTGGCCAAAAGTCCCAGCCGCGGTGGCCGTGAGGCGTAGAGTGTGTGTGTGTATGGATAAATTGTCATGCTTGTGTACTAGTATGATAGGTTGTAGAGAAGTAGTCAATGAAGAAGGACAAAGGCAGCCAGTGCATTCGGTGGAGAATAGGAGATATCCGAGGATATCTGTGCTTAAAGATGAAACATGGTCAGTGGATGGTGATAGAAGTCTATAAGTTCTGGAGGAGCAAAGCAGATAGTTGAACGTTGTTTGAACATGATTCATGTGTATTAGCAGTAGCAATAAGGAGAGAGGTTGGTTTATGCCCTTTTGGGGCGGAGAACCGTGACTCTCTTATAACCAAAAAGAGCTTCTGGATATCAGGACAGCGATTACTCACCTCGTATTGGACGAAGATTTTTTCTTCAACGAGGCGGCCACGAAGGATATCATACAGACACCCGACAAGGCCCAAATCTCCGTCATTCGCGTGAGGAAGAGACGGAGATATCGTGGACGTAGATCGGGGTGCCTTGTAAGGATCCGACGGCGAGCGAGTAAACTGCCTCTTCCATCAATCCTATTAGCCAATCTTCAATCATTGGATAACAAATTGGATGACCTAAGATTACGGTTATCCTACCAACGGGACATTAAAAACTGTAATATCCTATGTTTCACCGAGTCGTGGCTGAACGACGACAATGATAACATACAGCTAGCGGGCTATACGCTACATCGGCAGGATAGAACGGCTGACTCCGATAAGACAAGGGGTGGCGGTCTGTGTATATTTGTAAACAACAGCTGGTGCACAAAATCAAATACTAAGGAAGTCTCGAGGTTTTGCTCGCCTGAGGTAGAGTATCTTATGATAAGCTGTAGACCACACTATTTACCAAGAGAGTTTTCATCTATATTTTTCATAGCTGTCTATTTACCACCACAAACCAATGCTGGCATTAAGATTGCACTGAATGAGTTGTACAAGGCCATAAATCAACAGGAAAACGCTCATCCAGATGCAGCGCTCCTAGTGGCCGGGGACTTTAATGGAAGGAAACTTAAATCCGTTCTATCTAATTTCTACCAGCATGTTAAATGTGCAACCAGAGGAAAAAAAACTCTAGACCACCTTTACTCCACACACAGAGACGCATACAAAGCTCTCCCTCGCCCTCCATTTGGCAAATCTGACCATAACTCTATCCTCCTGATTCCTGCTTATAAGCAAAAACTAAAGCAGGAAGCACCAGTGACTCGGTTAATAAAAAAGTGGTCAGATGACGCAGATGCTAAGCTACAGGACTGTTTTGCTAGCACAGACTGGAACATGTTCCGGGATTCTTCAGACAGCATTGAGGAGTACACCACATCAGTCACTGGCTTCATCAATAAGTGCATCGATGATGTCGTCCCCACAGTGACCGTACGTACATACCCCAACCAGAAGCCATGGATTACAGGAAACATCCGCACTGAGCTAAAGGGTAGAGCTGCCGCTTTCAAGGAACGGGACTCTAACCCGGACGCTTATAAGAAATCCCGCTATGCCCTCCGACGAACTATCAAACAGGCAAAGAGTCAATACAGGGCTAAGATTGAATCGTACTACACTGGCTCTGACGCTCGTCGGATGTGGCAGGGCTTGAAAACTATTACAGACTACAAAGGGAAGCACAGCCGCGAGCTGCCCAGTGACACAAGCCTACCAGACGAGCTAAACCACTTCTATGCTCGCTTCGAGGCAAGCAACACTGAAGCATGCATGAGAGCACCAGCTGTTCCGGATGACTATGTGATCACGCTCTCCGTAGCCGATGTGAGTAAGACTTTTAAGCAGGTCAACATTTACAAGGCAGCAGGGCCAGACGGATTACCAGGACGTGTACTCCGAGCATGTGCTGACCAACTGGCAAGTGTCTTCACTGACATTGTCAACATGTCCCTGACTGAGTCTGTAATACCAACATGTTTCAAGCAGACCACCATAGTCCCCGTGCCCAAGGACTCTAAGATAACCTGCCTAAATGACTACCGACCCGTAGCACTGACGTCTGTAGCCATGAAGTGCTTTGAAAGGCTGGTCATGGCTCACATCAACAGCATTATCCCAGAAACCCTAGACCCACTCCAATTTGCATACCGCCCCAACAGATCCACAGATGATGCAATCTCTATTGCACTCCACACTACCCTTTCCCACCTGGACAAGAGGAACACCTACGTGAGAATGCTATTCATTGACTACAGCTCAGCATTCAACACCATAGTGCCCTCTAAGCTCATCACTAAGCTAAGGATCCTGGGACTAAACACCTCCCTCTGCAACTGGATCCTGGACTTCCTGACGGGCCGCCCCCAGGTGGTAAGGGTAGGTAACAACACATCTGCCACACTGATCCTCAACACGGGGGCCCCTCAGGGGTGCGTGCTCAGTCCCCTCCTGTACTCTCTGTTCACCCATGACTGCATGGCCAGGCACGACTCCAACACCATCATTAAGTTTGCCGACGACACAACAGTGGTAGGCCTGATCACCGACAACGATGAGACAGCCTATAGGGAGGAGGTCAGAGACCTGGCCGTGTGGTGCCAGGACAACAACCTCTCCCTCAACGTGACCAAGACAAAGGAGATGATTGTGGACTACAGGAAAAAAAAGAGGACTGAGCACGCCCCCATTCTCATCGACGGGGCTGTAGTGGAACAGGTTGAGAGCTTCAAGTTCCTTGGTGTCCACATCACCAACGAACTATCATGGTCCAAACACACCAAGACAGTCGTGAAGAGGGCACGACAAAGCCTATTCCCCCTCAGGAGACTGAAAAAATTTGGCATGGGTCCTCAGATCCTCAAAAAATTCTACAGCTGCACCATCGAGAGCATCCTGACTGGTTGCATCACCGCCTGGTATGGCAACTGCTTGGCCTCCGACCGCAAGGCACTACAGAGGGTAGTGCGTACGGCCCAGTACATCACTGGGGCCAAGCTTCCTGCCATCCAGGACCTCTATACCAGGCGGTGTCAGAGGAAGGCCCTCAAAATTGTCAAAGACTCCAGCCACCCTAGTCATAGACTGTTCTCCCTGCTACCACACGGCAAGCGGTACCGGAGTGCCAAGTCTAGGTCCAAAATACTTCTCAACAGCTTCTACCCCCAAGCCATAAGACTCCTGAACAGCTAATCATGGCTACCCGGACTATTTGCACTGCCCCCCCACCCCATCCTTTTTACGCTGGTGCTACTCTGTTAATTATTTATGCATAGTCACTTTAACTCTACCCACATGTACATATTACTTCAACCATCTCAACTAGCCGGTGCCCCCGCACATTGACTCTGCACCGGTACCCCCCTGTATATATAGGCTCCCTACTGTTATTTTATTTTACTTCTGCTCTTTTTTTCTCAACACTTTTTTTGTTGTTTTATTTTTACTTTTTTTGTTAAAAATAAATGCACTGTTGGTTAAGGGCTGTAAGTAAGCATTTCACTGTAATGTCTGCACCTGTTGTATTCGGCGCATGTGACCAATAAAATTTGATTTGATTTGATTTGATTTGATTATGTGGAAATAGGAAGACAACCGTGAATCATTTTGGTTATGTGTGTTATGTGAAGCGTGACACTGGTATAAGACAGCTGTTTGACCCAGTGGGTGAATAAACTTGATTTGAACTTTTTACTAGTTGTTCGTGAGTTTTTACTCCGTTTGTTCAGAACCTAACAATGGTAAAGACAATGATGTTGAGAGTAGTCCATCGACTCGAGAAATACAGTACGCTCTTAGAAAAAAAAGGTTATTCGTCATAGGAAAACCCTTTGAAGAACCCTTTTTGGTTCCACCTAGAACCCTTTACAAAAAGGGTTATCCTATAGGGACAGCCGAAGAACCCTTTTGGAACCCTTCTTTCTAAGTGTGTACATCCAAACCTGTATTCACAAAGTGTCTCAGAGTGCTAATCTAGGATCAGTTTTATCATAATGGATAAGAGAGGGGGTGCTGATCAATCAGCACCACTACTCTGGGACTATGAATATGGGCCCAGAAATACAGATCAGAGTGAATGGGTGAAGTATGTCTCAGTAGGATTGCTTACCTTCTGGGGCAGATGGTGGGACTGTGGAAAGAAGATAGAGAGAAGAGAGAGAGAGGGTTGTCAAAACTCAGACAAATGTACAACTGAAGACATTTCAATAAATTGATGAATTAATAATCAACTGTGAATCATGATTACATGTCCACGTCATCATAGTCATCATCTGAGTCCATGCATTGGTCTCTATGGGAAAGAGAGAAAGGGAAAGAGATCAACACAGTGCCAGATAAGATCGGTAGTCAACAGTGGCCTTCTCATGGCTCATTGGATCATTTGTCCTGTAAGTGGAAGACTTGGCGATGATGGAGCCATCAGTCAGTGTGTTATTGGCATTCTAAGCAGTAATCCGCATACCTGATTAGGCTCTTGTCGCTGCCAGTGGATCCCAGTGTGCGACACTGTACTGTAGGTCGTACCTGAAGTACAGAAAGACAATGACAGAAGATTCTGATCAATAAGATACACAGGCCTACATCTGTATACACACTAGAAAGCACAGTGGTACGCAGGCATGGATACCACCACAGGTACACACATGGACACACTCATACACACACACACTTACCGTTGCTTCTGGTGAGGCTGTCTTTACTGGCCTCCTGGTGTAGAGCTGCTCCACTGATAACACACACACACAAACAGACACACACACAGACACACACCAATCCAATGATTAGTTACACATGTACAGTGCATTGCGAAAGTATTCAGACCCCTTTACTTTTTCCACATTTTATTACGTTACAGCCTTATTCTAAAATGGATTAAATGTTTTTTTTTCTCCACATCGATCTACACACAATACCCCATAATGACAAAGCAAAAACAGGTTTTTAGAAATGTTTGCTAATAAATTATTTTATTTTTTAACGGAAATATCACATTTACATAAGTATTCAGACCCTTTACTCAATACTTTATTGAAGCACATTTGGCAGCGATTATAGCCTTGTGTCTTCTTGGGTATGACGCTACAAGCTTGGCACACCTGTATTTGGGGAGTATCTCCCATTCTTCTCTGCAGATCCTCTCAAGCTCTGTCAGGTTCGATGGGGAGCGTCGCTGCACAGCTATTTCCAGGTCTCTCCAGAGATGTTCGATCGGGTTCAAGACTGGGCTCTGGCTGGGCCACTCAAGGACATTCAGAGACTTGTCCCAAAGCCACTCCTGTGTCATTGTCCTGTTGGAAGGTGAACCTTTGCCCCAGTCTGAGGTCCTGAGCGCTCTGGAGCAGGTTTTCATCAAGGATCTCTCTGTACTTTGCGCCATTCATCTTTCCCTTGATCCTGACTAGTCTCCCTGCTGCTGAAAAACATCCCCACAGCATGATGCTGCCACCACCATGCTTCACCGTAGGGATGGTGCCAGGTTACCTCCAGACATGACGCTTGGCATTCAGGCCAAAGAGTTCAATCTTAGTTTCATCAGACCAGAGCATCTTGTTTCTCATGGTCTGAGAGTCCTTTAGGTGTCTTTTGGCAAACTCCAAGCAGTCCGTCATGTGCCTTTTACTGAGTAGTGGCTTCCGTCTGGTTGGTGGAGTACTGCAGAGATGGTTGTCCTTCTGGAAGGTTCTCCCATCTCTACATAGGAACTCTGGAGCTCTGTCAGAGTGACCATCAGGTTCTTGGTCACCTCCCTGACCAAGACCCTTCTCACCCGATTGCTCAGTTTGGCCAGGCGGCCAGCTCTAGGAAGAGTCTTGGTGGTTCTAAACTTTTTCCCTTTAAGAATAATGGTGGCCACTATGTCCTTGGGGACCTTCAATGCTGCAGACATTTTTTGGTACCCTTCCCTAGATCTGTGCCTCGACACAATCCTGTCTCGGAGCTATATGGACAATTCCTTCAACCTCATGGCTTGGCTTTTGCTCTGACATGCACTGTCAACTGTGGGACCTTATATAGACAGGCGTGTGCCTTTCCAAATCATGTTCAATCAATTGAATTTACCACAAGTGGACTCCAATCAAGTTGTAGAAACATCTCAAGGATGATCAATGGAAACAGAATGCACCTGAGCTCAATTTCGAGTCTCACAGCAAAGGGTCTGAATACTTATGTAAACAAGGTATTTCTGTTCTTTATTTTTAATAAATTAGCAAACATTTCTAAAAACATGTTTTCATCATTATGGGGTATTGTGTGTAGATTGTAGAGGATTTTTATTTATTTAATTAATTTAAGAATAAGGCTGTAACGTAACAAAATGTGGAAAAAGCAAAGGAGTCTGAATACTTTCCGAATGCACTGTATATACAACCGATAACATTTCCTGGACAGGTTCACAAATGAAATCAAATATATATATTTCTCACAGCTGATGTCGGAGTTGGTTCTCTCTGCCTGGTTGTGTCTGTTAATGGAGTGAATCCTTCTCAAGGAGCCTGGTACCACAACCTTTAGGAGATATCATCATATAGCCATGAGTATTGCATTCTTACATTTTACATATCTTTTACATTGTGTGATCATGTGTATTGATCTGTATCATTCATGTGTATTGTGTAGACAAGGTCTGTTACTATATTACATTACGGTGTGTGTGTGTTTGTGTGTGTGTGTGTGTTTGATTGTAGAGGGTATGTGTGTGATGCTCTGACCTCCACGTCCTCCTCCTCAGACGGCAGGCAGGGCTTCAGTTTCTCAGGGTGATGCAGCTTCTCCAGCAGATCCAAGATCAGATCCTGTCTCAGACACGGCTGGGTCAGAAACAGGTGCTGCAGGACAGAGAGAGAGAGAGCGAGAGAGGGGGGGGGAATCAGGGAGAGAAAAAGGAGTAAAGTGATTACAAGAGATGAATAGACAAACTCAAGTTTCAACTTTATCTCTCCCAGACTGGGCAAGAAGGCAATTGGAGCATAAAAACAACATTGAACATATAAAATCCACAAGGATCACATTGACACACAGTTGTAGTAAATACAATGGGCTAGTACATGAAGTCATAGGACTTACAGCCATTAATAGACACATACACTGAGTGTACATAGGCTGACCAGGTAAATCCAGGTGAAAGCTATGATCCCTTATTGACGTCACTTGTTAAATCCACTTCAATCAGTGTAGATGAAGGGGAGGAGTGTCACGTCTCCTCCCGTTGCTCCCCTCCGGCGCTCTGATTCGCCGGTCCACTGAGCCACCGGTCTGAGCGCACCACCTCGGCAACACAGGAATGGAAACCCAATGCACCCTAATCACCTCCAGCGCACCTACACCTCATCATCTCATCACCACCACTATATAGCCCTGGACTGTTCAGTCATTGTTGTGTGTAACTGTTAGCGTCGTGTCGTTTACGCGTTCTTTGTTATTCTCTTTCTCATTGTTAAGTAAACCTTTATCCTTGTTTATTCCTGCGTCTGCGTCCTGCCTCTTCGTATCCTCAGTACTCGTCACAGAATTACACACCTCTCACGAAAATGGATGCAACAGGTAATCCTCCTGGAGTTTCCCAGTGCCTCGACCAGCACCAGCAGCAGCTTGCCCAGTTGAATGCCGCCATGTAGGAAGTGCTCCAAACTCTGCATAATCTGCCCAGCGCTCCGGTTCCACCTCAGGGAGCGGCGAGTGCACCCAGTCCACCTGTTCCCGTGCTATCACCAACTTCTGAGGTACCCCTCACCCTACCGGAGCGCTATGACGGTAACGCTACTAAATGTAGCGGCTTCCTGCTACAGGTTTCACTTTATCTGGCGCGTCAGCCTGGGGCATATCCATCTGACCAAGCCAGGATAGCGCTGGTGATTTCGCTACTTAAAGGAAAGGCGCTGGATTGGGCCACGCAGTCTGGGAAGGAGGAGAGGCCGTGGCGCTTCCCTACTCCACCTTCTTCGCTTGGTTCAGGGCGGTGTTTGATCATCCCACGGAGGGAAAGGACGGGGGTGAGTGTCTCCTCCAGCTACAACAGGGAGAGGGGCCCGCGTCCAAGTATACGCTGAGCTTTCGCGCGGTGGCGGCGTCTTCCGGCTGGAATGAGCATGCTCTGCGCACGGCCTTCAGGAGAGGCTTACGGGAGGACATCAAGACGGTACTCGCATGTTGGGACGACGAGATGGACCTTGATACCGTCATCGCCACGTCCAACCATCTTGACGACATGTTGAGAGACAGACGGTGTGCCCAACACCTCCCGGAGCCTCGACGCTCACCCCATCTGAGCTATGGAAGCCGCCCTACCTCCGAGTCCTCACCCATGGAGGTGGGCAGCACCCCCTAGATGACCACAGATCTCATTGCGGCTCCCAATCTAGGCGGTATGACTCCCGTCACCGCTCCGTGAGTGTTACATCATCTCCTATCACAAAACCATTGTTTTTAGTTCCCATAACGGTGACTGGTTATTCCTTCTCTTCCAATTTCCACTGCAATGATAGATTCCGGATCAGCGGGGAACCTTATAGATAGGGACCTGGTCTCTGGTTGCCCACCGTGCCACTGCCTTCCTCGCTGGACAATAAACCACTTGGATCACTTACACTACCTGGCGCCGACGAAGATGGTGGCCTCGCGACTAGCTCTTAGGAAACTTTGCAGTATTTAGTTTTTTATGTATAATTTTTTACATTATTAGCTCTGAGTGTTTGGCATCATTACATACAGCCGGGAAAAACTATTGGATATCAGAGCGGCGGTAACTCACCAGCATTACGACCAGGAATATGACTTTCCCGAAGCAGATCCTTTGTTTGCTCTCCCCAGGGCAACTGAACTGATTCCAGCGGCTGACCCAAAACATCGCCAGCAGAGGAGAGGCACTCAGAGCGGCCTGCTGGTTCGACTTAGGAGGCGTGCACACCACCCACCGCTTCCAAGTATACTACTCGCTAATGTTCAGTCTCTGGTTAACAAGCTCGACGAACTACGGGCAAGGATTTCTTTCCAGAGACACATCAAGGCCTGTAACATACTCTGTTTCACAGAAACATGGCTCTCTTGGGATATTCTGTCGAAATCGGTCCAGCCAGATGGGTTCTCAGTTCATCGCGCAGAGAGGAATAAATATCTCTCTGGGAAGCAGAACGGCGGAGGTGTGTGTTTCATGTTTAACGACTCATGGTGTAATTGTAGTAACATACAGGAACTTGAGTCCTTCTGTTCACCCGACCTAGAATATCTCACAATCAAATGCCGACCGTATTATCTCCCAAGATAATTTTCTTCGGTTATAGTCACGGTCGTGTATATCTCCCCTCAAGCCGATACCATGACGGCCCTCAAAGAACTTCACTGGACCTTATGCAAACTGGAAACCACATATCCTGAGGCTGCATTTATTGTAGCCGGGGATTCTAACAAAGCAAATTTGAGGACTAGGCTGCCGAAGTTCTATCAACATATCGACTGTTGTACTCGCGCTGCCAAAATCCTCAACCATTGCTATTCGAACTTCCGGGATGGTTATAAGGCCCTCCTCCGCCCTCTTTTCGGCAAATCTGACCACGACTGCATTTTGCTTCTCCCTTCCTATAGGCAGAAACTCAAACAGGAAGTACCCGTGCTAAGGACTATTCAACGCTGGTCTGACCAATCGGAATCCACGCTTCAAGATTGGGTCTGAACCCCGCCCTGTGCAACTGGGTCCTGGACTTCCTGACGGGCCACCCCCAGGTGGTGAAGGTAGGAAACAACATCTCCACTTTGCTGATCCTCAACACTGGGGCCCCACAAGGGTGCGTCCTCAGCCCCCTCCTGTACTCCCTGTTCACCCATGACTGCATGACTGCATGGCCAAGCACGCCTCCAACTCAATCAAAGTTTGCAGACGACACAACAGCAGTAGGCTTTATTACCAACAATGACGAGACCGCCTACAGGGAGGAGGTGAGGGCTCTGGGAGTGTGCTTCCAGGAAAATAACCTCTCACTCAACATCAACAAAACAAAGGAGATGATCGTGGACTTCAGGAAACAGCAGAGGGTGCACCCCCCTATTCACATCGACGGGACCGCAGTGAAGAAGGTGGAAAGCTTCAAGTTCCTTGGCATACACATCACCGACAAACTGAAATGGTCCACCCACGCAGACAGTGTGGTGAAGAAGGCGCAACAGAGCCTCTTCAACCTCAGGAGGCTGAAGAAATTCGGCATAGCACCTAAAACCCTCACAAACTTTTACAGATGCACAATTGAGAGCATCCTGTCGGGCTGTATCACCGCCTGGTACGGCAACTGCACTGCCCACAATCGCAGGGCTCTCCAGAGGGTGGTGCGGTCTGCCGAACGCATTACCGGGGGCAAACTACCCACCCTCCAAGACACATACAGCACCCGATGTCACAGGAAGGCCAAAAAGATCATCAAGGACATCAACCACACGAGCCACTGCCTGTTCACCCCGCTATCATCCAGAAGGCGAGGTCAGTACAGGTGCATCAAAGCTAGGACCGAGAGAATGAAAAACAGCTTCTATCTCAAGGCCTTCAGACTGTTAAATAGCCATCACTAGCACATTAGAGGCTGCTGTTGCCTATTGAAATCACTGCCACACGAAGGAATGGAACACTAGTCACTTTAATAATGTTTACATATCTTGCACTACTCATCTCATATGTATATACTGCATTCTATTCTATAATATTCTACTGTATCTTAGTCCATGCCGCTCTGTAATTGCTTGTCCATATATGTATATATTCTTAAATCCCATTCCTCACTAGCTTTGTGTGTATCGGGTATATGTTGTGAAATTGTTAGATATTACTTGTTAGATATTACTGCACTGTCGGAGCTAGAAGCACAAGCATTTCACTACACCCGCTATAACATCTGCTAAACACGTGTATGTGACAAATACGATTTGATTTGATTTGATCAGGCACCATTACGCACGTCCCTCTCCCCATCACCATCACCATTCCCACACTACCGGAGCACCACGAGGAGCTGTCATTCCACATCGTCACGTCACCCCTTCACCGGATCGTCTTGGGATTGCCCTGGCACAGACTACACAACCCCACCATCAATTGCATCACCAAGAGGATCCCAGCCTGGTCCACCTCATGCCGGAAGACCTGCCTGCCGGTGGTTTGTTGTTCCACGTCAGTGGAGAGTCCGGAGTCCGCCCTCCAGCCCAACATTCCACGTGAGTACGCAGATCTCTCCAATGTCTTCTCTTCATCAAAGGCTAGGTGTCTCCCTCCTCACAGGCCCTGGGACTGCGCCATTGACCTGCTGGGGGGACAACACCCCCCGCCGAGTCGCATTTACTCCCTTTCCATGGCGGAGACTGTGGCCATGGAGAAGTATGTTGCGGAGACCCTGAAACAGGGGTTCATCAGACGCTCTACCTCTCCTGCCTCCGTCAGTTTCTTCTTCGTGGCCAAAAAAGACGGAGGACTGAGGCCGTGCATTGACTACAGGGGGCTGAACAAAGTCACCACCAAGTACCGGTACCCCCTCCCTCTGGTTCCATCGGCCATCGAGCAGCTACGAGGGGCCCGGTACTTTACCAAGTTGGACCTGAGGAGTGCCTACAACCTGATCCGAATCCGGGAAGGAGACGAGTGGAAGACCGCATTCAGCACTACCTTAGGCCACTATGAATACTGCGTCATGCCCTACGGCCTCGCCAACGCACCTTCTGTGTTCCAGTCCTTCGTCAATGACGTGTTGTTCCGAGACATGCTGAGTAGACAGGTGGTGGTGTACATCGATGATATCCTGATGTACTCGGCTACGTTCTAGGAGCACGTCAGGGACGTCAGATCTGGCCTACTCCGCCTCCGGGAACACAGCCTGTTGGTGAAGGGGGTGAATTGCAAATTCCACCAACAGGCCATCTCCTTCCTGGGATACAGGATCAGTCCTCAGGGGGTGTTCATGGAAAGAGAGAAGACGGACGCCGTCAGGTCATGGCCAGTCCCCACCACCATCAAGGGCCTACAGAGCTTCCTGGGCTTCGTCAATTTCTACTGGTGTTTCATCAGGTCCTTCAGCTCCATAGCTGCCCCGCTCACCTCTCTCCTTAAGGGTGGGCCTCAGAAGTTGGCCTGGAACCCTGAGGCTGACACTGTCTTCAAGAGGCTGAAGGAGAAGGTTCACCACAGCGCCCATCCTAAAACACCCAGATCCATCTTGACCTTTCATCCTGGAGGTGGACGCATCTGAGGAGGACGTGGGTGCGGTCCTCTCCCAGCAGCAAGGTAAGCCAGAGAAAATGTATCCCTGTGCCTTTTTCTCTAAAAAGCTTACCCCCGCAGAGAGGAACTATGGAGTTGGAGACCAGGAGCTGTTGGCGGTGGTCCTCGCTCTGGAGGAATGGAGACACTGGCTGGAGGGTGCAGTCCATCCATTCCGGATTCTTACTGACCACCGGAATTTGGAGTACATATGGGCAGCGAAACGGATGAACTCTCTTCAAGCCAGGTGGGCCCAATTTCTTACTCGCTTTCAGTTAATTCTGTCCTACCGCCCAGGATCCCAGAATGTGAAAGCCAACGCACTCTCCAGGATGCACCATACCGGAGAAAGGAAGGATCTGGGGGGGTCCTATCCTGCCCCCATCTCTCATTGTTGCACCTGTCGTTTGGGATGTGGACGAAGACATCCGCCTGGCGGCTCAGGAGGACCCAGCGCCTGCCAACGCCCCTCCAGGGCACGTATATGTACCCACCAGTGTCCGTGACCGCCTGCTGATCTGGGCGCACACCACCCTTATGGCAGGGCACTCCGGTATTACGCGCACCCTGCATTCTCTGCATTCTCTATCACAAAAATACTGGTGGCCCACCTTGGCTACTGATGTCTCTCGCTATGTCAACTCCTGTTCCATATGTTCCCAAACGAAGACACCTCGGAACGCCCCGGCAGGCAAACTAGTTCATCTACCAGTGCCTCAGCGACCTTGGTCACACCTGTCCATAGACTTTGTCACCGACCTCCCACGTTCTGACGGCTTCACCACAGTCATGGTGGTCGTAGATCGGTTCTCAAAATCATGCCGTTTTTTGCCACTAACTGCTCTTCCTTCTGCTCTCCAGGTCGCTGAGGTCCTGTTCTAATAGGTCTTCCGGCACTATGGACTTCCGGAGGACATCGTCTCGGACCATGGCCCCCAATTCACCTCCCGAGTGTGGAAGGCTTTCCAGGAGAAGATCAGGACCACGGCCAGCCTCACTTCCGGGTATAGGCCTCAGTCAAATGGGCAGGTGGAGCACATGAACCAGGAGCTGGGGAGGTTTCTTCGTTGCCACTGTCAGGACCGGCAGGGTGAGTGGGCGAGGTTTCTTCCCTGGGAAGAATATGCCCAGAACTCCCTCGTTCACTCCTCCATGGGGCTCACTCCCTTCCAATGCGTCCTGGGGTACCAGCCAGCCCTGGCCCCTTGGACACCCAGCCAGAACGATGCGCCCGCTGTCGACGAATGGTTCCGCAGGGCTGGACAGGTCTGGGAATCCGCCCATGTCCATCTCCAGAGGGCCATTCGTCGGCAGGACCAAGCAGACCGCCACCGCAGTGAGGCTCCCGTATTCCAGCCTGGTGATCGTGTCTGGCTGTCCACTCGAAACCTCCCTCTCCGCCTGCCCTGCAAGAAACTGAGCCCCCGGTTTGTGGGGCCGTTTAAGGTCCTCCGGCGGATTAATGAGGTGTCGTACCGGCTGCTCCTTCCCCCTCACTACCGTGTCTCACCTCTTTTCATGTGTCTCTCCTCAGGCCGGTGGTTCCTGGTCCTCTGGCGGATGCCGTTCCCCGGGGTACGCCCCCTCCGCCCCTGGACATTGACGGGAGTCCGGCGTATGCTGTGAGGGACCTGCTGGACTCCAGGTTCCGTGGGGGATGGCTCCGTTACCTGGTCGACTGGGAGGGGTATGGCCCTGAGGAGAGGAGCTGGGTTCCGGCTGGAGACGTTCTGGACCCCAACCTAATTCGCTCCCCTCCGGCGCTCTGATTCGCCAGTCTACTGAGCCACCGGTCTGAGCGCACCACCTCGGCAACACAGGAATGGAAACCCAACGTACCCTAATCACCTCCAGCGCACCTGCACCTCATTTCATCACCACCACTGGACTGTTCAGTCATTGTTGTGTGTAATTGTTAGCGTCGTGTCGTTTACTCGCTCTTTGTTATTCTCTTTCTCATTGTTAAGTAAACCTTTATCCTTGTTTATTCCTGCATCTGCATCCTGCCTCTTCGTATCCCCAGTACTCGTCACAAGGAGACAGGTTAAAGAAGGATTTTTAGGCCTTGAGACAATTGAGACATGGATTGCGTATGTGTGCCATTGAGAGGGTGAATGGGCCAGACAAAATATTTAAATGCCTTTGAACGGGGTATGGTAGTGGGTACCAGGCGCACCGGTTTGTGTCAAGAACTGCAATGCTGCTGGGTTTTTCACGCTCAACAGTTTCCGGTGTGTATCAAGAATGGTCCACCCCCCCAAAGGACATCCAGCCAACTTGACACAACTGTGGGAAGCATTGGAGTCAACATGGGCCAGCATCCCTGTGGAACACTTTCGACACCTTGCCCTGAAGAATTGAGGCTGTTCTGAGGTCAAAAGGGGGTGCAACTCAATATTAGGAGGTGTTCTTAATGTTTGGTATAGTCAGTGTATACAGTAGGTCTACTAGTGGTCAACATTAGCAGCAGCACAACGTATAGCAAGCCAAAGTTGCCTAATAAGTAAAGTGCTCAGTGCATTTTTTGATCATCTCGTCAACAACATATCAACAATGTGCTGACAAAAACTAAAAAACATCAACTTCAACACTACCATCATCAACATATTACCATCGTCATCCTCAAAATCATCATCATTCCTAGCCTTACCTCCTTCACTTCCCTGTATTGAAAAGGGCCATAAGGGTAAGGGAGTGCTTGTACCGGTTAGTCTTAACAGTGGGGAATCTAAACTGGGAGCCACAGGGTAGGACCTGGAACTCATGGGCCTAAACGAGGCTGACTTGGTGGAGAAATACATTTTGATATTTTTGTGCTCTGTGCATTTGGCGATAGCAGTGTAATTTAGAAGTTAATCATAATTGAAACAGTACTCCCGAATCCAGGCTCTGTCGTAGCCGGCCGCGACCGGGAGACCCATGGGGCGGCGCACAATTGGCCCAGCGTCGTCCAGGGTAGGGGAGGGAATGGCCGGCAGGGATGTAGCTCAGTTGGTAGAGCATGGCGTTTGCAACGCCAGGGTTGTGGGTTCGTTTCCCACGGGGGGCCAGTATGAAAAAATAAAACAATAATGAATGCACTCACTAACTGTAAGTCGCTCTGGATAAGAGCGTCTGCTAAATGACTAAAATGTAAATGTAAATGTTGTAGGGGGTGGGCACAGTCAGACAGGATGGATTCTGCCTTCCTCACCATTTGTCTGTTGTACAGGTCTGACAGACTACTCTGCTGGACTCCCGTGATCTTACTTCCCACTTTCACTATTCTAGCTAGGGCATTTTTAGGAAAGGTGAGGGAAGGAGAAAGAGGAGAGGTGGGTGAGTGAGTGAGATCTAGCAGAGAAGATATATTCTCTGAGTTTCTTGAGGTTTACTCACTGTCAGCATCTTTGAGGCACTGGGTCTCTTCTTAGTGTTCCTGATCAGCATCGCCTTGACAAAGTTATAGAAAATCGAGGACCTAACATGAAATTGGTAGAAGAAAATACCAACTGCATATTACAGACTGTAGATGAATTGACTGAATTAAAGAATACAGGTATCATTGCCACAGCTCAAGCGGGTAGTAATGGTCTTACTGCATACCATTTGGCCTTTTCCTTTAGTTTAGGAGGCTGGTAGCCACTTTTGGACATGAGGAACAGCACCCTGAGAAAAGACAAGACTTTGATGTGAGGTTTCTGTGTGTCGGTCTGTCTGTGTGTGTGTTTTTGTGTGTTTGTATGTCGTCACAGGTCATCATTGTAAATAAGAATTAGTTCTTAATCAACTTACCTGTATAAATAAAGGTGAAATTAAATTTTAAAAAGTGGGGGTAGGCATGTGGGTAATTGGTTAACGGCATGCATGAATGTATATACAACTGGAACATGAGGGGGTGTGGTAGGAGGAAAGTCTTGATTATTTCTACGGGGAGTGTGAATGTAAGGGGGGGTGGGGGGGGGGGGGGGTTGAGAGGAATGATTTGTGTGTGTGTGATTACCGTAGTGGGTGCACATCGAAAAAGGGAGGCTGCAGCTCAGCCAGCTCGATTGCAGTGATTCCCACAGACCACACGTCACACAGCTCATTGTAACCCCCCTTTATCTCCACGGCAGCCACCTCTGGCGCCATCCTGAAAGACACGGACAACAGCAACTGCTACTATCAACATCAAGAGCATCTGATATCAGATACAACCTCAAGAAGAGCCACAGGGAGGGAACTCATTTGACCTTAAACCTCACCAGTAAGGAGTCCCGATGAAGGACATCCGCCGTGCCAGAGTAGCCGTGATCTGTGCCGAAATCCCAAAGTCCGCTAAACAGCCAGACGATAAATATGTCACTTATTTAATATGTGAGGACAGAAATGAATGTTATTTACTGCCTGATGAGTGTATTAGGGCTTCACAGTCACACACCTAGCTTCACCTCTCCTTGGTCATTCAGAAGGATGTTGGCACCCTGGACAACAGGAAGATGAGACACAAGCGATCACGACAGAGCACTGTGTACAGTATATGCTGTCTGGACAGCAGGAAAACACAACAAACATTGCATCATAACTTAAAGCAAGCCTTGTCTGAGCCAGAATGGCCCATAGCGACAGACTAGCGTCCTGTCTAGGAGGTGTACTAGTACATCAAGTTGTCTCATGCTATTGAAACAGGAGATAGGCTCCTGCCCCTATGTGCCATTCATAACAATTTTAGAGGCATAACTCATCCCAGCAGATTAGGGAGTCAAACCTGGTCATCTCACCTTTATATCTCTGTGAATCTTCTTCTGGCCATGTAAATAATCCAGACCCTGCAGGTAGACAGTTAGTACACTGTTACATGTTGATATCAAAGCTGGAGATATCAAAACTATTACCTATAACAGCCAAGTGACATGTTATACATGCTATATTGTAATGTGTGATATGAGTGGTCTAACCTGCAACATCTCCCTGCAGACAAATGCAATCTGAAGCTCAGAGAGAGGCCCGGTCACTAAAGGGAGAGAAGAGGGGGTGTGAAGTAGGACGCTGTTTTATAAACTTACAGTTGTAGATCGTAATCTGCTCCAGCTGACCCACCCACACACACAGACACACACACACACACATTTCTCTAGAGGACGAAGTGACAAATGTCTTAAGAAGCACTGCAGTCGATAATGATGAGTAACTTATGATCACTCAAATCTATAAAAATAGGCAAATGCAGAATATGTTTTGGGTGGAGGGGTTTTGCAGTGTAATGGTCAATGGTGATACTCTTTGAAAAAAGGGTTCCAAAAGGGTTCTTTGGCTGTCCCATAGGATAACCCTTTTTGGTTCCAGGTAGAACCCTTTTGGATACCACGTAGAACTCTCTGTGGAAAGGGTTCTACATGGAACTCAAAAGAGTTCTACCTGGAACCAAAAATTGTTATTCAAAAGGTTCTCCTATGGGGACAGCCAAAGGTTCTTTTAGGTTCTAGATAGCACCTTGTTTTCTAAGAGTGTAAGTGACCTTTAAGAGTGTCCCTGTGTTTGAGCACATCATAACATTACATAACTTCCTGCCAGAGGTACTTCACAGAGTAAACCCTGCTGGTTGTGAGTCTGATCTGTATTCAAAGCCTGATCAAACTCCTTTATTTCTCCTTCATTCACACATACTGTAGATCACCTCTCGCTTTTTGTTTGTCTAATATTTTCACCTTCCTCCTCAGAGTTTTTTCAAACTTTTCTCAGTTAAAGAGATGCATCACAAATCAACTTAAGCTGACACACACACACACACACACACACACACACACACACACACACACACACACACACACACACACACACACACACACCATGGTAGACGTCCTGGAGTGAGCCTCCTCCACAGAACTCCATGCAGATCGACAGCTTGTTAGCCCTGGAAACACACGCATGTCACACACACATCTGTCATATTAAAGGTTTATTCTCCCAGTAACATTTTCATGATCACAACTGATAATATTCCCAATTAGTCTGTATCATCCCATTCCAACTAGTGTATGATATGTGGCTGTGTGTGGGAGGGCCTGCTCAGTGCCCACTCACCGTATATAGCTGCCATAATAGGCCACAATGTTGCGGTGCTTGCAGCTCTTCACGATGACGATCTCCTGCTGGATTACTGAGAAGTCCTCGTCTGTGTGGGAAAATGTCATATCATCTCATATTATTTTATACCATGTACCACACTGCAATGTATATGGATGCCAGATGATGTCACAATATAGCACCACAACATCATCTTGATTTGGAACATTTGACACAGGTATTACTGCAGAAATCTGAAACCAATGTGGATTTAAAGGTTGATTTCTTTCTGACCTGGGGTCAAATACTACTTGAAATCATTTCAAATACTATATTTGTGCTCCATTGAGCTTGCCTGTTGTAATGGAACCAATATAAATGTAAAGAATGACCAAACCCCGCCCACCTGGCACTCCAGACAGGTTAAAGCAAACGCTCCAAGTATTTGAAAGATATCAAATAGTATATGAACCAATGATGTATATAAACCCTGGATTGCTGATGCTATGTATTGGCCATTGAGAGGCTTTGAAGCCACCGGTCAGCCACATTGGCACTCTCCAGTTGGAGCAGTCCTCCATAGGAATGAATGGACTTCTACATTATTTCAATTAAATGTTTCAAGGACAAAATTACATGTATTTAAGTATGTTTTGTTGTTGTAGTGGGGACAGTAACATTAGTAATCTATAAAAATTATACTTTAAGGATTTAAAAATGTATATATATATATATTATTTTCTATTTGTATGTTTAGCTCACATAATATATTTAAAAGTATGCATAAAGGTGTCTGTAATAGAATACATGTGGCAAAAAGTAATGTAGACATGAATAAATGCATTTCTATAGCTTCCAAAATATTTTTTACAATGGTGGGGGAGTGCCAAGATGGAGGCACGGTGGCTTCAACACAGCGCCCCCTATCAGTCATCTAGTGTATATATAAATCATTGATTTGAACCCATGTGTGGTCTCTAGAATCTGTAGTAACAGAGGGGGCTTCTTTTACCTGGCTCCATCTTGATGACCTTGATGGCCGCTAGCTCCCCGTTCTGCTTGTTCCGAGCCTGAGTAACAGACAGCTGCATCAGTCAGTAGGCTTGTTATGGAAGGGGAGTATAACCTGATTCACTGACATCAGTACAGATCATGTTGGGTCTATGAGTTTATGCTACAATTACTTTCCATTGAAAAACTGTGTTCATTATCTGTTAAGAATTTATATGGTGTAGCTTTACTGTGCTAAAAAGGTCTGTGGTCTGCTGTGAGAAAATACCTACCAGGACTGCCCAGACTGTTCTATTTACTTCTGCATTGCCTAATCACACAGCCTACGTACACTGGAGCACACCAATGAGAGACCCTGTTTGTTGGTTGACACAACAACACTAAACATAGCCCCTGGGTGTGCACAGTGGAAAGTAGACAGACAATAAGGTGGGGTTAGCTGGCGGGGTGCTGGGGTGAGTGGAGAGAGATGGTCACTGAAGGAAAGCCACAAAACAAACAGTGCTCATCTCACAGACCACTGGAAACGTTGTGATCGAAGCCAGGCAGTTTCCATGGTGATGTCACTGACCTTATTGACAGATTGACACCACACAGATACACATACAGACACACTCACAAGCTCTTACACTCATGGAGGACGAAGTGACAAATGTCTTAAGAAGCACAGCAGTCGATAATGATGAGTAACTTATGATCACTCAAATTAAATCTATAAAAATAGGCGAATGCAGAAGATGTTTTGGGCGGAGGGGTATTACAGTGTAATGGTAAATGGTGATAGGTGACCTTTAAGAGTGTCCCTGTGTCTGAACTTTGGGCACATCATAACAAAACTTCCTCCCAGTGGTACTTCACAATGTAGAACTGTAGATCACCTCTCAGTAAGTTTGTACGATTTTCTCCCTTCCTCTTTCTAAGAGTTTTCACACACACACACACACACACATACACACAAACACACAATATATTTATTGTGAAGTGTAGATACTGTAAATACCAATGACTCTCTCACTTCTTTATTTTGACTTTCTGGCCTGGTTTCAAAGATTGCACCTGGCACAAAATGTAATCGCATTTTATTGGCTGAGACACATTACAGTAAGCCACTGTTTTCAGTATTATAAGTATTGTGGCTCAGCTGAAACTCAACCTTATCCTGTCCTTCTTACTTTGGTACACGATGAGTCAATGCATATGAGCCTGTGGGATAAATTCTATTGCATCGAAAACTTGAGATTGTGTAAGTAGTTCTTCTGAATGTCACATTAGCAGGATCCCTGTCTATAAACGTAACAAGTCTACTTCCATAGAGGGTAAATCCATTTGAGTTCAGTCACTTTTTGAAAGTAATCATAAATGTTTTCCCATGGAAGAAGTGGTCAGAAAGTGACTTTTTGGACCTGAATTCCAAAACATTCAGGAGATAGAGGTGCACAAATTTTGCATACCCCACCATACTATGGCGGCAGGTAGCTTAGTGGGTAAGAGCGTTGTGCCAGTAACCGAAAGGTCGCTGGTTCTAATCCCCGAGCTGACTAGGTGAAAAATCTGTCGATGTGCCCTTGAGCAAGGCACTTAACCCTAATTGCTCCTGTAAGTCGCTCTGGATAAGAGCGTCTGCTAAATGACAAAAAAAAAAAAAAAAAAAAAAAAAAAAAAAAAAAAAAAAAATATACTATGAGACCTCCATGTCTTCATCACTGGAAAAGATAAACGGTTGAATTTGATATCATTTTAAAGCTTACAAACATGGTTGTCAAACTATTTTAGAACTTCTTGAAAACATTTTTTTTTTACATTTAATGTCAATTATCTAAAAACACGTCAATTCAGATTTGGTTCATATTCACATATGTTGTAGCTTAGACCCTACTTGAGGTTTTTGTGTTGTGCCCAGCATCTTGAGAAACAACATGCTCTTGAATAAAGGGTGGGTGTCATTTCAATCATATAAATATATTTCATAGAATGGACCTATCCCTTCAGAACACTGCAATTTAGCTGGTACACCATTGACATTTAAATTGAATTGACATTTTTACTTCTAATTACTACCACAAGATGGCCGCCGGTCCACCCACCGTCGAATGTCAACTTAAATGTCTATTCTATTATCTATATTTCTATGATTTCAATACGTTACCTATGGAGGATTGACAGTATTATTTCAAACAACAGATATTACCATTCATGTCAACATTCTATGATGTGTGGACCTCCAACCATCTTTGTGGTACCATTTGAAAGTAGACATTTCTATTTTATTCCCATTTTAGTACATTTATAAACCAAAACATGACACCCACCCTGTATTCAACAGCATGTTGTGTCTCAACTGATGGCGGGCACAACAAAAAACCCTCAGATGATGTAAAATAGGGTCTAAGCTACAACATGCAGTGGGGAGAACAAGTATTTGATACAATGCCGATTTTGCAGGTTTTCCTACTTACAAAGCATGTAGATGTCTGTAATTTTTATCATAGGTACACTTCAACTGTGAGAGACGGAATCTAAAACAAAAATCCAGAAAATCACATTGTATGATTTTTAAGTAGAAGGATGAGTGTCTTTTATACAGGTACCGAGTTCAAACAGGTGCAGTTAATACAGGTAATGAGTGGTGAACAGGAGGGCTTCTTAAAGAAAAACTAACAGGTCTGTGAGAGCCGGAATTCTTACTGGTTGGTAGGTGATCAAATAATTATGTCATGCAATAAAATGCAAATTAATTACTTAAAAATCATACAATGTGATTTTCTGGATTTTTGTTTTAGATTCCGTCTCTCACAGTTGAAGTGTACCTATGATAAAAATTACAGACCTCTACATGCTTTGTAAGTAGGAAAACCTGCAAAATCGGCAGTGTATCAAATACTTGTTCTCCCCACTGTATGTGAATATGAAACAAATCTGAGTTTATATGAGAATTTTAAAAAGGAATTTACGTGTTTTTAGATAATTTACATTTAAGGTTATTATAAAACAGTTTGACAACCCTGTTTGTAAGTTTTTAAATGATATCAATCTCAACCGTTTATCTTTTCCAGTGATCACTGTCTTATGGTATGGTGGGGTATGCAAAATAGGTCAACTTTGAGCACCTTTATTTCTTGAATGTTTTGGCATTCAGGTCCAAAAAGTCACTTTCTGACCACTTCTACAATGGGCAAATACTGTATGTATGGAAGGTTCAGTTCAAATCAAAAGGGGTGCTATCAAAAAGGGATTGAATTCAAATGGTTTTACCCTAGATAGAGGATAGCAGTTCAAGTTGAAAAAAGGAGTCTTAGCTAAAGTATTCTGCTTTCATGGAACAGTGTGCCGAACAAAGGTGTCTGTTTGTATTTACAGGAGGCCTAGGGACAGTTGGGAGGCCTGATAACAATGTAGTTCAACAGAGGTGTACCCACAGTGATGTTGAGGCTACAAAGTTACCAACCCATAAAAACACACAGCTCTTACAATTACTGAGAAGCTTCATGTTGTTGCCCAACAAGAACAACTAGCCGCCATAATGAACATATGAGCCATTGACAAATATTGGCAGAAGTTCAGGTATTTTTCTGGTGTTTATTTTTGTTTCCTTTAACTATTTGTTTGCAGACATTGTTACTATAAGTTGTTGAATAAATGCAAAGTACTGTGAAAATAGAGCATAAACTATTGATGGCCTCCGTTTCTCTCTGGAGAGGAAGTGCGCTCCATGTTCCCCCTACTTTGCATAAGTCACATGCACAGTGGACAAGCTCCTGAACACAGCAGCTGGCATACTCTGCCAATGCTCGTCCAGTAAGACATTGTAAAATCTTTGTCATTTTTCTATAATACCATTATTGACATTGTAGAGTGTACCAGGATTCTGGAAAGGGGCATACATTCCACATAAGATAAGATACACACTTTACACCAAATGTTTCTTATGGAATAATGGAATAAAAGTGAAAATGGTGTGCTCCGCATTGAATTCATTCTATACTGTAGCTTTAGCGTCCAATACAGAGAAGGCACATAGCAACTGAACTGAATGATCATGGCTGGTGCTGAATAGCACACTCATCATGTGGCGGTCAAACAGGTGCAAAGCACACTGCATTTCTGCAAAGTTCTGTGACAGGTGACAATATGACTTATTCAGAGATAGAATATGTCCTTGCAACTTGTATGTAACAAGTGTTACTGCAAGATACAATTTGATATTGCCTCCCAACCTCCATGCATATCAATGATTAAGCTTATATATTTGTTTTAATGGATGTGATGTTCCAACTCACTTATTGGTCCCGTCCTTATACCCTATCCTGATTCCAGGTAAACACATTGTGTTCCTAATATGGTCACAATAAATGTGTCTTTAGGACAGTGAATTCTCCAGAGCAGTGTCAGTTTGTCTTGTTCCAACACAGTTACTGACTGAGAAGACATTCTGCCCATGAACAAAACTGCTACATAAAAGGCCACAGTGTAACTGACTGGGGTTGAGCTGTGAGTGGTAAACACAACTCACATCATGGTAAGAGTATAGGAATCAGTTACCACAAGAAAGACAACATAGATCAACCTCTTTCCCCTGATGAGCTATAAGCCAATCCTTCACTATTTGAGGAAATGTATTCCACAGAATTGAGCTAAAGCAAGAGTGATACAAGTTTGTTTTAATGTAATACACGTTAATGTAATACAAAGGGACATATTCACTAACCAAAAGTGAAAGATGAAGAGACAAAGGAAACCCATATATGAAAAAAAGTAAATCTAAAATATCTGATCATATATGCTTTAACTTTTTCTAAAACCGCTTCCTTTTTTGAAACAGGAATTACAAAAAGTCTAAATTCCTTGAGAATGTGAATGATTTAGGCCTACATGAAATCAAACCATTGCCTGCCCCCACAAATAAAATCTTAAATGGAATATTTTACTGTAAATCAGGAGTATTGACATTCGAAACACAGGCCACCATTAGAAACATTTCAAAAAAGTAAAAAGCACAACAAGGTAGCATAAAACTCTCTGAAAATGTCCTGGTTGTGAGTTGTTTTAATCTCTGACCTTGTAAACCTCGCCATAGGTGCCTCCACCGACCCGGAGCAGAATCTCAAAGTCATCCTGGGGGTTCCGGGTGGAGATGTCCAGTGCAGCCCGGTTCTGGGAGTCCATTACTCCTGGGGCATGGCACACACACAGACTCCCTCCACTGACTACTGTTTATGCTGCAAGCGCACAAAAAACACACCACACTAACCCTCACCTTCCTTCTTCACTCACTCTCGTCTCTTTTTTCTCTCTCTGTTGCATGTTCAGTGAAGCTCATTTACATTTACTCTGGTTTTATTTCCTGTTCGGTGCATGTCTGTGTAGGTGTGAGTGTATGAGAGAGAGAGAGAGAGAGAGGGGGGGGGGGGGGAGAGAGTGAGTGAGAGGGTATGAGACTTAGTTTCACCATTAGCTTTTTGACATTCTTTGTAGTGTGTGTGTGTGTGTGTGTGTGTGTGTGTGTGTGTGTGTGTGTGTGTGCAGCTGCACTACTTGGTTTTCTGTGTGGGTTTTCTCTTGTCACTTGGGCATGCCTGCAGATGTGTGAGCTACAAATCTGCAATGCTGCTCTCATTTGGAGCCATTTATAATGGCCTGACTTCCTGTAGAGCAGCATGTTGATACACATGAAAAACAAGAATAGTGTTAAATATTAAACTATTTGAATTGCCATGCTTCAGAGTGGTAGCGTTTCCAATGAGGAAACTTGAAAAAAACATTCTGATGCATACTTAATTGACTGAATTCTCTGACATAAGTCAAAGGCATCACATTGCTCCAGTATTGGTGATAAGAAATTAAAAAGAAAACAAAAGAGAGGAAACATTTGCTGGACCTGCTGAGAGCACTAAAAACGTTGTACACTACGTTGTACATTTTGAAATTTTAGTCATTTACCAGACGCTCTTATCCAGAGCGACTTACAGTTAGTGAGTGCATACATTTTCATACTGGCCCCCTGTGGGAAACGAACCCACAACCCTGGCGTTGCAAGCGCCATGCTCTACCAACTGAGCTACACGGGGCCCCGTTGTATACTGTTGTTAGAATGACAGCAGGCTATATAGCATGATATTGTCAAATCAAATCAAATGTTGTCACATGCGCCGAATACAACGGGTGTAGACTTTATTGTGAAATGCTTGCTTACGAGCCCTCCCCAACTATGCAGAGTTAAAAATGATAATAATAATTAACACAAGAGGAATAAAATGCACAAGAATGAAGCTATATACAGGGAGTACCAGTGCCTGTACCATATCACTGTGCAGGGGTACAACGCCTTTGAGGTAGATATGTACATAAAGGCAGGGTTAAGTGACTAGGCATCAGGATAGATAATAATATGAGTAAAGTAAAGAACAGAGTAGCAGCAGCAAATGATGAATGTGAAAGTGTGTGTGCGTGTCTGAGCATACAAGCCCAAAGTGTGTCTGTCAAAGGCCATAGTACACAAACACCCACTGTTGTTAGACACAGGCATATAGCAAGCAACCACAGATAACCTTCATTTGAACAACGAAAGGGCAATTAAGGTGTGATGATCAGGTTTGAAATGAGACTGTATGGCGTTAGTTGTGATATGCATACGACAGTGTGCACTAACTGATAATAGAAATGTCACTTTATAATGGAGTTTCAATAAACTGTTATAAAGGCAGAGAGATAGTCGATGCCTATGTCATTTAAAGGTTTGGCCATAAATGGAAGTAATGTCTTGCACTTGTGCCGTCCCCTAGAAACCACACATCACCACTGAAAAATAGATCACTGTTGCATAAGGCACAGGCAATATCCATACCACATGCACTAGGGCAGTGTTCCCCAACTGGCGACCCGCGGTTTTCTGAGCAAAAATAAATACAATTTGTATATATTTTTTAAATGTTAATTGTTGGACATAAAAGACTGTAAAAACACCAGGAAATCAGCTCCAAGTGATTTTAATTTTGAAAATATTTTCCAAAGTATTCCCACGCATTATAGAGAGATACATTTACATTTACATGTATGTCATTTAGCAGACGCTCTTATCCAGAGCGACTTACAAATTGGTGCATTCACCTTATAGCCAGTGGGATAACCACTTTACAATGTTTTTTTATTTTATTTACAATAAATATATACATGTGATCTTATACAAATGTAAGCAAGGTTTGAAATTATTATGTTTTAGTCAACTATTATATCTGTTTGGGATTCTTCTATTTGGGATTCTTGCGGTCAAATTGCGGTCTACAAATTATATGTAATAATGTTGTGGCCCCCCGAACATCCGCTCAAGATTAATCGGCCCGCTGCTGAATCTTGTTGATGTAAATTGGTTCGCTAATTAGCACAACATTATAACTATAGAACATATTACAATGTAAGAGCAATCCTAAATCTACTGCTTTTACAGCAACCAACATATTTATCTTACTAGCGTAGCTCATACTCCATCACAACAACAGGAAGCAGTAAAGTTATTCTTCTTCTTCTGTGGGTTTTATGGCGGACTACAGGCAGTAAAATTACCATGCATCAGTCATTTTGTTTGGGTAGGAACCAGGAACCAAAGTGGTTTCAGTCTATTGAAAATGGTGGAAGTATAACCATCACATTCAGGCTCCTCACTGCATTCACGTCATTCGAAACGATCGTCAATGATAAATATAGTGCATATATTTGGCCATTCGTCTATATGTTCACAAATGAAACATACTGATTTGTTGAACTTTAATTGTCTCCAATGTATGTTTCTAACGGTGGTCCGTCAGTAATATAACTTCCTGTTTACGTCACAACAGCCCTTTCCGTTCCAAGCCCTTTTCTCCCTCCGCTTGCTCTCTTTTCTACTGTTCGGTCCACGTGCGGATTTCTTAGAATTTAGCACCAAAAAGACCACAATAAGAGTTTGGACCAAATGGCGTCGTCATTCGAGCAGATGAGAGCCAACGTAGGAAAGCTCTTACGAGGAATCGATCGGTATGGACACTTGTTTGACAAATACTAGCTTAGCTAGCTACATTTGATTGTTTGACATTATGCAGAAAGTTACAGTTAAAACAGTTAGCTGTTGGAATCATTTATTAGACATATCCAACATCTAACGACGTGTAGGTGTCACATACCTTTGGTTTACCTAGTGTTACTTATAAACTAACGTTAACTAACTAGCTAGGTACTGTTACACCGGCTTGTACCGGTAAACCGTAAGTTAATGTTATTTACCTAGCACAACATCCTTTGACAGCTGGTTGGTTGTGATGCAGATTGATTGTCTCTATGCATGTTTTTGCACAACTTGTGTGTTGTAGTTAGCTAGCTGTGTCGGCTATCTGTTGAATCCATGCCCTTAATGTTACATTGTTTATGATCTCTTACAGATACAACCCAGAAAACCTTGCAACATTGGAACGCTACGTGGAAACACAAGTTAAAGAGAATGCATACGACCTAGAGGCCAATTTGGCTATCCTTAAATTGTGAGTCAACCTACCTCTGACTGTCTGACTACTATCACATTAGTTATGCCTGTACAAAATGGGTAACATGTAGTTATATTTTCCTGCTGGGTGGCAAGTAGCCATTGATCATGACTCTCAGTTCCATTACATTACACATAAATCATTGGACGAAGGCTTCTTCGGCGCTCAATCTGAACATTAACACGCGTCACTTGCGGTACGGTTTTGGAAGCATAAGGACCTTATCTTTCATATCAGCGAGAAATCAACAACAACAAAAATGTTGAATTGATACACACCTTGATAGGGTTAGTGTTCGCACACTGCCATATCTCCATGTTACATTGCGTGTTTACGCAAGACATAGGTTGACCACCTGTGCTAATTAGCTATCTAGTGGGGATGTAACGATTCACTGATAAGCATCGGTCGTCGGTTCAGATGTTTAAAATGCGAGTGCATCTGTCTGCGGGAGCCCAAAACCGATCCAAATGAATGAGCAATCGGTAAGAAAACCGATTCAATTTAAAAATATATATTTTCTTTCTGCCTTATTCTGAAAATACCGATAATCTGTTGTGACTGAATTGATGCGTCCTCTCCTTCAGCCTATCAAACTTGTATGACATTGATCTACTAGTCAGATAACTGTGTGCACAGTGCAGGAGACGCAGCTGCTCGCGCCAATGAGAGGTAGGTCTACCCAGTGCTAAAATTCGTAGGCTACATCTGCAAGTCACCTTACATTTTACATTTTAGTCATGTAGCAGACGCTCTTATCCAGAGCGACTTAGTTACTGAGTGCATACATTATTTATATATATATAAAAAATCATACTGGCCCCCCGTGGGAAACGGACCCACAACCCTGTCGTTGCAAACGCCATGCTCTACCAACTGAGCTACATCCCTGCCGGCCATTCCCTCTCCTACCCTAGAAGACACTGGGCCAATTGTGCGCCGCCCCATGGGTCTCCCAGTCGCGGCCGGCTACGACAGAGCCTGGATTCGAACCAGGATCTCTAGTGGCACAGCTAGCACTGCGATGCAGTGCCTTAGACCACTGCGCCACTCGTTCAGATGTTTGTAAAATGGATTTTGTAATATTAAATCATAGGCTTTATTAATTGGACAATCAATGTAATTTGCTGGGTCATTGTTACCAAATGTGCTGTATAAATATATTTTTTATCAGTGGAGCTGTGTAGGCTACCAGGGTGGACACAACTGAACGCACATCTAACTGCTGATTGGGGCTTTTCGATTGCCAGGGTCACCATACGAAATATTTAAACAGTCTGTGCATTTGGTCATTTTTACATTAACAGTGGTAGATGCTCGGTCTGCCATATGGCTCAGCTCACACACTACATCATTCACACACACAGGGCCGCTCAGAGAAGTCAGCTCAGACAGATCCAGCTCCTGAGCTCCAGCAGTATCAGATATTAATTTAGAATGGAAAATGAATGTGTTCATGCAACAATTGTTAGTGCATCGCAACGATTCGTTCCGCTAATCAAATCAAAACGCACCGACTCGTTTCAAACTAAAAGTATCGTTCCTGAATCGTATCGGAGCCCATGTATCTAGATGCGTATTGATTCATGCTTGTAAGGAGAGATGCACATCCCTACTATCTAGCATGCTCTGAACACCTGTGTGTAACTGAAGAAGGCCGCCAGAAACGTGTTGTAACTGAAAAATACTGTCGGCTGCAACTGTGATAAAGCCGGTAAAAAAAAAAACACTGCATTTCAGCCCTGCCACAAAAGGACCAGCTGACATCATGTCAGTGATTCTCTCGTTAACACAGGTGAGTGTTGACGAGGACAAGGCTGGAGATCACTCTGTCATGCTGATTGAGTTAGAATAACAGACTGGAAGCTTTAAAAGGAGGGTGGTGCTTGAAATCATTGTTCTTCCTCTGTTAACCATGGTTACCTGCAAGGAAACACGTGCCGTCATCATTGCTTTGCACAAAAAGGGCTTCACAGGCAAGGATATTGCTGCTAGTAAGATTGGTTGATTTAGGTGCATTTATCTGATCATCAAGAACTTCAAGGAGAGAGGTTCAATTGTTGTGAAGAAGGCGTCAGGGCGCCCAAGAAAGTCCAGCAAGCGCCAGGACCGTCTCCTAAAGTTGATTCAGCTGCGGGATCGGGGCACCACCAGTGCAGAGCTTGCTCAGGAATGGCAGCAGGCAGGTGTGAGTGCATCTGCACGCACAGTGAGGCGAACACTTTTGGAGGATGGCCTGGTGTCAAGAAGGGCAGCAAAGAAGCCACTTCTCTCCAGGAAAAACATCAAGGACAGACTGATATTCTGCAAAAGGTACAAGGATTGGACTGCTGTGGACTGGGGTAAAGTGATTTTCTCTGATGAATCCCCTTTTCGATTGTTTGGGGCATCCGGAAAACACCTTGTCCGGAGAAGACAAGGTGAGTGCTACCATCAGTCCTGTGTCATGCCAACAGTAAAGCATCCTGAGACCATTCATGTGTGGGGTTGCTTCTCAGCCAAGGGAGTGGGCTCACTCACAATTTTGCCTAAGAACACAGCCATGAATAAAGAATGGTACCAACACATCCTCCGAGAGCAACTTCTCCCAACCATCCAAGAACAGTTTGGTGATGATCAAGGCCTTTTCCAGCATGATGGAGCACCTTGCCATAAGGCAAAAGTGATAACTAAGTGGCTCGGGGAACAAAACATTGACATTTTGGGTCCATGGCCAGGAAACTCCCCAGACCTTAATCCCATTGAGAACTTGTGGTCAATCCTCAAGAGGCGGGTGGACAAACAAAAACCCACAAATTCTGACAAACTCCAAGCATTGATTATGCAAGAATGGGCTTCCATCAGTCAGGATGTGGCCCAGAAGTTAATTGACAGCATGCCAGGGCGGATTGCAGAGGTCTTGAAAAAGATGTCAACACTGCAAATATTGACTCTTTGCATAAACTTAATGTAATTGTCAATAACATTCCACACTTATGGAATGCTTGTAATTATACTTCAGTATACCATAGTAACATCTGACAAAAATATCTCATAACACTGAAGCAGCTAACTTTGTGAAGACCAATACTTGTGTCATTCTCAACTTTTGACCACGACTGTACAGTAAGTGAAATTTTTTTGATGTGATATGAAGGTAAAGAGCTTTATGTTTATGCAATTGAGAATCGTTTACATTTAGATGGAGTTTTTGGCTGCCAGAGCCAGTCTACCTCTCAAAATAACATATACGGTCCTTGGACCTTAAGGTGTACATTCTTGGGCTAGCAGAATACCACTCATGGCTATATCAGTAACAGAGATGCTGTTCTTGTTCCTGTAGGTATCAGTTCAACCCTGCCTACTTCCAGGTCACAGTGACGTCGCAGATTCTGCTCAAGGCCCTGACCAACCTACCACACACAGACTTTACTCTGTGCAAGTGCATGATTGACCAGACACACGTATCCTTTTGGTGCTCAGTATAATCTAGTATCAATCCAGCATCTAGTGCAGTTTGTCCACTTCTGTACTCCCTGTCAACAAAAACAGACAATAATTTAGGCTTGGGCGGTATACCATATACCGGGGTATTTGGAAATGGCCACAGCATGGTTTTTCAATACCGTTGAAACTATTTATTTGAAGTGTTTTATTTTATTTTATTTGAATATTTGTAGCTACTTTTTAAGTAAATACTTGCAGTCAACTTGTGCAATACGTTTAGAGATAAAGAAGATTGTGTTCTTCATAGCATCTGTCAATTTTTTCATTATGAAGCTTACCAGTAGTCCCCAGTCACCTGGCATTTGTTTACAAGGACACAACTGAGAGACCTGAGGTTTGGAAAAACAGCGCCCCTTGTGTTCAGTGCCGGTATTACAGAACACCCGGTATGGCACAAGGTCGGTATTAAAGTACGGCAATCTGGATACCGCCCAATTTTTAAAATTTATTATTTCACCTTTATTTAACCAGGTAAGCCAGTTGAGAACAAGTTCTCATTTACAACTGTGACCTGGCCAAGATAAAGCAAAGCAGTGCGATTTAAAAACAGTTACATATGGGGTAAACAAAACAAAGTCAAAAATATAACAGAAAATATATATACAGTGTGTGCGAATGTAGTAAGTTATGGAGGTAAGGCAAATAGGCTTTAGTGCAAAATAGTTACAATTTCGTATTAACACTGGAGTGATAGATGTGCAGAAGATTGTGCAAGCCTACAATAATTAGTTTTGGTTGATTGTTGTTTTCCGGAGTTTGTTTTTAAGTAATGGTGTGGACATTACTGTCTATTATGGGGCCAGTTGTTTGCTCTGTGTGTGGTGGCTTTCCTTGACTACAGTGAAGCAGCAGGAGGAGCGCCCCATAAGGCAGATCCTGTACTTGGGGAACCTCCTGGAGACCTGCCATTTCCAGTCCTTCTGGGTATGTACACAATACATATCTCTGTTTCTCTCTTTTTGTTTCACCTGCCTTTTTGTCCTGCTCATTTCACACAACTTTCCAATCATAGTTAAAGAATTTTGGGGATCATATCCTGACATGAAGGTTATGTATTGCGGTTAAACATGACTTTACGTTGTGGCTCTAACTGGAGATTGATGGCTGTACTAATAGACAACCCCTATCATGACTTTATTACATCTTTATGAAATGTAACATCCAGTTCTCATAATGGTATGATTGTATGGTACTCATTCCTTTGTCTGTCACATAGTCCAGTCTGGAGGAGAACAGGGAATTCATTGACGGCATCACAGGCTTTGAGGACTCAGTGCGCAAGTGTGAGTAGAATATTTGGAAATCAAGTTTAGTTGCTGACTGCGTAATATTGCAATAAAACGTGATAATAGCCTGTCTAACTGCTTCTCTCTCCAGTTATCTGCCATGTGGTTGGAATCACATACCAGAACATTGAGCATCGACTTCTGTCTGAGATGCTGGGTGACCCCCTTGGTAAGACCATTCATTTAAGATGTACAGTGTATTCAGAAAGTATTTAGACCCCCTTGACTTTTTCCACATTTTGTTACGTTACAGCCTTATTCTAAAATTGATTTAAATTGTTTTTTTCCCCCCTACACACACTACCTCATAATGACAAAGCAAAAACTGGTGTTTAGAAATTTTTGCAAATGTAGGAAAAAATAAAAAAGGATATGACATTTACATAAGTATTCAGACCATTTACTCAGTACTTTGTTGAAGCACCTTTGGCAGTGCTTACAGCCTCAAGTCTTCTTGGGTATGACACTACAAGCTTGGCACACCTGTATTTGGAGAGTTTCTCCCATTCTTCTGTGCAGATCCTCTCAAGCTCTGTCAGGTTGGATGGGGAGCGTCGCTGCACGGCTATTTTCAGGTCTCTCCAGAGATGTTAGAGTGGGTTCAAGTCTGGGATCTGGCTGGGCCACTCAAGGACATTCAGAGACATGTCCCGAAGCCACTCCTGTGTTGTCTTGGCTGTGTGCTTAGGGTCGTTGTCCTGTGAACCTTCGCCCCAATCTGAGGTCCTGAGCACTCTGGAGCAGGTTTTCATCAAGGATCTCTCTGTACTATGCGCCATTCATCTTTCCCTCGATCCTGACTAATCTCCCAGTCCCTGCCGCTGAAAAACATCCCCACAGCATGATGCTGCCACCACCATGCTTCACCGTAGGGATGGTGCCAGGTTTCCTCCAGATGTGCCGCTTGGCATTCAGGCCAAAGAGTTCAATCTTGGTTTCATCAGACCAGAGAATCTTGTTTCTCATGGTCTGAGAGTTCTTTAGGTGCCTTTTGGCAAACTCCAAGCAGTCCGTCATGTGCCTTTTACTGAGTAGTGGCTTCCGTCTGGCCACTCTACCATAAAGGCCTGATTGGTGGAGTACTGCAGAGATGGTTGTCCTTCTGGAAGGTTCTCCAATCTCTACATAGGAACTCTGGCGCTCTGTCAGAGTGACCATCCGGTTCTTGGTCACCTCCCTGACCAAGGCACTTCTCCCCCGATTGCTCAGTTTGGCCAGGCGGCCAGCTCTAGGAAGAGTCTTGGTGGTTCCAAACTTTTTCCATTTAAGAATGGAGGCCACTGTGTTCTTGGGGACCTTCAATGCTGCAGAACTTTTTTGGTAACCTTCCCCAGATCTGTACCTCGACACAATCCTGTCTCGGAGCTATACGGACAATTCCTTCAACCTCATGGCTTGGTTTTTGCTCTGACATGCACTGTCAACTGTGGGACCTTATATAGACAGGTGTGTGCCTTTCCAAATCATGTCCAATCAATTGAATTTACCACAGGTGGACTCAATCAAGTTGTAGAAACATCTCAAGGATGATCAATGGAAACAGGATGCACCTGAGCTCAATTTCGAGTCTCATAGCAAAGGGTCTGAATATTAATGTTTTTTTATTTGCTATAAAGTTGCAAACATTTCAAAAAATGTGTTTTCGCTTTGTCATTATGGGGTATTGTGTGTAGATTGATGAGGGGAAAAATTAATTGAATCCATTTTAGAATAAGGCTGTAACGTAACAATGTGGAAAAGGTCAAGGGATCTGAATACTTTCCGAATGCAATGTCCTATTGATTTCCTTTCTTTCAGTGACACTACAGTGTTCATTATCTGTAAGTCATATCCCACTTCAGCCTGCTAATTTGACTTCCTGCTCCCCATACAGACACACAGGTGAAGGTGTGGATGAGCAAGTACGGGTGGACGGAGAACGAGGAAGGGCAGATCTTCATCTTTAACCAGGAGGAGAGCGTCAAGCCCAAGAACATTGTGGAAAAGATTGACTTTGAGAGTGAGTGTTTCCTTGTCTTGTGTCCCAGTCTTACTTGCTGTTATGCAGTGAAGTGGATTTTTTTTGTCTGTCTGTAGTCACTTTTATCATACATTTTCAAAGGTCAACTTCTTCCTTACCCCCCCCCCTCCCAGTGTAGCTTTATATAACCTAAGACTTTTCATGGAAAGACAATTTTGTTGACCTTCTTTCCCTTTTTCTCCTGCTCCCCTCTGTCTTATTTCCCTCCTTTTCACTCCTGTATTTTCCTTTGTCTCTGTCCCTCTTCCACAGGTGTATCCAGCATCATGGCCACATCTCAGTGATACTGACACATCTGCACAAACACTCAGAACGCACAATAAAAAGAAATTCAACAAGACAGCAGTACATATTCCTCAAACCAACCTTTAACAATAAATGTTAATTATCCATTCAAACTCAGACCCAAAGTGTGCTGATCTTTTCACTGATTAGATTGAACTAGTCTCTGATGTTAACCTATTAAGTCAATTTCAGGAAATGAATAATTACCAGAAATAGGGCCTATATTTTCTTATCTGTGATAAGATGTGGGTGTGCCTAAGGAGAGAGCTATTTTATATTTTACTTGGCATGTCAGTAAATGAACACTGTCTGTATCCTGTTCAAGCCTGTTCTGAGCCTGGGGACAAGGTTAGGATTTATAGGAAAAAAAAGAAATCGTCTACATTTTTGCATGCTATGCCTAATCATTTGTCATAACTTCACACAAAACATTCCTTCGACTATTTATGACAAACTACACTGAACAAAAATATAAACGCAACATGCAACAATTTCAAAGATTTTACTCAGTTACAGTTCATATAAGGAAATCAGACGATTGAAAGCAATTCATTAGGCCCTAATCTATGGATTTCACAACTGGGAATACAGATGTGCATCTGTTGGTCACAGATACCTTAAACGGTAGTGGTGTGGATCAGAAAACCAGTCAGTATCTCGTATGACCACCATTTGCCTCATGCAGCGCAACACATGTCCTTCGCATAGAGTTCATCAGGCTGTTGATTGTGGCCTGTGGAATGTTGGCCCACTCCTCTTCAATGGCTGTGTGACGTTACAGGATATTGGCGGGAACTGTCTGGTGAGTATGCAGGCCACGGAAGAACTGGGACATTTTCAGTTTACAGGAATTGTGTACAGATTCTTGCGACATGGGGCAGTGTATTATCATGCTGTAACATAAGGTGATGGCGGCAGACGAATGGCAAGACAATGGGCCTCTGTATTTCGTCACGGTATGTCTGCATTTAAATTGCCATCGATAAAATGGAAGTGTGTTCATTGTCCATAGCTTATGCCTGCCCATACCATAACCCCACCGCCACCATTGGGCACTCTGTACACAACGTTGACATCAGCAAACCGCTCGCCCACACGACGACATACAAGATTTCTGCCATCTGCACGGTACAGTTGAAACCAAGATTCATCTGTGAAGAGCACACTTTTCTAGCATGCAAATAGAAATCGAAGGTGAGCATTTGGCCACTGAAGTCGGTTCGAACTGCAGTCAGGTGAAGACCATGGTGAGGAGGACGAGCATGCAGATGAGCTTCAATGAGACTGTTCAACCCCAAGTTTCATCAGCTGTCCATGTGGCTGGTGTCAGGCGATCCCGCAGGTGAAGAAGCCGGTTACACGTGGTCTGCGGGTGCGAGGCCGGTTGAACATACTGCTAAATTCTCTAAAATGATGTTAGAGGCGGCTTATGGTAGAACATGAACATTCAATTCTCTGGCAACACCTCTGGTGGACTTCCTGCAGTCAGCATGCCAGCTTGAGGGAGCCTGCACATCTGTGGCATTGTGTTGTGACAAAACTGCACATCTTAGTGGCCTTGTATTGTCCCCAGCACAAGGTGCACCTGTGTAATGATTATGCTGTTTAATCAGCTTCTTGATATGCCACACCTGTCAGATGGATGGATTATCTTGGCAAAGGAGAAATGCTCACTAACAGTGATGTAAACGAATGTGTGCACAACGTTTTAGAGAAATAAGCTGTTTGTGCATATGGAACATTTCTGCGATCTTTTATTTCAGCTCATGAAACGTGACAAACTGTACATGTTGCATTTATATTTTTGTTCAGTGTATATTGTCAAAGTTGCGTCAATTCAAATCTGGTATTAGGAACAAAAGAGGTCAACACGACTTCTAAGATATACTAGTTATTTTAATTAATGCAAAAACCTTCAATGGTAAATATGATGTTTCGTATATACGGGCTCTTTGAAATACCTCGCAGGGCACTTCAGAGAACTAAATCCATTGTTTCAGATTGTTCTTCAAATACTCTTACAGAGAGAGTTTCCCACCTCTCTGCTGGCCAATCAGAGTAAAGACTTGAGCGTGGTTTAGATTTACTCAGCCTATCCGTTGGCGCACCGGCTGTTCCCCGCCTCTTCTGTTACCAGGCATACGTTTATCATAACAACCTGTCATAGTGAGAAGAGCCAGCTCCCTTAGACACCATTCCTACGTCCAAGGAAGGTTCACAGATCACAAAGAACCAGTATATTCCAGTATCTGGAGACACAAATCCCTATCTCATTTTACCCCCCCCAAACAGCTCTTCACATCAATCACAGCCTGCCAGGTGACACAACCTACATTAGCCCAGTCAAGAATGCATTCTTTCTAAGTTAGTCATCCCATCAATTATGAGAATAATAAATCTCTCACAATATGACTTGGGGGCATCATGCAATGACTTATGAATCATGAGATTGCAAAGTGCGCACGCTCCTCAATTTTCGCAGGCTGCACAGGTGAGCTACTGTGCGGTATTGAGGGTGTTTGCGAATGGCGATTTGATAAGGTACATCGGTTCAAAGTTAAAAAGTCAGAAGACTAGGAAAGTTGTTACGGTAACTCCTGGATAAGTAATGTAAAGTGGATAAAGCAATCGCGTTTATAAAGTTGTAGGGTTTCGCTGCACACACTATTTTAACTACAATAAACATCAGTTTATGTAAGGACATTCAGAAAGAATTGCGACGGTATGACTGACAGTAATGACATGGAGTCTCCGGTCGCAGAAAAAGGTACAGCAGAGGCAACGACGGAAGATCTCGGAAGCTCATTTACCTCCAAACGGTGGTTCTCGTCACTTCTCGCTGACAAGCCTTCTCCAGTTCTTCATAAACCTGATAACGGCGGTAATTCAATGGATGATGGGTTGTTCGTGGACCACGACTTTCCAATGGGAGATATGCGTCTTCATCCCGCGATGGAATGGAAACGACCAAAGGTAGCGAAGTATTACATTGTTATACGTTTTATTAAAAAAGCACAAAAAAAGATATACCAATTCATAAATGAAAATACTTAATTTAAATGGAAACTTATCTGTCTTACAAAAGAAGTGTGTATTAATTAAACCATCGGACATACCATGTTATGTATAATTGCAATACACTGAGTGTGATATATTTTTGCATTGACAATAGGAGTGGAAGGATGTCTCTTCTGGACAGTTATTTTCAATGCATGACAAATGCAAGTTTTGAGGGGTGTGTCATATATTTCTCTTCCAGGTCCTATAGACGTGCTAACAATCATGCATGTACAGACTTGTACTGACAACAGCCATAACAATACACCCACAGATGCATATTCTATTAGTTGGATGGGTAATTTTTGGTATAGGGCCTAGCTTTTGTAACCCAAAACCAGATGTCAATGAAGTGGTGGTGAGAAACATTGGGGCAGTGTTCTTCCATCCTGGCCCTGATCCACAGGGTGTGCATCAAGCTCCTGATTACTCAATCATAGGTGGGTGCTAATAATATCAGATAGAACAGAAGACCAGCAGGCTCCAGACCTCCTAGGGTAAGAGTTGAATAACCCTGCTTTTGCACAATGCTTTATGAATACAGGCCCTGGATTGAAGGCTACTGCATTAGGGCAGGACTAGGACATAGTGATTTTATCATCAGAATGCTTAGCCAATTGTCAAACTGTCATGGCTAAATGTAAAAAAACAACCCTGAAACAATGTTTCCATACATTGTGAACATTCAATCCCAGGACTGGATAGAGCCAAGCCTGTTTGGCTGTTTTTTGTCATAAAGACACAAAGGTCTCATTACCTACCTTATACATGTTGTATTTTCTTTGTTACTCTCCATTGAAGATGGAGTATTAGGTAAACAATGCCTGTCACTGTATATCTAGGCACTTTTTTCAGTTTATTTATCTATCATAAGCCTAGTAGTGTTCAGTCAATCATTAAATAAACCAAACTTTAAAAAGCAACAGTTGTCTCCACTACTTTAGATAACTTAAACAGAGTATATTTATGTCCCTGGTATGTGGTTATGCACTTCATTTTTCCCAGTAAAGGGGAAACTCTGCTAAACGTTTAAGAGGCATGTTGTGTCTTGCTTTCTCTCCCCAGGATATCTTCCCTTCAGCACAGTTCATAGTGGATGGAGCAACACGTATGGACGTGTGTCAGGGGGTTCTGAGTAAGTGGAACATGCCGTATGTATGTTGCCCGAAGCAGTGGCTTTCCACCTGCCTCTTAACATATTAGGGCCCTATTCAATATGCATCGCAGAAATTTTGCTTTACAGCGTGATTGAAATTTAAAGGCAATGTTCCCACTTTACATTTACATCATTTAGCAGACGCTCTTATCCAGAGCGACTTACATTATCTTTTTATTTTTCATACTGGCCCCCGGTCGGAATCGAACCCACAACCCTGGTGTTGCAAACGCCATGCTCTACATCCCTGCCGGCCATTCCCTCCCCTACCCTGGACGAATTGTGCTCCGCCCCATGGGTCTCCCGGTCGTGGCCGGCTACGACAGAGCCTGGATTCGAACCAGGATCTCTAGTGGCACAGCTAGCACTGCGATGCAGTGCCATAGACCACTGCGCCACTCGGGAGACTTTAGTGGAGGCTGCATTCACCGTAAACTCTGCATATGTCTGCTCAATCGGAAATTACCTTAACATTTCTATTGTGGAATCTGTAACGCTGAAGCATTACAGATTGAATAGAGCCCTTAGTCTTGTTTCCAGCCATTGCAGTACCACAATAAGCAGGGATACGGTTGATCTGTTTCCTTATTACCCAAAGTTTTCTCCCATTGATGGAAAAGTTCTACCCAAGAGTACAGAATGGCATTGACATCATTAATTAATTGTATGTCTGACCTACTATACAGTAAACGCCAGGTGGCTGTCATCAAACTACTAAACATGCTCTCCCTTGACTTACCCAGTGAATTGAATGTGATATACACTGCTCAAAAAAATAAAGGGAACACTAAAATAACACATCCTAGATCTGAATGAATGAAATAATCTTATTAAATACTTTTTTCTTTACAAAGTTGAATGTGCTGACAACAAAATCACACAAATTATCAATGGAAATCAAATGTATCAACCCATTGAGGTCTGGATTTGGAGTCACCCTCCAAATTAAAGTGGAAAACCACACTACAGGCTGATCCAACTTTGATGTAATGTCCTTAAAACAAGTCAAAATGAGGCTCAGTAGTGTGTGTGGCCTCCACGTGCCTGTATGACCTCCCTACAACACCTGGGCATGCTCCTGATGAAGTGGTGGATGGTCTCCTGAGGGATCTCCTCCCAGACCTGGACTAAAGCATCCGCCAACTCCTGGACAGTCTGTGGTGCAACGTGGCGTTGGTGGATGGAGCGAGACATGATGTCCCAGATGTGCTCAATTGGATTCAGGTCTGGGGAACGGGCGGGCCAGTCCATAGCATCAATGCCTTCCTCTTGCAGGAACTGCTGACACACTCCAGCCACATGAGGTCTAGCATTGTCTTGCATTAGGAGGAACCCAGGGCCAACCGCACCAGCATATGGTCTCACAAGGGGTCTGAGGATCTCATCTCGGTACCTAATGGCAGTCAGGCTACCTCTGGCGAGCACATGGAGGGCTGTGCGGCCCCCCAAAGAAATGCCATCCCACACCATGACTGACCCACCGCCAAACCGGTCATGCTGGAGGATGTTGCAGGCAGCAGAACGTTCTCCACGGCGTCTCCAGACTCTGTCACGTCTGTCACATGTGCTCAGTGTGAACCTGCTTTCATCTGTGAAGAGCACAGGGCGCCAGTGGCGAATTTGCCAATCTTGGTGTTCTCTGGCAAATGCCAAACGTCCTGCACGGTGTTGGGCTGTAAGCACAACCCCCACCTGTGGACGTCGGGCCCTCATACCACCCTCATGGAGTCTGTTTCTGACCGTTTGAGCAGACACATGCACATCTGTGGCCTGCTGGAGGTCATTTTGCAGGGCTCTGGCAGTGCTCCTCCTTGCACAAAGGCGGAGGTAGCAGTCCTGCTGCTGGGTTGTTGGCCTCCTCCACGTCTCCTGATGTACTGGCCTGTCTCCTGGTAGCGCCTCCATGCTCTGGACACTACGCTGACAGACACAGCAAACCTTCTTGCCACAGCTTGCATTGATGTGCCATCCTGGATGAGCTGCACTACCTGAGCCACTTGTGTGGGTTGTAGACTCCGTCTCATGCTACCACTAGAGTGAATGCACCGCCAGCATTCAAAAGTGACCAAAACATCAGCCAGGAAGCATAGGAACTGAAAAGTGGTCTGTGGTCACCACCTGCAAAACCAGTCCTTTATTGGGGGGTGTCTTGCTAATTGCCTATAATTTCCACCTGTTGTCTATTCCATTTGCACAACAGCATGTGAAATGTATTGTCAATCAGTGTTGCTTCCTAAGTGGACAGTTTGATTTCACAGAAGTGTGATTGACTTGGAGTTACATTGTGTTGTTTAAGTGTTTTTTGAGCAGTGTATATCTATATATAATATTCCTTTACCTGGCCCTCTGTCCTCCCCTGCTCTCTGTTGATTAGGTGACTGCTGGTTCCTGTCTGCGGTGGCATCCCTCTCCCTGCATCGCCAGCTGTTGGAGCGAGTGATGCCCATGGGACAGAGCTTCCAGGAGGGTTACAACGGCAGCTTTTATTTCCAGGTCAGCCTCAGGACATTAAACACACCATATTAGGCTGTACAGTATTTATCAAGGGGTTGTTGAATTTGCACTCCTGTAAATAGGAGATATGGGTGAATTACTATTTAGTTGGAGTTGGTTGATGCCCATCTCTGAGATTACAATTAATACCTGTGTGTGTGTGTGTGTCTGTCTGTAGTTCTGGCAGTACGGTGAGTGGGTGAAGGTGAAGGTTGATGACCTGCTGCCTACGCAAAAGGGCAAGCTGATCTACCTTTGCTCCTCAGAGAAAAGAGAGTTCTGGAGCGCTCTGTTGGAGAAGGCCTACGCCAAGTCAGTGTCTGTCTGTCTGTGCGATCTCTGGTGTTCTATGCATGCTGGTTTTTTTCTGCTATCCTGTCACACACACACTTCTGGATGCAGAAGCAAATTATTTGATCTTTTAACTCTGTGTTTGTCTAGAACTGTATCTCAATGTCATTCTATCTTGTCAGTGTAATTACCTCCTTTTGCATGTGGTTTTGAAGTTGCATAAGGCTAAAGTTGATAATACCAGGACGTACCAGTTTGTCCACTGCACTGGAATGCTGCTCTGGACTCTGACCTCGGAACTTACCTGTTGTGATTCACCCTCTCTGTCAGACTGAAGGGGGGCTATCAGGCCCTGAACATGGGCTTCCCCCACGAGGCCATGGTGGACATGACAGGGGGCGTGACGGAGGTGCTGACTGTGGCTTCTCTGCCCAAGGACCTGGCAGCCTTCCTCAAGCCCCTTCTGGCCAAGGGAGCCCTCATCAACTGTGCCAACTGCCAGGTGTGTGTGTGTGTACCGTTTCTGGGGAAGTTACAGGGGACGTAGTGATGAAACGTAGGTGCCAAGCTCATCTTTCTGATGGACATTTCTTTTGTGTGCGTAACCTTTCTATGTGTATTATGATTCAAACCCACAGAATACGGTGGTATAACCTTCTGTTCTACTTTGCTTACACATGAACATAAATGATGTTGTGTGTGTCTGGGTTGGTTTTCCCACAGGGCCCTCTTGAGCAGAGAAATGGGTTTGGAATCCTGTTCAGACATGCCTACTCTGTAACGGGGTTTGAAAAGGTAAGACTACCCCCTCTGCTGGATACTAAGCACTGTTGTCAAATTCACTCTCAGATTCACCACTGCACACCAAGGCCAATAGTATCCAAAAGCCGCCGGCCAAAACCTGCACACATTCAGTGGTGTTGGGTTTCCTGTATTTAATAGTCAAATAGGTTTTCAGGTTGGGTGACTCTGTCTCTTCCACTCCCTCAGGTGAAGAAAAAGTATGAGACTGTGGAGCTGGTCCGTGTTCACAACCCCTGGGGAAAGACAGAGTGGGAGGGACCCTGGAGTGACATGAATGGGTTAGCTAGCTATTAATCAAACCATTACCACTGTGTCTGTGTGTGTGTGTTTGGGGCAGGTTCCTCACAGTGTGTTTGTCTGTCCACAGGCCTGAGTGGAGTCATGTCCGTGAGGAGGAGCAGAAGCGTCTGGACAGGGTTCAGAAGGAGGACGGGGAGTTCTGGTAAGTGGACCTCTCTCTTCATAGACTCTCACTTTGTGCCTCCATACTTCACCTGTTCTCATATATTAATAACCTCTCTCTCTTTCTCTCTCTTTACTCTCTGTCTTGTCTCTCCCCCCTTCTCTCCCTCTCCCTCGCTCTCAGGATGGCGGTGTCAGACTTCCGTCAGAACTTTGAGTCGATGGAGGTGTGTCACCTGAGTGAGGAGACCCTGAGCAAGCCGGGCGCCACACAGAGACCATGGAACTGCACAATGCATCATGGGAGATGGGTACCACACATCTCTGCCGGGGGTTCTCCCAGAGGGGGTAAGAAAAGGCACAATCCTACTGACCCACACACACACACACACACCACAACTATGACAAAAATAATTTTCACTCATACATAATCAGAGAAGAATAGATTGATATCCATGTGTTTATTGTACATAAATATTAAGTATTGTACATCTTTATGTACTGGATATATGTGTGTGTGTCTAGGCTGGTTCTGGCAGAACCCTCAGTTCCACTTGACCCTGCTGGAGGAGGACGATGACCCCAGTGACCCTGAGCTGACCTGTTCCTTCCTGGTGGCCCTCATGCAGAAGCACCAGAGACTCAGAGGAGTCCACCTGGGCATCGGCCTGGATATCTACAAGGTACACACACACCTGCACATTAATGTATGCACACGTTCACAAACACACCCAACAGGAAATACAACCAGAGTAGATTTAAATGAGCCACACTAAATATGAGAGGGGAAGAAGTGAGGGAATATTTGAGTGTGGCAGAATTTTTCTCAGTGTGGAAATGTGTGTGTACACCCTACAATACCTACCCCTCTCTTCCCAGGCACGCTCAGAGTGCGCTTACCTGTCCTCTCTGGACCTGAGCTTGCTTCGCCCACTCATCAGCACCCAGGGTTACGCCCAGCGAACAGAGGTGGTGATTCGCGGTCGCCTGGCGCCCGGCCATTATGTCATCATCCCCTCCACCGCGGAGACCAATCAGCAGGGAGAGTTCATCCTGCGGGTGTTGACAGAAAAGGGCAACGATGCAACGTGAGTGGACCAGTCCATGACTGGAGGTTGGAGGAAGAGATACCTATGATAAATGTTAAAGTTTCACGGCACTCAGTCAAGAAAAGGCTCTCTAAATTACACTGAGTTTACAAAACATGAGGAACACCTGCTCTTTCCTTGACAAACTGACCAGGTGAAAACTATGATCCCTTATTGATGTCACTTGTTAAATCCACTTCAGTCAGTGTAGATGAAGTCGAGGAGACCGGTTAAAGAAGGATTTTTAAGCCTTGAGACAATTGAGACATGGATTGTGTATGTGTGCCATTCAGTGGGTGAATTGGCAAAGCTAATGATTTAAGTGCCTTTCAACGGGGTATGGTAGTAGGTGCCTGGCGCTCCGGTTTGAGTGTGTCAAGAACTGCTTCACTGCCGGGTTTTCCACACTCATCGGTTTCCTGTGTGTATCAAGAATGGTCCACCACTCAAAGGACTTCCAGCCAACGTGACAACCTGGGCCAGCATCCCTGTGGAACGCTTTCGACACCATACCCCGGCAAATTGAGGCTGTTCTGAGGGAAAAAGGGGGTGCAACTCAATATTAGGAAGATGTTCCTAATGTTTTGTACACTCAGTGTATATGTTTGTTATCCACCAATTAAAAAGTATGTTTTTCAAGTTAAACCGTATGATTCTGTATTTTATTTGTGTTTGCAGGCCAGCTGGGAAGCCCGGAACTGAAGAAAACTCCCCCACACAGGTAGAAGTCATGGCATTGAAGTCCAAAGTATCCACAATCCATCACCCCCTGTTTCCATTAGTATGAGTGTTTGTGATATGACTAAATGGATGATGGGGCGGCAGGTAGCTTAGTGGTTAAGAGCATTGTGCCAGTAACCGAAAGGTCGCTGGTTCTAATCCCCGAGCCGACTAGGTGAAAAATCTGTCGATGTGCCCTTGAGCAAGGCACTTAACCCTAATTGCTCCTGTAAGTCGCTCTGGATAAGAGCGTCTGCTAAATGACGTAAATGTAATGATCCTGTGTGTTTCACTGGCAGCCCTCCTTTCCACACCTGTCAGCTCTGCCCTCTCCTGAAGCCACACGACAGCTCTTTAAGAAGCACAGCAACAAGGTGAGATAACGCCACCACCATTCTAGCCTAAGATCTGTAATATTTACTTTCTAAACTTATTTTCTAACCTCCCAACAGAAAGGGGAGTGTCGACCTTTGGAGCTCCTCAACCTGCTTACCGAGGCCATAAAAGGCGGAGGTAAGGGTCTGGCTCCAAACATGGACAGCTATCTTCCCTAAAAAATGGGAGCTAAGACACACCTTTGATTACCTTGTACACACTTCCCCTTTACAACAGCTTGTTATAATGGCAACTGTCAACCAGTAGCCATTGCCTCGCCAACATGCATCTGGGAAATTCTGGAAAACTGTACGAATCCCTCTACTGATTTAGTAGTCTTCCATAAGCCATAACCACTGTGGGAACATTCAGGAAGTAGTGACGTCACTGCAGGAGGAAGTCTTAACTGTTCCTAACGTACGTTTTGTCTGTGTGGCTTCCTGCTCTCTTCCTGGGCTGTGGCCTGCAGTGCTGGCGGGGAGCGAGAAGATGCTGGTCCTGGAGCACTGCAAGAGCTTTGTGGTCCTCATGGATGTATCCTTTCTCTTGGGGAAAGAAATACATGTCTGTCTCAAATAGTGTGCATCGTGTCTCAGCATGGCTATATGGTCAGTAGTATATAGATCAATAACCATGTTAATATACAGTGGCTTGCAAAAGTATTCACCCCCCTTGGCATTTTTCCTGTTTTGTTGCCTTACAACCTGGAATTAAAATTATTTTGGGGGGGGGGTTGTATCAATTGATTTACACAACATGCCTACCACTTTGAAGATGCACAATATGTTTTCTTGTGAAACAAACGAGAAATAAGAGAACCCCCCCCCCCCCCCCCCCCATTTTGCAGCAATTACAGCTGCAAGTCTCTTGGGGTATGTCTCTATAAGCTTGGCACATATAGCCACTGGGATTTTTGCCCATTCTTCAAGGCAAACCAGCTCCTTCAAGTTGGATGGGTTCTGCTGGTGTACAGCAATCTTTAAGTCATACCACAGATTCTCAATTGGATTGAGGTCTGGGCTTTGACTAGGCCATTCCAAGACATTTAAATGTTTCCCCTTAAACCACTTGAGTGTTGCTTTAGCAGTATGCTTAGGGTCATTGTCCTGCTGGAAGGTGAACCTCCGTCCCAGTCTCAAATCTCTGGAAGACTGAAACAGGTTTCCCTCAAGAATTTCCCTGTATTTAGCGCCATCCATCATTCCTTCAATTCTGACCAGTTTCCCAGTCCCTGCCGATGAAAAACATTGATGGTGTTCTCGAGGTGATGAGAGGTGTTGGGTTTGCGCCAGACATGTTTTCCTTGATGGCCAAAAAGCTCAATTTTAGTCTCATCTGACCAGAGTACCTTCTTCCATATGTTTTGGGAGTCTCCCACATGCCTTTTGGTGAACACCAAACGTGTTTGCAAATTTTTTTCTTTAAGCAATGGCTCTTTTCTGACCACTCTTCCATAAAGCCCAGCTCTGTGGAGTGTACAGCTTAAAGTGGTCCTATGGACAGATACTCCATTCTCCGCTGTGGAGCTTTGCAGCTCCTTTAGGGTTATCTTTGGTCTCTTTGTTGCCTCTGATTAATGCCCTCCTTGCCTGGTCCGTGAGTTTTGGTGGGCGGCCCTCTCTTGGCAGGTTTGTTGTGGTGCCATATTCTTTCCATTTTTTTAATAATCCTGAGAACCAAGTAAAATATTGTTTTTCCTAATCATATTTTTTGTGATTCAATAACTGTTTAGGGTTAAAAAAAGCATCCTACAATTTCCACATTTTAATTTTAATTTTAATTTTTTATTTTACAGCATGTCCACTGTAGTGGACAACAGGATCATTTGAGTACGAAAAGAGACACATTTGGTAGATACACATTTTTACAGAGTTCTTACAGATTACAGAGTTTTTATGAACTAAGAATACATACATTTTGGGCTGTAGATTGATTATTATCCAAGAATACAGACATTTTGATTATACAATACACATTAATCATTCTTGAATCATTTTCCTTACATTTCGCAAGGATAGCTTTACTATTAAAGCTTAACACTTTGTTATGTCCATATCCTTTGATTGGTCCCCTTGAATCCTTTCAGTGTTATTTGAACAATGAACATATAACTAATGTGTAACAGATTTATTTTGGATTTTTTCCTTCTGTCAAACTGAATCCAATCTAGCTTTTTCCTTCACTCTTCATTTTGTTCTTAGTATTTTCTTTGTTAGTGGTGAAAGTCCTGGAAGCAATTTCTCTTTTTGGTAATGCAGAGGAACATCTTGCATTTGGTACATCTCATGTACGTCTTGCTCTTGCAGCCCTTATTTCTGCATCTTTCTGCATGCTTGGTATCCATCATCTCAGGCATGTGCATGGCTCCTAGTCTGCGCACAGATGGCTCTGGTTGTGGGATCCTCATTTTAGATGGTGGCTCATACTCATCCTCACTCTCTTCACAGCTGTTTTCCAGTTCCGGACTCTCCAACAGCTCCTCAGCTAGGAGTAGTTTGAAGTCCAGGTACTGATGTGTGTTCTTGGATGGTCTGTGCAGAGCTTTGCTGTCAGACTGGTATTGTATCCAGGAGTTGGTGATGGCAACATCAAAGAAGTGACTGATCACGCGCGATGTCCACTTCTTGGTCCTGCTTGACATACGATAGAAGCTAAGCATGCGATCACAAAGATCTACGCCACCCATGTTATCATTATACTGCTTAATTACTGCTGGTCTTCTAACCTGGACCAGGTGCTTTCTTTCTGGGACCATCTGGTACAGATGTCTTCTGGGTCTTTCCCATGTACAGTGGATGCCATGAGCACTGGTTTGTTGTCGAACCATTTTGTGATGGCCAGCTCAGGACTCTTTCTGGCCACTGACACTGATGTTCCTCTCCCCTCTTTTTTCAACTGTTTGTCTACTGGCAGCTGGCACAGCTTTGGGACACGGTTCTTCATTATAGTTCCAGTTGCAGGAAGGCCCTTTGCCAGCAATGCATCCAATAGATCTATGGTTGTGAAGTACCTGTCAAAGAATATGTGGCTTCCTGTTGGAACAGATTCAACCATGCGTAGAACTGCTGCAGCTCCAACTCCTAACCTTTGGACTGTAAAGGTATTCTTCCCTTGGTAGACTTCAAAATCAAGCATCAGACCATTTGGGGATGCAAGGACAAAGACCTTTAGGCCAGTAGGGTTTGGCTTGCCGGGAACATATTGCCTGACTGGACAACGGCCTGTGAATGGGATGATTTGTGCAGACCCTTTCTGGCTTTGCAAGGCTGAGACAGCCTTGGCGCACACGATCGAGTATTGGCCTGACTTTCCAAAGAATATCTGCCTTCTTTGTTTCCTCTGTTACAGCCAGGTCATTGACAATCTTGAGGGAATTTCTTATCCTGAAGAATCTATCCCTAGTCATTTTGCTACTTATGACTGGCACTTTAGTTTTGTTGGCCCAAAACATTTTAATTCTGGGATAGCCAAGGCAGGCCATGTGGACTGAAATGCCCAAGAAGATTTTTATTTCTTGTGGCGTGGTGTTCATGCACACTCCTTTGATTTGCAGCTCTCTTTGATTTGTGTATGTTGCCAAATCTTCAAAGACCTTGTTGTCAATGTACTGTGAAAAGTATTCAATTGGACTCCAGTCTGCACGTGTTGTAGGGTCATCTTGACACACAGGAAGCCCAGGTAACACAGGTGCAAATCTGATATGAAGGAAAAAAGAATAATAAATGATAAGTAATAACAGTTTAAATACTCAATGCAGCTGAATTTAAAATTGTGGAACTGCATCAAACATACATGTTACTCCTGGCCCACAGAGGGCGACGAGTTTCCTGTTCATCCCTGTCTGTATCTGTGTCTGTGTCTGCATCTGTCCCTTCAACTGAGCCTTCTGCATTGTCTTCCTCTTCTTCATCACCGTTTTGTATCACTGGTTGAAACTTATCCTCATCTCTCTCATCATCTGACAACTCCAAATCTGAATCTCCCTCGACTATTCGGTAAAGAATTCTTTCTGCTTCAGTTCTGTTTCCTACGACAATGTGGAGTCATTATTTACATGAAGATAGTCCTGATGTCCACTATAATTGACATTCATAAAATGGCAAATCTTTCAAAAGATACATAATTTAGTTGCTATCAGAACTAAATATATGATTCCTAACATCTTAATGAACAAGAAAATATATGATTATCATAGTAACAAAACCATAGACAAACAATATTTGACTTACCTCTCATCTTTCCATAAAATGTGCTTGTTCCTATGCCGTCCATTTTGAAAGGAAAGATAGAGGCGGTTCCCGGCCTCCCAGCCAATCAAATGACATATCACTGAAAAGCCCAGGATGTCCTCTGTACAGTACATCAGGAATTAAGAGACTTGCACAAAAGATTCCAAGAAGAGGGATGAAACTCAAATGTCCACTACAGTGGACATAAGTCAATGGGCTGGGTCTCAGGAGGATAATGGATTTAATGGTGCTCCGTGGGATGTTCAAAGTTATGGATATTTTTTTATAACCCAACCCTGATCTGTACTTCGCCACAACTTTGTCCCTGACCTGTTTGGAGAGCCCCTTGGTCTTCATGGTGCCGCTTGCTTGGTGATGCCCTTTGCTTAGTGGTGTTGCAGACTCTGGGGCCTTTCAGAACAGGTATATACAGTGGGGGAAAAAAGTATTTAGTCAGCCACTAATTGTGCATGTTCTCCCACTTAAAAAGATGAGAGAGGCCTGTAATTTTCATCATAGGTACACGTCAACTATGACAGACAAATTGAGGAAAACAATTCCAGAAAATCACATTGTAGGATTTTTAATGAATTTATTTGCAAATTATGGTGGAAAATAAGTATTTGTTCACCTACAAACAAGCAAGATTTCTGGCTCTCACAGACCTGTAACTTCTTCTTTAAGAGGCTCCTCTGTCCTCCACTCGTTACCTGTATTAATGGCACCTGTTTGAACTTGTTATCAGTATAAAAGACACCTGTCCACAACCTCAAACAGTCACACTCCAAACTCCACTATGGCCAAGACCAAAGAGCTGTCAAAGGACACCAGAAACAAAATTGTAGACCTGCACCAGGCTGGGAAGACTGAATCTGCAATAGGTAAGCAGCTTGGTTTGAAGAAATCAACTGTGGGAGCAATTATTAGGAAATGGAAGACATACAAGACCACTGATAATCTCCCTCGATCTGGGGCTCCACGCAAGATCTCACCCCGTGGGGTCAAAATGATCACAAGAACGGTGAGCAAAAATCCCAGAACCACACGGGGGGACCTAGTGAATGACCTGCAAAGAGCTGGGACCAAAGTAACAAAGCCTACCATCAGTAACACACTACGCCGCCAGGGACTCAAATCCTGCAGTGAAAGACGTGTCTCCCTGCTTAAGCCAGTACATGTTCAGGCCCGTCTGAAGTTTGCTAGAGTGCATTTGGATGATCCAGAAGAGGATTGGGAGAATGTCATATGGTCAGATGAAACCAAAATATAACTTTTTGGTAAAAACTCAACTCGTCGTGTTTGGAGGACAAAGAATGCTGAGTTGCATCCAAAGAACACCATACCTACTGTGAAGCATGGGGGTGGAAACATCATGCTTTGGGGCTGTTGTTCTGCAAAGGGACCAGGACGACTGATCCGTGTAAAGGAAAGAATGAATGGGGCCATGTATCGTGAGATTTTGAGTGAAAACCTCCTTCCATCAGCAAGGGCATTGAAGATGAAATGTGGCTGGGTCTTTCAGCATGACAATGATCCCAAACACACCGCCCGGGCAACAAAGGAGTGGCTTCGTAAGAAACATTTCAAGGTCCTGGAGTGGCCTAGCCAGTCTCCAGATCTCAACCCCATAGAAAATCTTTGGAGGGAGTTGAAAGTCTGTGTTGCCCAGCGACAGCCCCAAAACATCACTGCTCTAGAGGAGATCTGCATGGAGGAATGGGCCAAAATACCAGCAACAGTGTGTGAAAACCTTGAGAAGACTTACAGAAAACGTTTGACCTGTGTCATTGCCAACAAAGGGTATATAACAAAGTATTGAGAAACTTTTGTTATTGACCAAATACTTATTTTCCACCATAATTTGCAAATAAATTCATTAAAAATCCCACAATGTGATTTTCTGGATTTTTTTTCTCATTTTGTCTGTCATAGTTGATGTGTACCTATGATGGAAATTACAGGCCTCTCCCATCTTTTTAAGTGGGAGAACTTGCACAATTGGTGGCTGACTAAATACTTTTTTTTCCCACTGTATATACAGTGAGGGGAAAAAAGTATTTGATCCCCTGCTGATTTTGTACGTTTGCCCACTGACAAATAATTATCAGTCTATAATTTTAATGGTAGGTTTATTTGAACCGTGAGAGACAGAATAACAACAAAGAAATCCAGAAAAACGCATGTCAAAAATGTTAGAAATTGATTTGCATTTTAATGAGGGAAATAAGTATTTGACCCCCTCTCAATCAGAAAGATTTCTGGCTCCCAGGTGTCTTTTATACAGGTAACGAGCTGAGATTAGGAGCACACTCTTAAAGGGAGTGCTCCTAATCTCAGTTTGTTACCTGTATAAAAGACACCTGTCCACAGAAGCAATCAATCAATCAGATTCCAAACTCTCCACCATGGCCAAGACCAAAGAGCTCTCCAAGGATGTCAGGGACAAGATTGTAGACCTACACAAGGCTGGAATGGGCTACAAGACCATTGCCAAGCAGCTTGGTGAGAAGGTGACAACAGTTGGTGTGATTATTCACAAATGGAAGAAACACAAAATAACTGTCAATCTCCCTCGGCCTGGGGCTCCATACAAGATCTCACCTCGTGGAGTTGCAATGATCATGAGAACGGTGAGGAATCAGCCCAGAACTACATGGGAGGATCTTGTCAATGATCTCAAGGCAGCTGGGACCATAGTCATCAAGAAAACAATTGGTAACGCACTATGCTGTGAAGGACTGAAATCCTGCAGCGCCTGCAAGGTCCCCCTACTCAAGAAAGCACATATACAGGGCCGTCTGAAGTTTGCCAATGAACATCTGAATGATTCAGAGGAGAACTGGGTGAAAGTCTTGTGGTCAGATGAGACCAAAATCGAGCTCTTTGGCATCAACTCAACTCGCCGTGTTTGGAGGAGGAGGAATGCTGCATATGACCCCAAGAACACCATCCCCACCGTCAAACATGGAGGTGGAAACATTACGCTTTTGGGGGTGTTTTTCTGCTAAGGGGACAGGACAACTTCACTGCATCAAAGTTACAATGGATGGGGCCATGTACCGTCAAATCTTGGATGAGAACCTCCTTTCCTCAGCCAGGGCATTGAAAATGGGTCGTGGATGGGTATTCCAGCATGACAATGACCCAAAACACAAGGCCAAGGCAACAAAGGAGTGGCTCAACAAGAAGCACATTAAAGTCCTGGAGTGGCCTAGCCAGTCTCCAGACCTTAATCCCATAGAAAATCTGTGGAGGGAGCTGAAGGTTCGAGTTGCCAAACATCAGCCTCGAAATCTTAATGACTTGGAGAAGATCTGCAAAGAGGAGTGGAACAAAATCCCTCCTTAGATGTGTGCAAACCGGGTGGCCAACTACAAGAAACGTCTGACCTCTGTGATTGCCAACAAGGGTTTTGCCACCAAGTACTAAGTCATGTTTTGCAGAGGGGTCAAATACTTATTTCCCTCATTAAAATGCAAATCAATTTATAACATTTTTGACATGCGTTTATCTGGATATTTTTGTTGTTATTCTGTCTCTCACTGTTCAAATAAACCTACCATTAGAATTATAGACTGATCATGTCTTTGTCAGTGGGCAAACGTACAAAATCAGCAGGGGATCAAATACTTTTTTTCCCTCACTGTATACTGAGGTCATGTGACAGATCATGTGACACTTAGATTGCACACAGGTGGACTTTATTTAACTAATTATGTGACTTCTGAAGGTAATTGGGTGCGCCAGATCTTATTTAGGGGCTTCATAGCAAAGGGAGTGAATACATATGGACGCACCACTTTTCCGTTATTTATTTTTTAAACAAGTTATTTTTTTCCATTTTACTTCACCAATTTGGAATATTTTGTGTATGTCCATTACATGAAATCCAAATAAAAATCTATTTAAATTACAGGTTGTAATGAAACAAAATAGGAAAAACACCAAGGGGGATGAATACTTTTGCAAGGCACTGCAGGTTAAATGTATGCCAGAGTCTGGTGTAGTGGTCTAAGCTCACATATACCCCCTGGCAATGGGGGTTCGAGTCTCGGCTAGGCCGACTGTTTGAAGATCGTAGCTCCCAAAAAAAGGGCTGTGTAATGTTATGTATGTACATAGACATACAAAGGTAGGGTAACTTGTCCACCATGACCTCATTTGGTCTGCTGATTTACCAAGAGCTTAATTTTTCCATGCATTTTTGATGGACCATTTCCTTGACTGCAGTGGCAACCCAGAGACGGGGGTTAGCTCAACTAGACTGGCAGGGGTTCCAGGCACTGTGGGACAAGATCAGGAAATGGACGGTAAGGTCTAAACCATACTAAGCCGTCTGTCAGTGGAAGGGTTACAGTTTCAATCATTCTGTTCTTTCAATATGATGAGAAGATTGGGCAGTAGTTTGACTGGCTAAAGCATGATTTGTGTCTTTGAAGTCTAATTATGGTTGGCTAAAGGAAATATAATAGTGATCTGTAATTTGTGACTTTTCTGACTCAATCATGTGTGACTGCACTAATTCAATAATAATTTGACCCGTTCCGATGCATCTGAAGTGATTGAATTATATTTGTCTGAAATTATTCAGTCATGCTGGTCTTGATCTTCCACTTAACAACAGGATATATTCATGACGTTTGACATAAACAAATCCCAGTTGCTGGAGTACCCTGAAGTCTCACCAGCCTTGAATGCTGCAGGTAGGACACACTTATGATATAATGACAGAACTTCCATTGGTGCCTTTTAGGGGGCGCCAAAACACCACTCTCAATGTTCAGTCCCGATTGGTCCATATGAACAGCATGCCAACAGCATTTACACTGCTAAAACAGTAGGGGATGTGGTTGAACATGAGTTGATCTGTGCTCGTCTGGTCTGGTCTAGGCATGCAGGTGGATGACTTCGTCCTTCAGCTGATCGGCCTGCGCTACACGGAGCCAGACATGACGATCAGTTACCCCGGTTTCCTTTACCTGCTGATGAAACTGGACAGCATGATCCGTAAGGGAGGGCAGAGGTGGAGAGTAGGGTGTGGTCCAACAAGGGCTGAAAATAGGAATTTAGGAAGACTGATTGATGTGGGATTTAAAATGGGTGACGAGAAATAGAAGAAAGACTGAAATGTGTTACTTTTGGGGTGCACTTAGGAAAAAAATATCATAATAATAATAATCAGCATGGAAGAGCAAAATGTTGTTGTGTGTGGGGGGTGGATGTGTATTTGTATGTAGGCTAATTGGTCTAATTCATCATGTTCGCTCCATTCACAGATACATTTCAAGCCTATGACATTGTGGGAATGGGGACCATATCAGTCAGCTACAGACAGGTAAAAGCACACAGGACACAGATTATCAAAACATACTATTTTTCTCACAGCCTAGTAAACATGCAGAATATGACAGATTTAAAATGAATGAAAAAGCAGATTTTGCATATGATCACACATCCATAATGGCCTGGACATCCATTTAATTAAATATTGATTTGTTGTGTCTCACCCTTTTTTCTGGTTGTAGTGGCTCCACATTACGATGTACAACTGACCCGTTCTCACTGGATTTCAACCCCTCCTCCGCAGGTTCAACTGGTTTTTGTTGCAGCATTGTTTTAAATAAAAAGTTACAGTAGATTTATTTTTGCAAGAAAGACTTTCAATTATTTGTGCATCAGATTTGAGTCATTCCATAACAATGCTACGTCATCATAGCAACTAAGTGCATGCTGTCATTCTGTGAACTTTCTGTTGCCTCCTTTTCAGCAGACTGAGTAAGTGTAGAGAAGAGGACTTGGACACTGAATGTTTTTAAACATTTATGTTCTGCAGAGAGACCTTGACTTTTGGTATGAGAAAATATCTGATTTGAAGCTTCGCACTCTATGGACAGTCTTGATATATGAATAGTCAAAAAAGCACATACCAGACACAGAGGGACTGTGGCAAACGTTCAAGCAATTTCCTGTTGTGCCGTTAATACGCTTGTGTTAAATAACTCGGCCTGATTTCAGAAGCCAAAAATTGAGCTTGAAGAAGTACATCTGCTCATTTTGTACTCCTCAACACATCTAGAATAACTGAAATTAAGATCAATAAACATGATCAAAGGATAACAGATGTAGATGCACACCTTGAATTAATTGTCCTTTTCCCCATGTATTAGCGTCACCTGAAACAGGCTGACTTCGGGGCTTTTTGAAAAAGGAGTTGCCAAATATAGGCATAACTGTCATTACAATTAAATAGAATTCATTAAAAAATGGATATGACGGTTTGATGTGTAATCATTTAACCGTGACATTGTACACACCACAATGATGCCTTATAGTAATGGCAATGGCGTCCAATGCCCATGGGATTTCTGTATATCAGATAACGATTAGGAATGTGGCACTATGTGGCAGTCATGAAAACATCACAAAACATTAAAGAGGGCAAGGGCGGCCTGCCATAATTAAATATTAAAAATTAAATTAAATATGGTATGTCGGGCCTCGCTGATGATTATTGGCATGGACACACAGTTGGAGTGTGACCTACTTAATGTAGTGTCTGGGCATGTCAGTCAGACCCAGCCTATCAAGTTTGAATGGTAAATATAAGCCAATTTACACACGACAAGCTTTCAAACAAAAGCATAGGCCTAAGTTAGTTTCATACGTTTTTGGTTTCGATGCACCTGCATGTAAGACTATTGGTTTGGGCACCAGTGAGGTGGCGTAGGCTCTCCATGAGGGGACAACAAAAATCTGAGTAGAGTAACAATACCAATGGGCTCACTGGCTAAATGATTCATGGTGTAGCATGTCCTCATTAATATTACATCAAATGGGTGGGTCTTGTTATAGGCTCCATCTGATTCGTGTCTCGCAAGAAGAAGAAACATCGTAGAATGTTGCACATAGAAATGGCATGAATAAAGCTGACGCGATTCCTTATTATACATGTAAGAGAGGCATGTGTGTTCTACATAGCGTATGTCGTATTTCTATCTGAACGTTCCAAAATGTTGCATCCTGCTGAAAGCGCCCCTGTGCAGAGTTATATATTTAGACTAATATATGGCCCTGTGTAGTGTGTAGCTTGTGCTTAAAGTAACTGTCCAGATTTATATTAAATATGACCTAGAATTAATTACAATATGAGTGAAATAGTTTTCCTTCCAATTTTCTTTAAAATTAGGTATGTTAAAAAACAGCTCTTCTGTGTTGGAATGGTGTGGGCATACCCCAACAGAATGGTGAGGGCATATACTGGTTGTTAAAACATATTACTGTGAGTAGACCACTGATTGGCCAGCCAATCCTCCTCATGACATCATCCTCTATTAGGAAATAGCAAGCATTTTTGAAATACAAGTTTGAGGTGGGTTTTTGTAAGTGTTTTTTCTCCAATTTATGCTTTGGCCACATACCAGTAGAAGATGAGTCAACAACATTATTTGGATATGAGTTAACAGTGACATGTTCACTGGACAGTTACTTTAATATTCTATGGATATTATACAAGTAGTAGTTATCAGAACTATTGAAGTATAGAGCTCAAAATTCGTAATTCTGTCTATACTGGCTACAAATCCATTTGTGCATTTCTTATTTTTTTTAACATTGTATCGTTTCAAGGGGACAACATAAGTTGCATCTACATTTTTATACAATGTTGCAATGATATATTTAGCAACATGCACAGACTTCCATCTGTAATGATTTAGGCTACTTTACAAAGACATTAGGCGACATATCAGGCATGATACTTGTTAGAACAATACTTTCAGTAGGCTTTGGTCTACTACTAAATTATGTGTTCTCAGCCTTTCGGGGGCAGGATTTAAACAGCTCATGAATAATAAGCAGGTCACTGAATATTCATGAGCTATTTGGGCCTGGTAACCTACTCAAGCTTTGTAGGAGCGGCTATTTGCTTTCGACCACACCATTCCCTCCTTGGGTGGAGATTAAGCATTCTTTTAGCGAGTATTGTCAGTATATAGACCGGATATTACCTGACCGAACATTGAAAGCAAAGAGAGTTGCCGCAACTGGGTCACATTCTTTTTTATTTCTCGTTCGATAGTCTTAGATAGACCGGCAAATTATTAGCTATCTGACTATGGTAGATTATCACTCTTCTAATAATCAAGCATCGTCTGGAGGACCAGCGGTTTACATGGACCCAAGAGAACAAGAAAATGACTGGGACCGGGACCTGCTGCTGGACCCTGCCTGGGAGAAACAGCAAAGAAAGGTAAAATGGCAAGGAGAGGTCGGGGACTGAATTTGGGCCCTGGTTGCCTTGCCGCTGCATCTATAAAACAACGACATTTTATACCAACTCAATGTAACGAACTTTCCTGTGTCGATATGGTATATGTCAAACAAGAAATGTGCTATACAAATCTTTCCACATGCGTAATTTCGACCGCAACCGGTATTTTCGCAGTCGACTGAGGACAGCGGTGATTTTTTTTATTGGAATGAAACATTGTAACTTAGCCCATCTAGTTCTGGCGCTTATGTTAGCCTGGTTTATTTTCCAGTCGATATTTCTGCCATTTTTCAAGATGGCTATAGGCATAATTTCGATGCGAGTCAAAAATAGTATAAGAAATGGTGTCCTAAAAGTGCTATCAGATGTTCTGGGTCGAAGCAGATAAAACACTGCTGAGTTCTCTTGTTTTTTGGAATCTACTTTCTGTCGCAGCAGCAGGCCACTTTTTACAGCTGAAAATATTTTAGAGGTTTTTAGACTTGTCTTAATCCTTTAATGCTCGAGCACTTGTAGCTATGATCAAGCCCTAGAACTGTGAAATATGGAATGAGGATAATTTGAAGCAACGTTGCTTAACAGTCTGGAATGATTGAGGGTGTGTATTGCTACACCTCGCTGTCAAAATGATTTGCATTCTTTTTAGTGGAGTGACATCACACCGAGCATTAGATTACAGCCCATCATTACTCAGCGTTTTGACTGTCAGCATTATTCATTCAACTAATTGATAGCTCAACCATGCGTTCAGCTTTACCCTCGATGTATGTCGTTCCTCTAAATATGTTTGCCTATAAAGGGAGGCCAAAGTTTCCTCACAGGAACAAGAATAATCAATGATTAACAAATATGACTCAGATGGCTTACAAACGCAGGCAATAGGGGCTTCTGTCCTGAAATCAACACCGGTGACTGAAAGATGTATAGATTTTTGTAACACATTTAACATGTGTATCCTTAAATGCATGGGATAAGAAACACTGGCTACTGAAATTCAACAGGGAGTTTGATTGGACTGGGCATTGGGGAGGCGTGACATTCCTAGACAGGACATTTATTTCAGAAAAGTCGACGGGGAACAAAGGGCAAATTCCTGTGGCGTTTTTCACGCTGCTGTGCCAGTTATTGCATAAAGTTATTGAATGCCTCCCACCAATGATTCTGTACTTAATGTAGCCTATGTAATTAGGCCTACTGTATATATGTGGAAATCAGACTTCAAGTGGAGGCACTAAACAAGGGTATGGACTAAGTGCTAATGTCAAAAGAAAGTCAATTGTCAATTAATAGCCTACCTTAAGGTGTTTTTTCCAACACCCAAGTTTCGTAATGCTCAGTCTAGTCCAGTTTAATACACTGGTTACAATTTAACAAACTTCAGAGAGCTCTATTTCAGCTTGAGAAACGTGTAATTAAGTCCAACCTAATGGCAAAAGTCAACCGCATGCCGAGACATGTTGTAATACACAACATTCTGTGAAAGGGCATTCTTTCTGTTTTATTGCAATACTTCAGGGGCAATGTTGGAATCAAATCAAATTTAATTTGTCACATGCGCCAAATACAACCTTACAGTGAAATGCTTACTTACAAGCCCTTAACCAACAATGCAGTTTTTTTTTGAACACACAAAAAAACACAACATAATACAAAATAAAAGTAACAAATAATTAAAGAGCAGTAGTAAAAATAACAATAGCGAGGCTATATACAGGGGGTACCGGTACCGAGTCAATGTGCGGGGGCACCGGTTAGTCGAGGTAATTGAGGTAATATGTACGTGTAGGTAGAGTTATTAAAGTGACTATGCATAGATAATAAACAGAGAGTAGTAGCAGTGTAAAAGCAATGCAAATAGTCTGGGTAGCCATTTGATTAGATGTTCAGGAGTCTTATGGCTTGGGGGTAGAAGCTGTTTAGAAGCCTCTTGGACCTAGACATGGCGTTCTGGTACCGCTTGCCGTGCGGTAGCAGAGAGAACAGTCTATGACTAGGGTAGCTGGAGTCTTTGACCATTTTTAGGGCCTTCCTCTGACACCGCCTGGTATAGAGGTCCAGGATGGCAGGAAGCTTGGCCCCGGTGATGTACCAGGCCGTACGCACTACCCTCTGTAGTGCCTTGCGGTTGGAGGCCGAGCAGTTGCCATACCATCTGTGTCCATGCAAATGTATTGGGATGTCAGTTAGCCTACCTACTTCAAAGCAAAGGGCATTCAGCCACCAAATATGTGGAAAATGGTAAAAACCACCCAAAACTCAACCACTGTCAGTCTGATGTGATGGCAACACTTTTTCGTACACTGTTTGGATATGGTCTCGTCTCACATTATTCAGTTTAACATATGTTTATGATCAGTGGGAATTTTTATTGCTCCTCATTTCCCTATACTCACTGCACTATCAAAGTACCTGCCTGTTTGCGTGACTGTGATTGTTGTTGATAGTCTTTTACAACTCAGCCCCACCAAGAGAAATGCTCATTCTCTCCTAACCAGACTCACCCATGCCACAGTGCCCTGACTTGCATAGATTACCACACAGCCAAGGTGGGCAGTGTTCTAAGTTTCTTCCTTCCCCTCCCATTTCCCTAAGCTAGTCATTTAACTGGATGACTCAGTCAGTTCAGGGCTGGCTGGTTTGGTTTCTCACAAGTGGCCATGGCTGTTTTTAAGGA